ATATCTTTTATTTCCATATTCCAAACGTCTAATTTATATCGGGCACGTTACGGCGTCGTTCCCGAGGAAATCGTACAGTTACTTTTGATTAACAACATCTTCTACACGTATCTACATCCATACGCAGAACTCTTCAACCTACTGCGAACAAGGACGTGAGGTGAGTAGGTCGACCGAGACGAGAATGGGTTTCTGAAATAAACGATAGAGCTTTTAAATATTTTAGCGGTCGTCGTGAAGTAACTAGACTTGCGCTATCTAGTACCGAACGGTGCGTCAAGTCATACACGACGCGCCGCACGGCATATGACTGACTAACTGACTGACCTAACACCTAAAGCCTAGATCAGCCTAACCCATCTACCTCATTCATCGACCGGACGCCCTAGCAACTACACTTCTGCTCAACCGAATTCTTCAAACCACGGACTCCGAATCGATAATCGAAACCGCAACACCGAAAGTTCCCACCTGTCCTCGTCCACGACCGTTCGGCATCCAGAGCTCCCACCCGTCCTCATTCACGGCCGCGTCCTCCCTTAAATGATCGGCACCCAAAACTTCCCACCTGTCCACGGCCGCGTCCTCCCACGAACGCTCGGCACGTGCACGGCCGCGTCCTCCCGCGAACCGTCTGCACCCAGAGCTCCCCACCCATCCCCGCCCACGGCCGCGTCTTCCGGCGAGGAGTGACTACATCTTTTTCAGCTCAAAGGCGACGACGGCGACAACTGTCTTCATTCACGCTATGTTTGTCGTGTTTCTTTGTCTTCCTGGTCCTTTTCAGCGTTTTTGACAATATATCGTTGTTTCTATTCGTGCTTCCCCTAAATAAGTCCCAGAGAGATGTCCGGCTTTAGCTTTCACGGCCAATCTGCCCGGAGGGGAATCACCGGAGCACAGAGCCCTGGCCAAGCGTCCGAGACAGGAGAGGGCCCGCCAACCAGTCAAGGGCAAGCTGGAGGATCACGTGGAGCAACTTTCATCGCAACTGCAGGTGGTAGTGAAGCTAGTCCATCAACACGACAAGGAATACGCGAGAGCTGGAAGCATGGAGCAATCACACTTTCATTCTGAAGGCCAACTCGCACCTGGGTAAGGCCATCCTCGACGGTCGCAGACGTGATGTGTCATGGGTGTAAGTGTTGGTGCGTGGAAGTCTCTGCAAGAGTTTCGTACCATGCACAGCTTCACCATTTTGTCGGAGCACTGAGCCTCTGCATCATTTATCTAACTTCTTATCCCATCCGCGAAACGCTGATCGCGCAACTTCTGTTGTGATATGTGTCGCTAAAGCACAATGAGCGCCGGCACGAGATCCTGACTTTGGACTCATGCGGTCATGCAAGTGCAAGCAAGTGCTTCCCCTTCTTTGCCGTGTTCCCTGCCATTTGCTTTCTCCTTGCTTGCTTGTTTCCCTTCCTCCTTCCTTCCCTCGTTGCTTTCTTGCTTCCCTCCTGCCTTCCTTCCTTCGTTTCTTCCTTCTCGCTCTCCTTCTCTCCTAGTTGTCTTGGTTTCTTCCGTCCTGCAAAGAGCGCGCGCACCTCAGACGCCGCGGCTCCCCCCCGCTCGGTGGTCAAGTACAAGCATAAGTTAAGACACACAAGTCTCTTTGGAATCCTCTCTCGCTTTCAATATATGTGCAAGGAGCTTGTTAGATACCTCGTTGCACATGATTGCGGCGCATGGCCTAGGGCGATCCCGAAGTACTAGTGATGTCAACACGGTTTATTACTTACTGTATCAAGTCACATGTATGCTCTTTGGCGCTTCGTGAATGATTGAATTTCGCAGGCATTTCCATGTTTTGCCATGCAAGCACTCACCAGCATAATCAATGAGCAATGCGCGAGACAGCATAGATTGTCGATCCATCGTGCATCTTAACTAAACCGCAAGAAGTAATTGAATGAACCTGATGTGTGAAAGCGCATGCCGCATCATCAATTGCCGGGATGATGTCAATCAAATCCACGGAGCCAAACCTGCGAGAACCCCAAGCTTCAGCCGGGCTGACCAAAGCTTCGACGGACAACAGCTGCCTGATCCAGATCAGTGCCTCCGTCGAATTATGGGTCCAGGGAGTCCAGGGGACCTGGGCCGCCAGACGCAATGCTTCAGCCTGAAACGGCCCAACAAAGGCTCCCGCAGCTCCGGCCTCCTGATTGGTGACACGTCGGACTCGCTGGAAGCTGCACCAGCAGCCACTTTGGCCTCGCTGCTTCTCCCAACTACATCGATGAACGGATACCATCATGGCTGCTGAGTTCTAGGCTGCCCGAAGCTTCACGGAGAGCTCCGAAATCCGCCGCCGCAGTTCCTCAAATGAGCACGGGAAGCAGGAGCAGTGGCCAGCTGTGCAGTGCCATCAGTTACTAGTCCTGGCCTCCTTCTCTGCATCGGTCTCCTGCACGCGAAAGCTGCTGCAGGGCACCAAATATCTGGGAAACTTCATGTTGGCATGCATTGGGTAAAGGCTTTTTTTGCAGCTGGTCGTCGTGGTATGACCGGAGCAGCAGCAGAGCAGTAGAAGTTTAGTAGCAGGAGTTGCAGTAGTAGCGGGAGTAGCCGTGGTATACCAGTGTAGCAGCAGTCGCTACGAAACCCTCATTATACCCTAGAAGGAGTGGGTGGGTGCGAAACCATGAACCCGTCAAAAAGGATTGGGTGGGTGCGAAACCCCAAACTCCAAAAGCACTCGGTGGTTGCGAAGCCTTGAACCATTGAACCCTAAAAAGAGTGAGTGGCTGCGAAACCTCAAAACCATGCGAAACCCTGAACCCTATAAGAAGTGAGTGGCTGCGAAACGGCAAACCTTAAACGGGTGCATGGGTGGGCGCGGAACTCTGAACCCCAACAGGACTGAGTGGCTACGAAACTCTCACACCCTAAAGGGAGTGGGCGGGTGCGAAACCTTGAACCCTAAAAGGAGTGGGCCGCTGCGAAACCTCGAATTTTTGGAGTGCATGGATGGGTGCGAAACCCTCAAACCATAAAAGTAGTGGGTGGGTGGGTGATTGCGACATATTCGAACTCTATGAAAGGAGTAGGTGAATACGAAACCCTGAACCCTAAAAGGAGTGAGTGGCTACGAAACCCTCATACCCTGAAAAGAAGTGGGTGCGTGCGAAACCCCGAACGCTAAAAGGAGTGGGTGGGTACGAAATCCCAAACCGTAAAAGGAGTGGGTGGGTGCGAAACCCTGAACCCTTAAAGGAGTAGCTGTGTGCGAAACCTTCAAGCCGAAAGGGGTGGGTAACTACGGAAACCCCAAACCCTAGAAGGAACGGGTTTGAAAGAAACCTCAAACTTATCGCTGTTGACCGCCGGTCACGGGCGTCGCCACGGGCCGCCGTGTACAACCACGTGAACGTGGCCCACGTGACCACGAGACCGTGGGCCGCGTCCGCAGGCCGCGTGGCCGTGGGCCGCACGCAAGCAATACTATTATGCATGCATTAGCTCCAGAGTCACTGCCAATTAGGAGTCTTACGTCTTCTCGGCTCGCCAATCAGTCGAGGCTCATGTAAATTCGCCCTGCTAACGTTATCTCTGCAAAAGTCTATTCATCAAACATCATCAAACAGCATCTTCGAATCCTCCATGTAATGTAAGTTGCAACCAACGTTACACCTTGCCAAGCTGTTGATGCTGTTGCCTCGTCATCACTTTCCATCATGTGTCGCTCCTGGGATGCTGGGATGTTTCCCACACCAGCAAGTGGAGATGACAAGTTCTTCACCGCCGACATTCGAACAGAATTCAGATGCAATCACTGAGATGCAAGCACACACCCAAGCGCCAAATCTGCTTCGCGCTTTGATGACCTCCAGCAGTGCTCCCTCCAAAACCCTCCAGCTGCACGCGATAGCAATGGCCTTGCGCAGTTCCTGATGCTCTCTTTTCAAGGCCTCACAGGATTTTGTTCCAACTACTGGCTCGGGGGCACAGGCTTGAATGATGGCCACCTGCTTTTCAGCATCCGGGCTGTGCGCTGCCTGTCGCGACGCAACGCGCCGGTGCCGGCGAAAAACGGCCAGTCAAACACTGCAGATCAACGAGAATATACAGCTTATGATTCACGAGATCTTCATCGTTGGTAATACTTATCCGCGCTCCGTCTTCGCAGGCAAATAGACACTCCCGTTGTCACCCTGACATGACAAGCCTTCGGCCCTTGGGCCGCGAAATGCACGGTGAAACATGGCACACGGCAGCAGGCCTGCATGGACCGCAGCTGCTCCTGTCATGCGTGGTCGCCGTCTGATGCCGTGTACGACTGCAGTCTGCATGCGTTGTGGAATGCACATGCATCGGCAAAGACAGCGGATTGATTCCGGCCAAAGTATCCAAAATATCACTGGAAAAATGCTTCTTCATTACTTCCTAACCTGGTGCCTAGCTCCCGCCATAGCTCGCAAACCATAACTAGACTTGATTGATTTGTGGTTTCGACAGTTGTGCTGGCTACCCGCGTGAGTGGCAGAAGCAAGTTTGGCCTGGCCTGCAACTCTTCGACACGGACTTCCAGTGCCTGCAAGGCTTTGCTTAAGCTGAACAATGAATTTCATGACTTCAAGCCCCAAATACTGTGGAGGCCTGTCTCTCCTCCTCCCATCGTTCTCTCTCGGCCTGCACCTTCGCTTCCCATGGAGCGCTTCCGAGAATCCATAGCTTCCAACTCTGAGCAGCGGACCAAAGCGACGATGGAGTCTACTGACGTGTGGCCCTGTCCCCCAGCCCCATCGCGACATCGCTTTGCTCTCTCCAGAATGCGCCGGGCCGCGCGCCTTTTTGGCAGCCGCCTCAGCTGCCAAGTTCTCGCCCACGTCTAATGCGTCAGCCCGCCTCAGCGTCTTCTCAGGCTTGGCTCCGGCCACGAGGCCACTAAAGTAGCACAGAGCCAAACACACCCGGAGTCGTTTGTCCATGGGGGATTTTGGTCAACAGCCAACCTCCAGGGCACTGCTCAAGCAAGTTGGGGCGCTACCGGAGATGCGTGAAGCTGGTGGTGGCATAGGATTCAATACGACAATCGAATCCCTAAAGATCATCGTATAAAAATTTCGTGATGTGCTTGCTGGCGCTAGGAGTGCGTGCGTGTGTGTGAGCGCGTTTGCTTTGGAACAGCCATCGTTTCGCGTTGACTAATGGTGTGCGATTTGTGGCTTGGGCTTTGTGTGCTCGACCTGCGAGCTGAGGGTGTATAGTTGCCTGGCATTGAAGCTTTGGCCACGTATAGGCGAAGTACCAGAAAGGTGGACCAGGATGATGTTCACCTAAATGGAACTTGACTGCCACTCTGTCAAAGAGTTGCAGTGTGGTTAGTCGCACGACAGCAAGTTTCGAAGACGGCCAACAACATCAACCACCATGATTGTCCCAACATGTTTCGTATGCTGCTGACAGCACACAGTCTCCCTTTTACAGTCTTTCTTCAACCAGGTTTGAGGGCGAGCCCCCGGGGACGCCCTTGTGTTGGAGGGACGCAGTAAAAGTTAGAGGCCCCGAAAGCCCGGCACCCGTAAGAAACACGTCAGTGTCAATAAGGTAAAGGAGCTTCGGAAAGTCTCTCTCTTCCCCTTGCTTTCTGCGGGTTTGAGTGTGAGTGTTTAAGGATGGAGAGCAGCGGGAGTATACTCAGTCACTGCCCTGCCACCCTTCCAATCGACTGGTTCTATAAAGCCACACCGATGTTTGCAATGCCATGTGCCATGGTAGGCTGCTAGAGAGTACCTTTCTTGCAGCCAGTTGTCACTCCTCAACTCCTGCTTTGCCCCCACTTCTCTGCAAGCAGCATGACAGTTTCGATTTCCGACTGAGCGCACGTCCAATTCATTGAGGATGCATCACTCTTCTTTCCAATAGAAGACGTGTCGCTACCTGCTGATCAGCGACGTCCTACTTACAGCAAGCCAGCCAGCAGCCATCTATGGCTGAGTTCCCTGCCGGCTCTTTTCGGCGCATCCTTAATCCGCATGCTGCATGCTTCTAGCAAGTCGCTCAACACAATCGCAGACCGTTAGCAAACAGCAGCGTGTCGGGAAATCATCCACAAAAAGACAGCCGTCGAATGCAAAATTGAGCAGATCTCCTCGTCCTCAGCTTCTTCATCGCTTTCTCCGGGTCTGTCTAGAGCCTTGAGCTGTTCAAGCCTGTCGTCCAAGTCAGATCAACGCCAGACTAGCCAGTTCAAAGTCCCAAAGGTCCGGCCCTTCAAACGTGATGCGGGTGGTTTTGCGTTTGGAGATCTCCTTGCCATCCTGCCGGGATTGCCATCGGTACTGAAATGCATAGGTGTGCGATGGGTACAGACATGCACCGACGGTCCCTTAGGGAAGGTCGTAAGGAGACAGACGTTTCGGAGTCGCTAGCCACCTCCTGACAATGATGGGTCGGATTGCTGCCACGTGTCGAGCAGCTTTGAAATCACGCCGGGTCTGCACTTGCCGCTGCACTGACCACTGTGGAAGTTGCCGGCGTGTCGCCGTCCTGAATGCAGGAGAAAACAACGCCGGCAGAGTTTAGCAAAATCTTCGAGACCAATCGGATCCACGTACTGGATCTTCAGTTGGTTCTGGCTTTCGCAGCATCCACCTTCGCTGAGACCTACAGTGACCTGGTGTGAGAAAATCAAGATCCTTGACGGGATCTTTGAATGCACCCGCATGCAAAGAAGGCTCCTCCAAATGGGATACCAAGTAGGCCGGTGTCAGCGCTCCTCCAATGCTGCCCCTGCACGAGTGCTCAATGCATCACAACCGGAAAACCTGCTGCTTTGCATGGAGTGCTACGCATAGTGCAACGAAGATACTTGATACAAACATGCGCAAAGGAGAAGTGGCTTGTTAGCGCTGCGGAAAAGGGTCAAGCACGAGCACGATTCAATTTATTGACAGCTCCCAGCTCAAATTTTGGGTTAATCCACGACCTAATGACCGACCAAGTCGCCGAGGCTATATTCTTAAGTCTGGCAGATTGTCGACCCTCTCCATTCCGATCTGCCACCCGGACAGACCTTTAAGCAAGAGACTAGGAGCTTGACCGTATATAAGACTGCAGCGCTTGAGCTCTGATCACTCTGTCACAAACGCAGATCTTGGAACAAAGGCGCAGACATTGATGTAGTCCACCGCCTCCCGCTCAAGTACGATTGCTTGGAAAATTCAACGCAGACAGAATGTGGCCTCTTGTCGGAGCGCCGGACCCGCCACTGGGATTCGACAGCCCTGGACTTGAGGATTTCTCTTACTGCACACGGATCGAGGCCGACTGCCCGGCTTTCCGTTCGTATCTTTGTCGGGGCAGCCTTCTGCCTCAACAACTACGGCATGTCACCACTGTAGCCATCTCGGCCGATAAGAGCATGTAAGAGCCAAGCAGACACAGCGCGCTTGAAGTTGCCCGGAGCTGATGATAGATCCGAGCAAATCTGAACCTCGCAGTGCTCCAGAGGCTCACACGTTGGGAATGCTAATTTGAAGGGCTGTGGGTGGATGGCTCCTGGATCGGGGCATCCACTCCCGTTTTAGCTCGCCTTCCAGTGCCCATCCGACTTGGACCATTGGAGTTGAGTCCGGTCCGTATCGGAATAGACTTGATGCGATGAGGCTATGAGGCGGTTGCCGGTTGATCACACGTCCAAACCCTCGTTAGACGATGCACACTTCTTAAATGGACACACTCAGAAACCTTGGCGGTTGCTGCCACGTGTTAAACACGCATCCTCACTGATTAGGCAACAGCGGTTGGTGACGTGTCCTAAATCCGCCGTTGAGCACAGTTCTTACACCGCCCCCGCAACAGGTGACGAAGGTTATCACATTCTTAAACCCATGCCCTCATCAGGAAGCTCCTGAGAACTCGCCCTACATTATGCGGTGGAGGTCGACAACAACAAACAAATACTCTGAAGTAGATGCGCAACTCGCTCCTCTGCGAACCAAACTAACACTGAAAAAATCACACAGCATCTTTCTCACAGGGATGCGCAAGGTGCTCATGGTCTTGAGTCGACGGAGTTGGCATAGTCATCTCTGTCTGATCAACATTTCCCCTATGCCCAGTACTCTCCTTTTGCTTGAACAGTTTTGGGCGTCTTTCGAAAACCGTCCTTGGTGGAAACACGTGTTTTCTTCATGTTGTGCAGTTTGACGACGGCATGCCCGAATACCCACGGATAGCTCGAGCATACTTTCCTGCTGAAGGTCACGCTTCTCACGGCGATGTCTTGCCAATGGCTGTGGGGGATCCGAGCCACGGCATTTCCAGGGCCAACGTCTAGAACATATCCACCACCTGCCTTGTACCTGACCATTAAGTAAGACCATCTTGGTTCTCGTCGGCATCGCCATCTTCATTGTCTTCATCATCATGATCATGGTCATCATCAAGATCATCATCGACATCACCATTATTACTTGTCATCTTCACATTCGCATTCACCCTCATCATCGGAATAATTATCAACATCACCGTCATCACCCCCAACATCGTGGACCACCATCAATAATAGCAAAATTATAGCAATGGCTCTCGCCCACAGTGACGGAAACATTCACACCACTAGCAGCAATACAGCAGAGTTACCGTTTTCCTTGCTTTGCAGTTGCTGGCTTTGCTTAATCCGTGATTTTGTTCAATCTGGCTTGCCATCCTCGTGTACATTCTACACTTAGCATATCCTGTCTCTCCTTCCGTCCTTCTTTCGTTCGTGAGGCAGGGAAGTGCCACATCTGGTCCACACAGTTCAACAAAACAACTGGATTCTGTTGCAAAGCTAACGCCACGACACAGACCGGGATCACACTGGCTTGCATCTTCAGGTGTTGTCGCCAAGTTGGGTTGCTGAGTGAAAGTAGCTGCAAGCCACGGAATGCAAAGGCCCTGCGGCCCTGAAAACTCACTACGCCTTTTGGCTCACCGCTCGAGCATCCACAGCCCTGTTGCACAACAGTCTCTGCAAGCTATACATGGTGCACATGCCGCTGGAAGTCACATCGATAACCTTTTCTTGAGTTTTTCAGGGGCTAAATCATCAACGGTTTCGGGCTCTTCATCTAAGTACCATGGTAACTTCCCGGCACGGCTAAACTCTTCAAGAGCTAAAAGAAAGCTTTTTTGGCGTTCTTGGATCTCCTTCAGTAGCTTCGCTTTGTGAAGCTTCTTCCCCGCCGTGAAAGAGGGATCGTGCACAACACTCCACGTCTGGCCCCTGCGGTAGAACTCCAGCATGCCTTTCTTCGCTGCCGGCGCTGCCTTTGTCATGGCGTCGGCTAACTGGGCCACACCATTGACCCAACGAAGCTGGGTCTTCAGCTTCATCGCCTGTTGAACCGTCACTGTCAGCTCAAAGCCTGCCCTCGAAGAATGGAGCCCATGAAGCGCAGAAACATTCCTCGTCATAGCATCGAAGATGCCCTTGGAGTCGGTTACCAAGGCACCCATGGTCTTCTCTGCAACAAGGTTTTCCCAACTGTTGCGCTCAATCACAGCACCGTGGACCTCCAGCCAGAGAGCTCGGATCATGAAGACCATATCCTCTCCAACCGTCACAGCCTGAACTTCAGCTCCATTGCTCCCGAGGGTTTCCCTTGGACACTTGGAGCTCTTCCACGCCACCATGGCCAGTCGGACCTCTTCGCCCTGAAGGATCTCCTTGGGTCCCAGGCACGCCACGTAACCAATCGTGGAGGACTTGTTCGGCCGGTTGCCTTGTGAGGCATCCGCCCACACAACGGTCGCGATGTCCCGCCAGTCCCGATGCCAAGCCGGGAAGACGATGCTCTGGTCCGCGGTCCTTCTCATCTCCCTGATCATCTTGTTCACATCGACCAGCGTCTTGACATTGGCAAAGGGGATCTCCGAGAGTTTCAGGGAAACGTCCGCTTGGAGGTGCGGTCCGGTTTGTGAAGATTTCCAGGCCATGGTTCCAAGGGCACCCCGAAGATCCGAAATCTCCTGCACAGTCAGAGGAGACTTCAGTTCCCGAGCTCGGGCCGCAGTCAAAGGGATCTCGGCGACCCAGTCGGAGATGTACTCGCGCTGGTCCACGGTGATGCCTTCCTTGGTCTGACGAATATGGGTGCCCGCAAAAACAAAACCGTCTCCGCTTGCCTGGTCCCATTTTCCAAATTTGAACTGCTGCTGCAGGTCCTTCTTGGCCCTGACATACTCTGGGTGGTCGGCGATTCCCCCGATCAGAAAATCGTCAACGTGTAGGCCGGCAATGGCGATCAGTCGGCCGTCCCCTTTATCATATAAGGCAAAGAGGCACCGATCACTTTGCATTTGCCGCCAGCCAAACGCCACCATCGCCTTGACCACGGAATCGTGCCACCGTCGCGGTGCGTGGACCAATCCATAAAATGCTTTCACCAGCTTGAGCACCGTGCTATCGTCGTTGGGGTCTGCTCCGAACATTACAGCCAACTCAGCCGGAGCCTTCACCAGGAGGTTTTCACTCTCGAGACTGCCAATAGTTTGGAGGAATGCGGAGGTAACGTCCCCACTCTCCAAAGTGAAGCCATGGTTCGCCACGCAGCTTAGCAAAACATGGCGGCCGGTGCGGCTTAAGGTTGGAGCTGCCGTTTCCACTTCAGTCAAATTCGGCGCCTGGAACCCCAGCACGACGAGTCGCGCCTTAGCGCGGCCGTCCGCTTTGCGCGTCAGCACCCACCTCATATTCATCGCCCGTGACAAATCGAGCGATGAGGTCTCATGGCGAGACAAGGCTCTCACCGCCTGCTCTCGCACCACATTGGTCACCTCGGTCGCCATAGCAGTGTCAAACTCAGCTTTCTCCTCCAAGGTGAGATGCCTCCAATTGACTTCTTTTGACTTCTCAGCCATCTTCTGGGAAAGCCAAATGCCAGCCTTGAGGGGCTTCTTGAGGACCCGTCGCAGATCACGATCTCGGACCTCAATTTCGCATGCGTAGCCCTTGTCGCAGTTCTCCGGCTTCCGGTCCTTCTTTTCCTTGGCCTGGTAGTTCACCCGAGGCTTCTTTGTGGGTGAGCCTTGGCCCTGGCGGTCTGCCACCAACTCTTCGTCTGAAGACGAACTGGTGGAAGACTCTGAAGTAGAGTAAGGGGCTGCGCTTGCGTGCTCCTCTTCAAGGAAGTCTGGCTGCTCCGGGAGTGCTCGCTCCCCTTCTGGCTGCACTTGTGGAGGTAGAAACTGAGGAGGTACTGGTGTCTCCGGCGCCATTTCTTCATCTGGATCAGGTCCTCGCCTTTTTGGATCCGGCACCGGTGGTTCCTCCCACATTGGCTCAGAAGCTTGTGGTACATCACGTCCTGAAGGCAGAGGTGCTTGTGGCACATCACGTCCTGAAGGCAGAGGTGCTTGTGGTACATCACGTCCTGAAGGCAGAGGTGCTTGTGGTACATCACGTCCTGAAGGCAGAGGTGCTTGTGGTACATCACGTTCTGAAGGCAAAGGTGCTTGTGGTACATCACGTTCTGAAGGCAACGGTGCTTGTGGTACATCACGTTCTGCGGCCTGAGGGTACAAGTGAAGGAATTCGGGCTTGATCTGGAATTGAGTCTCGCCCGTCCATCTTTCCATCAAGGCTCGTCCAGGCCGCTGCTCTGCAGTGAAGTCGTCCTCGATGGTCTGGCCTCCCCCAGGAACCTGAATGATGGTTCTGCGCTTTCCCGTAAGGTGGTCAACTTCCACTGGGGAGTCCTTGGTGCGCTGCGGGACGAAAAGGGTCAGCCTGGCCACGTGGTGTCGCCGAACAAGGGTCCCAGCCTTGAACTCCCACAGGTTCTTGTCGGCTCGGGCAGCAGGTCGAGGTTCGACACGCACAGTGGCCGGGGCAAGGTCCTCATCAAGGTCGTGGCCGGGTGTCTCCGCCGTCGCGTCTTGATAGTGTTGCCCTTGTAGCCACGGAGCAGGATCTCCACGCCGACCGCCTGCTGGTACACAGTAGTCCCCTGAGTCGTGGCGACCAGCTTTTCCCGCTCGGTGACAGGTCGCACCTGGTTCAGCTTGGCACGAACCAATGTCGACCCTGTGGCCGCCGAGAAGGTCTTTGGCTTTCTGGAGGTTGTGTTGTTCAATCGAGTCATTTTCTCGGCGGCGTCAGCGCGGGCAAATGCCGCTTCTGCTTTGGCCCTCAAAAGCAACATCCGGTTGAAAGCTCTCCGTGGGTCCAACCCCACCGGGACGGTGTCCTCCCTTTGCCATCCACGGGCCCACTGATACGGACTGTATCCAGTGGCGGCGTGAACAAAGGAGTTGTGCCCGTGCGCCGCCAGGACCATAGCGTCCTCAATGGATATTCTGAGATCTTCTCGATCGATTTTCTCTGAGGCACGTTTGATGGTTTGTATCGTTCGTTCTTCTATTCCTAAGACCCAATGTGCCTCTGCGGGCGCGATCAATAGCCCGGTGCCGCTTCTCCCGCAGAAATCAAGCATCTCTCTGGAGGTGAAGTATGCAGCGGCATCGGCCAGGAGCCACTTAGGAGCAGGATTCGATCCGAGCCAAGTCTTCACGATGGCCCGTCGGATGTCATAGGTACTCGGCTCCCAGCCCTCGCTAGCTGGGTATTTCTTCAGCAGGTGCACCATAGTGAACCTCGACGCCCGGTCCACCATCAGCAGGAATTTCGCCTTATAGTCAGTCGGGGTGCCGTCCACATTCTCCTTGTAGTCCACCTCGAACACATCCATGTGGAGGACCTCCCACAGCCCGGGTGGATCCTCTAAGCTGCTCGGCGGCGGCCCTTTGATTCTTTGGGCTTCCTGGCAATCGCAGCATTCCAAAGAACGTGCCATCTCCACAGCCCATCCGGGAGCCCCACGTCGTTGGAGCAGCTTTGCGAGGTTCTCCATGGAGGTGTGGCCGGAGGCGCGGTGGATCCGGAGCATCATGTCCGTGATCTCGCTGAGCTTCTTTCCCGCAGGCTGCTCCACCGGCAGGTTGCCCGATGTTCTCGCCAAAGCATACGTCCCAAGCTCCCCGGTGACCAGTTTGTACACTTCATCGGCCAAGGTTGGCCCTTGCCCCTTGAGTTCCCAATGGATCCCGGCAATGGCCATCTTGACCAGCCTTTCAGGCCATGTCACGGGGCCCTCTGGCACCGAAGGTTTGTCGCCCAGACTGTGGCAACGGCGAAGAACAGCTGACAGCTGCCGGCTGGTGGTCATCATCATCCACCGTTTCCCGTGCGCCGCCGCGGCTTCTCCAAAGTACCGGCCATCAATTTCCAGCTCGTACAACGGGCGGCCGCACTCAACAGAAGTTTGCCTCAGCAGGTGGATTGCTGGGCTGTCACGGCCGTATCCAAGATCCAGGGGCCACTCCCATACAAAATCCAGGCCTTCTCGGATTTGATCACAGGCCCCTTCAGCCACTTCCAAGCAACGTCGTTGAGCTCGCTGTCGGTTTCGGGCCTGTGTTGGCGATTCTTGGGCCCAGTGGCCCAAAGACGGAGCCCCTTTCACGGCCGGAGCGATCCACAAGAAAGCCGGCCTGCTAGTTTCCCGGAGGTTCGCAACCACCTTCTCCGCAATGTTCTTCTTTTCCACGTAGTACCCGGTCTTCGCGGAGAAGAGCTCGTAGGTGATGCCCTCCTTCTCTGCCACGTCACCAAAATGGCCGTGGCTGCTGGTGCCATTGATTTCCAACAGCTCAGCCCGCTCGATCGAATTCATCAGTGCAGTCGTTGTGCAAAGCAAGGTCATAAAGTAAGTAAACCCTGCTGCGTTCATGCTGCGCCGAGTGGCGCTCGTGAAACCCTTCTCTCGGCACGGGAGACCTCCTGTGCATGGGCAACCACACGTGTCGCCAGGACGGTGCTCCACACCATCCGCTTGCACTCTCTCCCCGGCCCGCTCTGCGATCCCGGGCTGGCGTGCTTCCTCCTTGGCTTCCTTCCGGCGGGTGGTTCACCGACATCGCCTCGAAGCTGTGGTCGGAGCTCACCTCGACCTCGGATCCCGCCATCGCCTTCTTGAGCTTTTTTTTGAGAGCCTTCACCTTCTGTTCCTGCGCGGCGATGTTCTCCAAGGCCTCCTCGAGCTCGCGTCGGTCCACCACTTGCTCCTGAGGGCGTGTCGTCGCTTTTGGTCGTGCCTTCGGGGCTTGCGACTCGAGGCTTTCCAGGGCCGCCGTCGTCAAGGTCGGTCCCGTCGGCCGGCTGGGTTGTGTCGTCGATCCGATCGGCGGCGTAGGCTGCCTTCCCCGGACAGGTGGCTCCTCCGGCTCGCGCTCCTCCATCAAAGTGGTCAGGGCAACACGGTGGCCGGCTACCATCCGCCGGCCCTGCACTTCCAAGATCTTGCCCTTCATGATCTTCTCCGTCATGTCCCTGGAAGCCACCATGTCCCGGAGCTCGGCCACCGCTTCCATCACCACGTCCGGCGTCGGGCCGCCGGCCCTGGATCCTCCATGTCCCTGGCGCTTCACCACATAGTGCAGCCGCACTTGGAACATGCCGTCCACGAGGCCCACTGGTTCTGGCGTGTTGGTCCGGAAGTGTGTCGGCCGTGGCAAGGCCAACCTTCCTGTCGCGGATCGTCCTGAGGTGCCGCCGTCTTCGAGGCCATGGATCGTAGAAGAAAGCCGGAGGTTGAGGCTTTGCACGCGTCTCCAAAGACTCTCGATCCGGCGTGGCCACGGCGGAGGCACAATTTCGAAAGCCAGCAGCTGACCAGTGGAACTCATCATGAAACTGTCGTGTCTAGGTGGCAGATCGCAGGCACTGACACTCTCTGAGGGCATGTTGTTCTGGACAGGAACAGGGCACATACTTGAAAACACTTCCGCACTTTTCCTCGGAGAACCCTGAAGTCGACGCAGCTCTTCGAAGGCACCTGGTGTGGCCATCAGGTCAAGAACACTTGGGGCATCAGGAGGAAGGAGCACACTGTACTGCTCCTCGGCCTGCTTCCGAATTTCGCTGAGATTCAAAGGCTTCCCTGCCACAGGCACCATCAGGTGGCCAGTCGTGGTCTGGGAAAGGTCCGTGCTCAGCAGGTCCCCTCCACACAAAAACCATAGCTTGAGGTGCTCGTAGCTGATGGCCGCCTTCGACTCCCGGAGGAACTTGCTGCCGATCAAGGCCTGTGTGTCTTCAGCCCGGCAGGTGGAGGGCCGGTGGTCGCCGTCGAGGACATAGAAGCTGATTTTCCCAAAAGGCGACTCACCCAAGGTCAGCTTGGAACTCGCTCGAAGGCTCAGGCCGTCCCCAAAACGGAACACCGGCCTATCACTCGTGTCCACCCATCGTCGGCACCGAGTGGCCGTCAGGATGGCCTCAAGCGTCTTCACTCCGACGGCGTTCTCGGTGGCCCCGGTGTCCACGATGTAGCCCAGGCTGTCGCTTCTCTCACACACCAGCGCTCGCTCCAAGCTCATCACATGGAGGTGCTCGACCCTAGGTGGACCATCGCACCGGCAGTCGGGGCAGTGATCCCCGGCATCGGCCCCGCCATCGTTCAGGAAGAGGCCCGCCTTCACCATCTCGCCGCTGGCCTCCTGGTACTCGTCGTCGGTCCGAGCGTTCTCGGGGTCAGCCGGGATCACCTCCATGCAGTACGCGCTGTAGTACACCGGCTCCTGCCAGTATGCCGGCCGAGCGCCCTTCTGCTTTCCGGGTCCTTTTCCAGCACGGCCGGGGCAATCCCGGTATAAGTGGTTCTGGCTTCCGCACAGCAAGCAGCCCGACCCCTTGCCAAAAGTCTTTCCCTTTTTGCCAGGCGGCCCCTTCGAGAACTTCCCTTTCTGCATCGACTTGCTCTGGCCCTTCTTGCCCGAGATGCTGCCTTTCTTGCCGCTCAAGGGAAAGTAACCTCTGGCAACCCGAACCTTGGCCACAGCCGCTCTTGCCTCGGTCAAAGTGCGATTCGCCTCGGCTGCCAAGGCCTGCGCCTCCTGCTCTTGGGCCACCAGGTTGTGCTCATCGGTTTCCGGCGCCTCGGGGTCGACCTCTTCCTGTGCAGCCGGCCCGTCGTAGTAGACGTCTTCTTCGGGCCAGTCGGCCCATTCCCATTCAGAGCCAGCCCAGTACAGAGCCGGGTCCTCCTCCCAGCTCCAAGCCAGCCATCCCCAGGCGTCATCCTCGGCGCCATCTCCAGCCCAGCCTTCGTCTTCTGCTTCCTCGGCCCACCAGATCTTGCGTCTTGCCTGGCGGGAAGCTGGGTCAGCATCATCGAAAAGCGCTCGGAGAGCTTGTCTCACCTTGTCGAAGGCGACGGAGTTTCCAGTGAGAGTCAAAACTTGTTGCCTCTCCTGGTAGGAGATGCCACTGGCCTTCAAGAGTCGGAAACCACGGAGTTCATCCTCAAAGAAATCCAGGGGCTTTCCGCCCGAAACTTCACCAAACTCAATGTCCTTCGTTTCACCAGCCTTCGGTGCAGAGCTCGGAGAAGCAGCCGCCTCTTCAGAAGGCCTCTCTCCTCCTGCAGTGGCCGCTGTTGGAGTCGCCGGCGGGGTAGCGGTCGCCGCTGGTGTCGTGCCCGAAAGCGTGCTCGTGCCTCCGGGTCCCCGTGCCCTCGATCGTCGAAGGCTTTGCTGCAGTTCCAGGAACAGCTCATCCTCTCTCACAAGCAGCTCCGGGATGCTTTCCGCATCCTTTCGCCGCAGCTGGTGCCACTTCTCTAGCTTTGCAAAGGAGTCCGGAATAGGCAGGGTCTGCAAGGGGGAGCTCCGAAGAACCTCCAACAACTTTCCCAGCCCACCTGGCTGGTCGAAGCCATCTGCGGAGAGGTGCTTCACAACACTTTTGGCCGGACCACTCAGTCTGGCCCACACTCGCGCCGCAGCTCCTCTCCGCTCGGCCTCCTTCAGCGTCTTCTCGAACCACTTGCAGGCAACCTCAAAGGCCTGGAAGCTGGACGGGTTGCCGTCCCATCCAGGAACATCCACATAGCCGCCTGCAGAAGCCATAGCACAGCCAGCTCGTAATCTTCAGCTCGTGGATCACACTTCTCTCACACCCAAAGGCTCCGCTTCCTCCTTCCGCATTTCTCTCACGCGGTACAGCTCTGGATCCTCCCAGGCTGCTCCGCTACCATGAAAGTAGCTGCAAGCCACGGAATGCAAAGGCCCTGCGGCCCTGAAAACTCACTACGCCTTTTGGCTCACCGCTCGAGCATCCACAGCCCTGTTGCACAACAGTCTCTGCAAGCTATACATGGTGCACATGCCGCTGGAAGTCACACTGAGCACTTTGTTGTTGGTGCGCCCCAAGGCAGGCGTAGTAGGCATGTTCGTTCAGCCCACACTTGTATTTGTCTGACGTGAATCCTCGCTCGTTTCTGCATATGCTCGGTGTAGTATGCCTGTCGGGGCTACCCTTCCCGGAAGTGCGACCTAAGCCGCTGCTAGGCATTTCTCGCGTCTCGGACTGCAATGTGGCGACGTCTCCTCAACTAATTCGTTGTTCTTGCTCTCATACTTGTTATTGTTCCCTGGGACTTGCGCACCTCAGCAAAAAAGCAAGAGACAGATGCTCCGAAGCCACGCCTTTGTCAGCCGCTCCACAGCTCCCTCCAGCTCGTGCAGGACCGCCTCCTGGTCAGGAGTCAGGATCTGCGCTCACGATGAGACGGCTGAGCTGAACGCCTGGAGCCTGGCCTGCAGCGTGGACAAATGGGGCTTTAAGGCATCTCGGACCTGAGACCATGGCTCAGGGCTGCAAGAAAGCTGCAGCAGAGCAACCTGGCCATCTTGGCCTGTCGTTCCATCGGAGTCTCGGCCTCTGCCGAGGGAGGACCAGAAGCGCCTCTCAAGAAGGCCGTGTCCCGCTACCACGCGGCGGCAGCTTAATTTGCCAGCCCCATAGAGACCCAAGTTCTTGACCCCAAACTCCGAACTTGAGAATCGAAAAGTCTAAACCCAAGTCCCGAAACCCCAAGGTGCTCTGACAACAAGACCCCCCCAAGAAGTTGGCTCGGCCGAGGCCGCGCGCGCCTTCGTGCCTGCTCGCAACCTGGGAGGCAGCGCTGAATGCGCTCGAACCTAGCCTATTCAAAAACACATCAACCGTAGAACTGTATTCGGGCGGCTGGTGGCATGATCATGCCAAGGAGCGGGTATGTCTTCAGGCTTTATCCCAGGCTGATCGTCTTTTTGCCTGTGATGAGCTCGTGTCCGCCTCTTGAGTCACTCCATTTCCCTATGAAAGCCGCCTGGATCTGGGTTGCAGAAGCAAGGCGCGCAGACCCATCACACAGCCTTCGGCAAACTGTCTTCCAATGGGCGGCTAGACAAGTGAGTGAATGTCACCTTGTTTCCGTGCTTCTGCATCCCTTCAAGTGTGTGCAAGCTACAGCTACATGCCAATGATGTAGAACTTGGGAGCACTTTCACTCGTGGCAAACAAACTCGTGCTTCAGCAATGGACCGGCCTTGGCTGCAGGGCATGCCGCGCAAGCTATGTATATTCCGCCATCTCGATCGCAGCACTGGAGCCCTACCCGCTTGTCTGCTTCGTGTTTCTTGCCATTCAATTCTGATAAAAGTGATGCAACACCTTCGTTCGCACGGACGTTCAGTCACAGCCTCTGAGCTTGCAAGACTATTTCTCGGATGACTTACCGGCATAGTCGAGATTCTTCTCGCGGTTTTGAAGCTTGCTTGGGCTTGTTTGTCGCCTGCAGCCTACCATGATCCTTCTGAGAGATCAAGCGCCGGCTCGAGCCCTTCAAACATCTTCACTCACAACCTGAAGATGCCCGCGACAATCCAGCGTAAACACGACAAGCCCTTACTCGCCTTGGCATCGACCAGCCGCACGTGAGTCGGCTCGCGCCAGTTCTCGAGAAGCTCTCTTGTGGCTACCTACGCCTGTACAGCAGCATCATAAGAAGCTGCTGTCGTGAAACGTTGAAACGCTAGCACAAACTGTACCGGCATCCGCATCCCCATAACAACACTGACAACACCAATGGGAGCCTTAGAAGGCTATTCACGGGTCGAATGACCAGGGTAGTGCTGCTGTCAGGGGATACAAATCAGGTATGAATTTCTGCACTAGTATCCGCCAATCCACAATCTTGCTGTTGTGGAGACAGCTGAGACAGCTGCGCAGGTGGCAGAAGTCGCTAAGAATGCATTAACCAGGCACACCCTCGGCATCAGAACTCCATATCCCAACCTGGAGATGGGTCCTAGGTCAGACCAAGAATGTGTGGCAAATTCGCACACGGGCGCAGCGGCTGAATAACTTTTGCATGAATAAATCCGACCGGCACGTCACCTGCCAGGGCTCCTCCGGTGCGGCGCAGCGTGCCTGCCCAAATGTAAAGCTACAGTACATCCATCAGCGCTTGACAATCTCCGATGCACGTCGGATGAGCTTGGGCCTCATGCGGAATATTTTGACAGCAACTCCAGACGGTTGAGGGAATCGCTGATTAAGCCATTCTGTAAACGCCCGGTCAGCCGCCAGCCTATCTCGTTTGAGCACATATGTTTGGACAGCTCTTAAAGCTCTTAGGACTTTGCCCCCCTCCGACTCTCCAGCTGTGATCGTGCTTGTGTTTTGGCGGCATTGGCTATCTTGCTACACTACGTGCTTCAGTACAACCGAAGGCAAATGGTGCAAGGATGCTGGGGTCACACTTCCACCCATGCTCGAGGTACGCTGAGGGTCAGGGGGAAACAGGACGGCCTTCAAGTCACTGCTCACCTGCTCACCCGTCCTCTCACTCGCTAGCCCGCTAGCTGACCCAATGATTTCTATGGTGCGTGTTTGTTTGGCAGCCTTACAGTCGGGGGCTCTGAATTTCTGAGTGTTTACTTACACCACATACTGGTACCTGTCGCCACGAATGTGCTTCGTTGTAAGCTTGGATGGTGATTAATTGGAGGCGTGCCTCCTCCTCTTCCACCGTAGGCAGAGGCTTTCCCGCTGACTTCGGGTTCACAGGCTGGCTCTTGTCCTGGCCGACTGAGTGCCGGTGAAGGCAGACAAGTCTGACGTTTTTTGTTTAGGTTTGAAACCCTGCAGTGGGAACACAAAGCGCTTGCCTAGCGGAAACCCACCAACACTGCTTTGAAACTGAAACAGCGAAGAGAGTCCTCAGAAAGTCAAACCACAAATTGGAGGCACGCACCCGGCAGTCCTCAGCATATTTCTCCGACGCCGGGATGTATGGGGGGTCATACTCACGACATAGGAGCTTTTCCCAGCCTTTGCAGATAGCTCAGTGATTTTCTGAGTCCGCCACATCATCATGGATTCGGGCTCTCGGTACCAAATAGGAAGCAGAATAGCTCAGGCCCGCGCACAACGATTTGAAGAAAGGATGTGCCTTCAGCTTCGCATATCCTGTTCGTGGCATGTCTGCAGCAGCAGCTTGGCTTTGTTTGTACTGGCAAAGCCTTCGTGACCAGCGCCCAGCCGTCTTTTGGGATCTCTCGACAAGAGACCCCGAAGGAGGCCTGGAGTACATTCTACGAAGGTCTGCAAGTGGTGCAAGCCTGCGGAATCCACAAGAAGGCATCAAGAGTGGACTTGCTAGCGCCGCCAGACTGTGGACAGCTGACTTGCAATGAGTTGCACTACTTTTCACTGCCGGGGCGGCAGCCCATTGTTTCCTCCGCCATCGGCTGTTTGTAAAACCTCGCAACAGCAAGGAACTCTGGCAACTTCATGGCACAGCTGTAAGCTGCCGCCCCCTCCGGAGTATGACGCCGACCACTCGGGAAATCGCAATGGGGCTCGCAAGATCTGGTGGAAGATCCTCGGCTGGGCACCAAACTCTACGTGCGCCTGCAGAACATTGTGCTGGCATGTACTAGCCAGCTGGTTCCGAAGTCTAGGCATCTAAGCCCTGCAGTGGGCAAATAAGAATCGAGCTGGCCACGATTGGAGCAGTTACTGGCGAACGGAAACTGGCCGACGACCTTGCTGCGAGCTCTTATCAAATCTGCTCGGCCGAAACTGAGCTTGGCTTGGCCCGCGGCAAACTCATAGAGGCAGATGCCCAGGCTCCACAAGTCTGCCACGGTGGAGTTCCCCTGCACTGGGACTACTGGACGATTGTGCATCGGACTCGACCGTGCAAGCCTTGCCAAGGACCATCTCAGGCGCCATGAAGACTGGGGTGCCCTCCGCGGTCGCACGCTTCTTGTAATAGAGTTTGATTCCAATCGCATGTGGCTCTTTCGCTCCTTTGTCGATAAACCGCGAAATTTCATGGCTGATAGTGGCCCCAATCCAGCCAAGAACTTGTGCAAGCCACCCGGAGCTGTGAGGAAAAAGGCTTTGCAGTCAACTCGTTGGAGCCTCGTGACTTGCGCCCTTTACGGCTTCCGTTCAACTGCTGTTGGATGGTTCGCCTGCTTTTCCAAACATTGTGGTCATCCTATGGGGTTCTTGTGTTAAGAGTGAAGAGAATTGGATATTTGGGGGGTCATGCCCCGAGGAGCCGGGTTCAATATATGGACCAGCTAAATTTGACTTCCAAAACCTGGGATTCGCAGCATTTCCTGGAGATCTCCCTTCTGAATCCCGTCATTAATTGGAATACTTGCGCCGTCGTCCGGGATGCGCCAGTCTTTGCTTGGGAGACAGCACCTGCCCGAATCTTCCTGAATCCTGTCGGCACTTGTACTTGGAGGGGGAAGCGGGGGCCTCTCGGCAGTGGTGCTGAATCCGCCAGAGCTTGGGGGGAAAGTCATTTGCCCATGTGTTGGTGGTGTCGCATGGTCTTCTGCCATGTCTTGATGGTGTCGTGGTGGTCTCCCGGTAAATTCCTGGTGCTCTCCTGGTCTTCGTGGTGCTTTTACCGTTTGGAGATCTACGATTGCAGCCCTACTGACTCTGCTATTTGCACTCAATCGGGCCGTTGCACAAACGTGAGTGACTCGACCGTGCGATGACTCTTAACTGTGTAGCTTCACCAGCAATGCTCCAGGGCCATTAAGGCAACCCAAACCCTGATACATGGTGCGGGTGGTCCGTTGTGTTGTGTAGTACGGAAAATGGTACACTGTTCGATCGGACGCCTAAACGAGTTGACGGCAGTTTTCTGATGGCTCTTCGACAGGTGCACCTGCTTCAAACCGAGAAGTACTGTTTCTTGCACTGGTGCAAATCAAACTTTCTGAAGCAACCGAGCGAAGCCCCATGCCATCACTCAACTCAACGTCCAACTGCAAGGCCGTCCCGGAGCCCCAGTGCCAATGAATCGATGCTTGCTAGCACGAACCACTCCCTGAAAGTACAGCGCAGCACGTGCCCTGGAAAGCCGCTCTCCTGCAATACCCGGTGGGGACTGAAGACCCTGGGACGGGCGGTGCCTTCAGGGGCCCATACCTGGTCTTGGTAATGCGCCGGGCGATGCCGAAATCAATCATCTTGAGATATCCCTGCAGTTTGCTCACCGGTTGCACAAAGAAGCTTTTCAACTGTGTAGCTGCCTGCTGGTCAATGAGACAGTTCTCGCTCTTGAGATCGAGGTATGCGATGCCTGTCTAAAAATATGAAACTCAGCGCAGCAACTCAGAACCACAGGACCGACTGAGAATCCGACGGCGGGAATGCAGAAACTCGAGGGCAAGGACAATGCATCCGGTGTAGAACAATGCCTACTGCAAACAAGTAGCATGTGATTGGATTGGCAGCAGCCGTGAACTGATCCAAACACATGTGCCTGCCAGTGATTCAGAAGTCCCAGTGCATCGAGTGCATCCAGCAGTTCGCCGCCGGTTACCAATTCTGTCAGGAAGAACACGGATCTCCTTAATCGGCAGATACCGGCAGTGCGTTACAATCGACTGATGCAGCAGTCCCGACAGCAAACGTCAAAGGCTGGTGTAACTAACGCAGGCCGAGATGCTCGTCCCGAAATGACCGCACGAACTTGACGATAAATGGATGGTCAACCTCTCTTCTGCGGGACGCTTGAGAAAACGCGCAGAACGAAAGCCACACACACGCCGGCCCCGTGCCTCCTTTAATATGTCCAGCTCTGACAGCAAGGCATCTTGCATATTTTTTTCCACCACGTCACGTTTTCGGACACACTTCAAGGCATACCTGCAAGGACAGACTGCGTGCAGGGTGTGCTCCTGCTCAGACTCCGATCGTCCCCCACCTTACTCCAGTCTTCTTGGCACGAACCATCTTCACAACTCCAAAGCCACCTCGCCCGATGACCCGGACGAACCTCTCAGAGTCACGGAGTCAGGCAGCGCAGTGCTTGCAAATGCTGCGCATCCACGCATTAAGGCGAGGGCTCGAGGTCTTTAAACGTCAAAGCTGTGTCCTCTAGGGCTTCGCTAAGCCGCTAAACAGGTGGTGCCGGCACAGGACTGCGATGTCCTGCAAAGAGATCCGGTCTTTCAGGTAGTCCAGACACTGGCCTTGCCTGCAGTCTTGGGCGCTGGGTCTTCCAGGACACAACAGGCCTTGGGACCCGGCATCATTTCCTGGAAGGTTTCTTTGCCCATTTTCCAAAGCTCCGTGTCCTGACACATCATCCTTGCCAATATGAGGACTCGCGGCGCTGTTGCAATCCCGCTCCTCCAAAGCAGTAATGCTGGCACTGCGAACTTCGTTTCCCAGCAAAGCACGCTCCCCGAAATAATCCGCATGGCCAAGCCTCTCAAGGCTTTGCTTAGGAAAGGGATGCGCTTTGGCAACTCTTGGACCGAGAACATGGCCGCCGCTTTTGACAGCCATCGATTTCCACGCTGACCGCACCCTTTCGGATGATGTAGAAGTGCCTCACTAAAGACTCGTCACATCTGCTAGTCTGTCGCAGCATAGGCTCCGACGTTCCTTGGTCACCTTGCGCAAACACCTCTGCTGCAAGGCGGAGTCTCTTCAGCCAGGTCCGGGGAGGTTGTGGGTGTCCGGCACGGCTGCCACACTTGACGGTCTCAATCTCCAAGGCGCGTGCCAAACCTCGGACCACTGGGGCAGTTTTAGAGTTGAGGCCATTGTTGGGCAGGCGTCCTGCGGCGTTGATTCTCCAAGCACCCATTCTGTCCACGCGCTGAGTCAAATGTCAAACCACATTTAATCAAGCCTGTTGGAGACGTGACATTGTCTTGAAACACTTCTAGCACACCCACCGGCACTTCGACAGGGTGGTCCTGGAGGCGAGACCGTGCCCACTAGGGCCTCATCGGTGAGTGGGTCACTCTTTATCTGGAACCCCCGAACACTCAAGACCTGCACTGAGGCTGTACTCAACAAGGTACAACCACTCGTTCTTGCGCATAACAGCCGCAAAGGCTCTGACGTTGAAGTTGGTGCTTGGACAGTGTCGAGAAAACAAACACAGAGCGCAGACTTCGGACCTTGGCAACCGGCCAGTAATGACAAGTGCAGCCTCGACAACACCGACACATACCGGCCTTGCTGTCCTGCTCCAAAGCGCCATCAAAGTCATGGAACGTAAGGATGCTTTCCAGGTCCTCTGGGATTCACGTGACGTCCGAAGTGATGCCTCGATTCGCTATGAGCCATTATGAATTGTCCTCGCGCTGCCAAACCGCAATCTTCGAATCAGCAAGTGCTTGGAGCTTGAGTGGCATCTGCCTTGTCTCTAGCATGGCAGCCAGAGAAGCAGGGCATATCTCTGCTCCCAACATTTGGGTGCCTCAAGCCCAACACGAAGCTTTGCTAGAAGCCTCTTCCAAATAAGCAAAATTCAGCAAATCCCATGTCCGTCCTACTCTGCAGACCTACAGTCCTGACGGGTTTCCATTGCACTCCATAGCGGCAGCAGAGGCTGAGATCGAGGCAGATCCCTATTCGGCATGCCGAACATATAGAGATCGGACCTTCACAGACTTTGCTGTCGCAGCACACTCGCAACACTCTCTCAATGAACAGTTCCAGAACAGTCCAAGCCCACAACGAAGCACCAAGCAGGTGCTGTGGACCAGTCGCAAGGCTCCTGTAAGATCGGACCGTCTTCGACTTGCCGCAGCAAGGTGGGACATTGAGGCTTGGACAGCTGAACCTCGCCGTTTACTGCCATGATGACCCGCACGTCCTGTGGTGCCGCTTCATGCGAGGCACTGCCAGGAGCACATACAATCGCGATGCAAAGCAGAACATGAATTCATGCGCACGAAACCTTTGCCTTTTACCAAAAGGGTCTCAACCATGATCGTTGTGCACACTCATCGTAGCACCACGCGTGTGCTTCTGGAATCAGAGCAAGCTGGCCTCCCAACTGGCCTCCGAGCCTGCGCACAAAGACATCCAAACTCTGATGCGCCTCAAAGTGCCTCAATTCGGACTCAGCGGCCTCTAGGCAAACACCGTATCTGGCACGCGGTGGCGATAGCTTCTCTGTGCTCTTGGTGCAGCCGGGAAAAATCCTCCATGCTGGAAGACAGCATCACTCATCCAGGCCTATTTCCAGCCGACCTCGTGCTGCGCCAATACGTAGAGGACCCTGTTCCTCACGAGGACCTTCCGACACAAGTAACGAACAAGCGGGCGATCAGTCAATCAGCTGCGGGCATGACGCATGCATGCAAGCCGCAAAGCTGCACAATTGCAGATCCAACAATCTTGTCTCTCTGCTTGCAGTAGTCTGTTCAAGTATAAGCGAGAGAGAGAGAGAGAGAGAGAGAGAGAGAGAGAGCTTGCTTGAATGCTTCTGCCTGCCTGTTGCAACCTGCTGCCGAATAGGGAGTCCAGTAGGCTTCGCTTCAGCACCAGCAGCCTCGGGACTGCACATGCGACATCGAAGGCGCAAAGTTCGGAAATTGTGTGCCGTGATGCCAACAAGATCAAGCTCACGGTAGCAGAGCTCCAACGACAGAAATCCGATAATGCAAGCAAGGCAATGCAAAACCAGTCGCAAAATCTTCTAGTTGGCTTGCGTCCGTTTCTTTCAGCGGAAAAAACTGCGCTCAGCCCCAGGCTCAACAGCTGTGGCTGCAGTCAAGCTCGTCGGCTGCTCAAAAGCCAGTCCATCCTGCGGTGCTGAACACTTTCCGAACCAAGGTCAACATGTCAACACGACAGATCGACATGTCCTACGGAGGCCCAGTTGCACGAGCTTACGAGCACAAACGCGATCCCTGCACATCAACTCTTGCATCGTAGACGAATCTCGAAAGCCCCCATTCACAACACTATTGTGAGAACCAGCATGTGAGCCTTTTCACAGAGTAGCAACACCCAGTTCATTCATGCTTCACAGTTGAAGGCAAAGTTCCGGCGAAACATCTCATGCGCAAGACAGCAGCAAGCAAGATACTATTCCCACTGGCAGCACCAACACTGAGTGTCTCCAGAGCATGCCAAAGCTATAGTTATTGGACCAAGCTTTGTGCTGCACCAAACCACATACATAGCCTCATGCCCGTCCTCGAACAAAAGTGCCCGGTCTCCCATCAAGTAGAACCTGGAAATTACGTCTAGCAACGGCGAGCTTAGAGACATACGTCAAGAAGCTAGAGATTACTTGCTACATGGCCCATAACGTAGCCTCGCCTGGGAACTTTGCCCATCTTCTGTCCTCCTGACCTTGCCAACCGTGCATCGGACAGAAAATATCGAATGCCTGCCTGCTGACGCACGGGTCCCTCCACTGTGGACGACGCGTCGAGTCTACTTCTCCACTGAAAAGGATGAAAACCTTGCACGGACCAGGACAAGCCAGTGATTCAGGTGAACGGAGAAAGCTTGTGCTGCTTGCGGCCTCGTTGGGCAAGTCGCCTTCCCGGAGGACTAGCTCCCCTGGTTTGAAGGATTTCATCTCGACCTCGATGAGGATATCAGAAACGACTCAAAAGTTCCAAGGACCAGCAGATGCGAACTCGAAGTGACACCAGGCTGGCATGCACATGCAGGCAGTGGCTCCGCCTGATCATAAAGGCTTTGAAGCTGGTATCCGTTCAGGCCCGACCTGAGGGTGCAGAGTCCAGACAAAAGCTCGAGGTGTCTGCCCCCTTTCGCTGCCAGAGCCCCCCGCAAGATCTCGCACTGGTTCGACTTGAGCACCTCTCCCATCTATAAGACTCAAGAGACTGGAGGCCTGAAGGTGAGGTGCAGAGCTCAGCCTCATCCATTGCTTCGACGACACTTTGCCGCATTTGTTCATACTGCTGTCGCAGTAGCTCGCGCACCTCAGATCTCCATCGCACCGCAACGTGCTTGTGCGGAATTCTAGCAGCATAGAGCTCCCACAACAGTTTCGCTCAGCTCGGGTCTTGCATGCCTGCCATGCCATAGGCACGAGAACCTGCACGCACAGGCTTAGGTTGGCTGTGCTGTGCTTTTGGTAATGCAGGAAACATCGTTTGCAGGCACGACGAGAGGATGCCCTCACAGATTCTAGGCTCTGCGCATCCTTGGGAACAGACCTCGACAGCAGGGAAATGCGGAGACCGTGGACTTGCAGGGACCGGGATGAGGTCGGAGCAGTGGCACTACGTTCGCCATGGAGCAACAAAACGCTTTCGCCGAAGGAAGACCCAGGCCTTGCTCCAACACAGCTCCGCACGCACCACTGCACCGCAGAATCAAAGGCTCCTAGCTTGGCTTCTAGCCCTATGTAGCAGCGCTTGCTGTTGTCCTTTACGATATAGAACTCCCCGTGCGCGACCACGAAGAAGTGCGTACCTGTCGCACACTTCGCTGCAGGATGGAGAAATGCGAGAAATTCGCAAGCCCCCGAATGATGCCAGCACTGGCATCGAGAAGTCAACCCAGGGCTGGGTGGGATTATGTTGGGATTTAAGATAAATATTACAAAATGTCTTGCGCCCATTTCTCACTAAAATCGCGTTCTTTCCACAGTCCCGCTTGCCGTCCGCTGGAGTCCGGAGACTCGCGACTCCCTGTAAAGGTTACCACTTTGGCTTCGCAAATCGCGCTCCGACCACAGCCCCGCACGTGTACAGATATGAAAGTGGTGAACTCGCCAGTCCTGTGCCCATTCTTGCCGTCAACTCGATCGATGTTGGTGAAGTCCTGGCCCGCAAAGGCTTAGCAAATCCACGCAATGTTGCGAACGTCAAAAGTGCGCTCCCGCCGACTATGCCACATTGCCGTACTTCTTACCGCCACAGTGCCGCGACGGCACGATGCACATTTTTGCAGGCGACTGGGTTTGCACCTCGAAAAATTAATGTTCCCGCTTCGATTTTGCCTGAATTCCGCGGGTGATCCCGCCACAATGTCGTGTGTTTACTTTTTGGGGCTCGTGCCTACCACTAGAGTGAGTCTCTCTCACTGTTCCGAGTCCATGCTGCCACAATTCACTCCGGCTCTGATAACGGGATGAACAGCGGATCTCTTCTCCCGTGGAATGCTTTTGCGCACCATCGGTGTCTCCCTGACGCACCACCTTCTCACCAGGCTGGAACTCATACACTTCCATGGCCTGGGAGCAGTGCCGTCAATAAAGCTGCACAAAGCCAGGCAATCATGTATTTACATGTTCTTGTAAATCGATCCATCCGATCCTCAATGAGGCAATGCAAAGAATCGTCATCGAAGGTCTCGAAAAACGCGAGATTGCCTCGAGTCGACTCAACCGGACATGCCCAGTTTCCCACTGATTTGCTACGTCTTGACCCGGGGTCCAAAATGCTGCGAGTCGAGCGCAGAGTGTTGCGAAGAAGCTCCGTGTCCTTAACGGCTCTGGCAACCTCGGGCGCACAGAAGCCACCGTGAGCATCACCTGCTGCTCAAGATGCTTTAGGGCGGTTTACAGTCCGAGGCTCGATGTGACGAGCCAGATCGGCTTCGGGATTGCCACTGTCTGCCGAAGAACACCTTTCCAAAGCCAGGGGGACCTCAAGAAGCCCGGGGCCCACGTGACTCTGCAATCATTGAGATTTGCAACGCGAGACACAGAGCGAAGTCTGAGGATCCAACATTCGCATCTGCAGTGCCAATGTGCACCCGGCGCTCCTCCCTGGCTTGCCGCTGAGCCTTCGAACTGCTACCATCTGCAGTTGCATGAAAGTTCCAAACCTACGGCCTACGAGTGCGTTCAAACCTTTGAGTCGGGAACGTTCAGCTTCACGCGCACGGAAATCTCACGCTCAATGCCTGAGCTTATGGCGGCCTGGAGGCAAACAACAATCACAGTGGTGGAAGTGACGGGACCAAGACCGCGAGTTGCACTACGTACGGAAAGTTGGCCGAAGCAAACGATGGGCGGCTCGTCGCTCTGTCATCGAAAGAGTCTTGCCGTCAAGGTATTCTACGGCCACGGGGGGGCTGACACAACTGGGCGGACGCCGGGATTACCTTATTCAGCAGCTACCAATTTTGCGCCCGACGTGTAAGCTGCGACCACATTTTTCATTTCCTTTATTATTCTTCCTATATTATATCATATCACATCACAGCTACGCAGTATCCACTATGGAAATATAGCCTTGAATCTTCTGAACATCAGATGTATTCCGCAGGGCTGCCATTCAATTCGAGTATGCACGTGAACTGTTCACGGTGCCTGACTTCGAATGTGGTGCTACAAGTATGCTCTGACTCTGGAACAGCCTGGATGGTGGTTGCTGTGATTCCTCGTGGGTTCCTGTGCTTCAGGGTGCAGGTAAGTCAGTGAGATCGAGGGACGCAGCGCGAGGAGCGAGCGAGCGAGCGTGAGAGAGAGAGAGAGAGAGAGAGAGAGACAGAGACAAACAGACAAAGCGAGAGAGAGGCAGAGAGAGAGAGAGAGAGCTGAGGGTTGGTCTTCAATATTGTGCCAGCCCGTAACTCGAAAATTCCCTTGCGCTTGCCCGCTCTCGCCGTTGCACACGTTTAAGCACATTTCCATGTACACACTGCTCATCCCCTTGCGCTCCCTTGCGCCGTGCGTGTTCTGGAGCAGGTCCTAAACCTGCATGAGGAAAATAAAATAAGCTGTTAGTCTACGGTCAAGAGCAGCGGGTTTAGAACAACTCTCAGCTGGCGCGAGAGTTGGAGCGAGAGGGAGAGGGAGAGAGACAGAGAGAGAGAGGGTTGGGGAGGATTCCGGCAGCTGCATGATCTGCAACCTTTCCTTCTTATGCTTGTCCAGTGAGCCCTGTGATGCTCCTGTTGCTTCATGCGATATTCGTGTGTTTTCCTGCTTGATGGTTCTGCGGTGTGTGTGCGTGTGTGTGTGTGTGTGTGTGTGTGTGTGTGTGTGTGTCCACCCCTGTTTCGAAGGGTAGGTAAATCTGAGTCGAATGAGCAGGGGGCCGGTGCTCTCCCTGGGGGTCACCGGCCAACGAAGACACCCCCAGGGAGGGGTGCAAACGTACCTGCAAATCAGTAACCCTAGAGCAAGATTCGTACGAGCTTCTGATTGCATGTTCTGACTTTCCCTTGCAGCTTCTGACTTTCCCTGACAGCTGCTGACTTTCCCTGACAGTATGCACCGACAGATCAGACCTGCGACACGATGTGTCAAGTGTGCTTCACAACGGCATTCCCTATGGGCGCCGTGTCTCCCAGAGCTAGCTCTGGCGCTGACTTTCCCGATTGACTGTATAAGCATTGGATGACTTTCCCTGATTCTATATCCGTGCTTGCAAGCTGACTTTCCCAGTGAGTTTTTCCCAAATGCCTTTGCCGAAACCTGAATGCTGACTTTCCCACTGACTTTCTATGATCTGATTGACTTTCCCGAATCTGACTTCACCGCTGACTTGTCGCAGGTCTTCGGCTGCAAGTTTAGTACATGAGCTGTACTTTTGGTAGTTGCTGATCAGTTTGCAAGTGCTGCAGTTTGAGACTTCGTTCAGCTTTGGCACCAGGTGTTACCTTGGTCAGTGACTCTGCGATCGGCAAGAGCAGTGCAAGTGAGTGCGTGTCGTCGTGCAAGTATTGTGCAAGTGTAAGTTTGGCAAACGTTTTTCTTTTGTGGTCAATGCGTGCATGCCTACATGCGTTCGGAGTGCGCATCTCGCTGCTTTACTGCATCGCAAGTGTCGTGCTAGTGCAAGCTTGAAAACGTTTTTCTTCCTTGGTGAGTGAGTGCATGCCTACATGCTTTCGGAGTGCGCATCTCTCTGCCTTACTGCATCGCTTGCTTGTAGCGTTTTGTTTGAACAGAAGCGAAGCTGGTGGAACGAGCTGTGGTTTCTGGTGGCCCGGTGGAGCATTGGAGCTGCTGGTGGTGGAGCTTTGGTTTCTGGTGGTCTGGTGGCGATCTGGACAAGTGAGTGCGCATTGTCATGCAAGTGCTGTGCAAGTGATTGCATCGTCATGCATGTGCTATGTACGTGAGTGCTTCCTGTCAGTAAGTTCGAAAGAGCAATGAGCCCGGGAGGGCTTGTGTGTGTCCACCCCTGTTTCGAAGGGTAGGTAAATCTGAGTCGAATGAGCAGGGGGCACTCGTCCGACTTTTCGTCAGACTTTGCAGTGTCCGACCAAGCTGGAGTGATTGGTTCAGTACATGGTTTTGCTTGCTTGTGCGACTCGTACACTGCAGTTTCGCGACATGAGTGCGGTTTGCATATGTTGCAATGCGTAAACTCTGCAGTTTCGTGACATGAGTGCGGTTTGCATATGTTGGAATGCGTAGACTCTGCAGTTTCGTGACAGGAGTGCGGCTCGCCTATGTTGGAATGCGTAGACTTCAGTTTCGTGTCATCGGTGCAGTTCGCCTATGTTGGAACGCGTAGACTCTGCAGTTTCGTGACACATGAGTGCGGTTCGCCGATGTTGGAATGCGTAGACTCTGCAGTTTCGTGACATGAGTGCAGTTCTCCGATGTTGGAATGCGTAGATTCTGCAGTTTCGTGACATGAGTGCGGTTCGCCGATGTTGGAATGCGTAGACTCTGCAGATTTGCGACATGAGTGTGGTTTGCTTATGTTGGAATGCGTAGACTCTCTGACATGAGTGTGGTTCGCCTATGGTGGAGCGCATAGACTCTGCAGTTTCGTAGACTATCTGCTTTGAGACGCTGCTGGAAATGATTGCTGAGAGTATTCCTGCCATGCAGCCCTATCCGATTGAATGACATAACGGAGAGTCTAGCAGTGCAGGTTTGCCGTGCAGCAAGTGTGAGCGCATACTCGTTTTGTAATGGCAGACGAGGTCATTGATTGCAGTCTCCTGTGCATGGACTTTCTGTAGAGTGATGGTGGATGCCCAATTGCTTTGCATCCTCGGTTTTGAACAATAAGAAAGCCCAGCACGATGCTGTATATTGGCTCTACAAGCGTCTCAGACTCTGCAGTTTCGTGACATGAGTGCGGCTCGCCAATGTTGGAATGCGTAGACTTCAGTTTTGTGTCATCAGTGCGGTTCGCCTATGTTGGAATGCGTAGACTCTGCAGTTTCGTGACATATGAGTGCGGTTTGCCGATGTTGGAATGCGTAGACTCTGCAGTTTCGTGACATGAGTGCGGTTCGCCGATGTTGGAACGCGTAGTCTCTGCAGACTGGTGACATGAGTGTGGTTTGCCTATGTTGGAATGCGTAGGGCGTAGACTCTCTGACATGAGTGTGGTTCGCCTATGTTGGAATGCGTAGACTTCTGCAGTTTCGTGACATGAGTGCGGTTCGCCGATGTTGGAATGCGTAGATTCTGCAGTTTCGTGACATGAGTGCGGTTCGCCGATGTTGGAATGCGTAGACTCTGCAGATTTGCGACATGAGTGCGGTTTGCTTATGTTGGAATGCGTAGACTCTCTGACATGAGTGTGGTTCGCCTATGTTGGAACGCATAGACTCTGCAGTTTCGTAGACTTTCTGCAGTTGCAAAGAAGAGTCTGTTTGCCAGTGCTGCTGCAAGTGTATTGCAAGGGATGTGCAAGGAACGCGCAAGTGATGTGCAAGGGATGTGCAAGGGTTATGCAAGTGATCTGCTGGCAGCATGTGTTGTGAATGTTTGCAGACACTGTTTTGATTCATGTCCTCAAGGCACTCTCCAGGTCTAAAAAGACTTGTAACGTACAGGTAGCTTCAAATTATGTCGGTGTCCAGCTTTGAGAGCGATGCTGTCTCTGTATCGGACGTGCACTCGTCCGACTTCTCGTCAGACTTTGCAGTGTCGGACCAAGAACATGATCGACGTGCAGCAAGGGACGTGCAAGTGATGTGCAGGGGATATGCAAGTGATGTGCAAGGGACGTCCGCGGAATACGTTTTGGTTTCTGGTGGTCTGGTGGCGATCTGGGTAAGTGAGTGCATGTCGTCATGCACTTTCTCCGTCATTTCTTCGAGCCTGTCTCTGTAACTCTTCTTGTTCGCAGTCGTCTAATCAAATCATTTGATGACAACGACGACAACAATCCATAGACTCTGACTCTGCAGCTTTGTGACATGAGTGCGGTTCGCCTATGTTGGAATTTGTAGACCTTTCGGTTTTGTGACTTTAGTGCGGTTCGCCTATGTTGGAACGCAGTCAGTGTCGTGACATGAGTGCGCTTCGCCCATGTTGGAATGCGTAAACTTCAGTTTCGTGACATGAGTGCGGTTCGCCTAGGTTGGAATGCGTAGACCTTTCGGTTTCGTGACTTTAGTGCGGTTTGCCTATGTTGGAATGCGTAGATTCTCTGGCATGAGTGTGGTTCGCCTGTTGGAATGCATAGACTCTGCAGTGTCGTCAGTATTACTGATTGCCTGCAATGCTTCAACAGCAACACATGAGCGCTTGCACCTGTTCAGCTTTGCTTAGCAAGTGTCTGAGATGAAGTCCGAGTGCCTGTTGTGAGAATTAGTGAGCCCGATAGGGCTTGTGTGTGTCCAGCGACCTGGGTGTCTGCGTACACAGCTGGCGTGCCCCTAGTTTGTGTTGTGTGGACAAAACCAGGTTTTTCTCAGGTTCAGGTGATGCGCCTGGAGTTCCGTAACCTAGAACTTGAAATCTCTGAGCTGACTTATCAAGCTGGCTTCTCGAGCTGACTTGAGAGCTGTGACTGTGACACAGTCTGTGACATCTAGCTATGTTCCAGTGGCACGTCCGGTGAAGGAGTCTGCGACATGTTCCAGTGGCATGTGCGTCATGCACAGTTTGTGATATTCAGCTAGGTTCCAGTGGCATGTGCGTCATGCATAGACTCTCTGACATGAATGTGGTTCGCCTATGTTGGCATGCGTAGACTCTGCGGTTTCGTAGATTTTCCGCTTTCAGACGCTGGCATTTGTATGTCAACCGGTGTTTCGAGCGGCTACAATGTGCCCGGCAGGGCTTGTGTGTGTCCAACCCTGTTTCAACGGGTATGCAAATCTGAATCGAACGAGCAGGGGCGAGGGCCTGTTGTCTGGCTTCAGTATTTTAGAGAGTGTTTCTGAAGAGCATGTGCCGTGAATGAGTCTGTGACATGTTCCAGGGCATGTGCGACATGTTCCAGTGGCATGTGCAGTGAATGAGTCTGTGACACTCAACTGTTCCGGTGGCGACATGTTCCAGTGGCATGTACATCATGCAAAGTTTTTGACATTTAGCTATGTTCCAGTGACACGTGCGGTGAATGAGCCTGTGACATGTTCAGTGGAATGTGCGCTGACTGAGAATGATTTGTCAAGTGAGCTGTGGCAACTTCATGCTATTGGTTCACAGCATAAAAATCGGTGAGTGAGTGCATGCTTGAAAACGTTTTTCTTCCTTGGTGAGTGAGTGCATGCCTACATGCTTTCGGAGTGCGCATCTCTCTGCCTTACTGCATCGCTTGCTTGCAGCGTTTTGTTTGTACAGAAGCGAAGCTGGTGGAGCGAGCTGTGGTTTCTGGTGGCCCGGTGGAGCATTGGAGCTGCTGGTGGTGGAGCTTTGGTTTCTGGTGGTCTGGTGGCGATCTGGACAAGTGAGTGCGCATTGTCATGCAAGTGCTGGGCAAGTGATTGCATTGTCATGCATGTGTTATGTTCGTGAGTGCTTCCTGTCAGTAAGTTCGAAAGAGCATGTGTATGTCAACCGGTGTTTCGAACGGATGCAATGAGCCCGGGAGGGCTTGTGTGTGTCCACCCCTGTTTCGAAGGGTAGGTAAATCTGAGTCGAATGAGCAGGGGGCCGGTGCTCTCCCTGGGGGTCACCGGCCAACGAAGACACCCCCAGGGAGGGGTGCAAACGTACCTGCAAATCAGTAACCCTAGAGCAAGATTCGTACGAGCTTCTGATTGCATGTTCTGACTTTCCCTTGCAGCTTCTGACTTTCCCTGACAGCTGCTGACTTTCCCTGACAGTATGCACCGACAGATCAGACCTGCGACACGATGTGTCAAGAGTGTGTGTGTGTGTGTGTGTGTGTGTGTGTGTGTGTGTGTGTGTGTGTGTGTGTGTGTGTGTGTGTGTGTGTGTGTGTGTGTGTGTGTGTGTGTGTGTGTTGTGTGTGTGTGTGTGTGTGTGTGTGTGTGTGTGTGTGTGTGTGTGTGTGTGTGTGTGTGTGTGTGTGTGTGTGTGTGTGTGTGTGTGTGTGTGTGTGTGTGTGTGTGTGTGTGTGTGTGTGTGTGTGTGTGTGTGTGTGTGTGTGTGTGTAGTCCTGCGGTCGTCCCGCACTCGATGAAGCCAAACGCACCCCTCACGGCGGCAGGCTCACAGGGCATCACACTGCAACCACAGATGATGACGAAGGCAAGCGGAGGTATGCTGATGGGTCCCCTCTCAAGCAGGGGTCATGCCGGCTTCAGGAACTTTACTCAGTACCGTGCAGAGAGAACACGATCGAGGAGGCGTCGCGCTGGCCGGCCGCGAAGAGAGAGACTCAGCTGTAAATGCGCAGCGAGGCAAGCGTGTTGGGGCATTCGTTCAGCTCCGCTATACACAGATCTGCTCTTCTGAGCTCTGTCTGTACAAACATGGGAAATCTTCTTTTACATTTGCAGTGCTGAGTCATATTATGCGAATGGTGGAGTTTTGGTCTCTAGCTGGTCGATCCAGCTTCTGTCAAAACCACTGGACGGAAATACGTGCTGGAGTTGTTCACACGCCGATTCGGCCTCCTGACTGAAAGTGTCGTCCACCACATCCTCCTTGGGACTTCGGACGACAGCAAGGCATCCCGTTGACAAAAACACTTCGGGCTTCCCCAAGATCAGAATCAGAATTTGCAATCTTGTCCACTCCTTGAAGAATGGGGTTGCCTGTCGATCTCGACTTGACCGTCTCTTTCCTGATGCGGGAATGGCCTGTCACTTCAGAGATGTGGACGATTCACGATTGCTGCTGCGAATGTGCCTCGACGTCGACTGCAGGAGAGACTCGGACGGTCTTCCCGGGGCTCACGTGGAGCAACATCTCCTTTAAGCTAACTGCGGGGGAAAAGAGTGGCAGAGAGAGAGACTGTGGGGCCGGCACGCCGGGACCCCCCCCCCGCCTGCACCATCTCCGAAGTCACGTGAGGCGTCGGAATCCTCGAAAGTGGCAGAGGGCCCCACCGGCCACCAGACTTTGAAGCTCAGAAGCTCTTGCGAGCTCTTGCTCTTCAGCTCTTCTCTTTGCCTGTCTCGGCTTGAACGGAAGTTGGAACCTGTCACCTCGAACTCCTCGCGCAGGATCTCTTTAGGAGATTCTGATTCGTCTTCCGATCACTCCCCATCCCCATATACAAGTCCTCCACTGTGGAGACGACTGGTGTGAGCAGCACGCGATGGTCCTGTGGTCAACACTGCCGGGATGCAGTGTATCTCCGGGAGGACCCTACTCCACGCAGCAGTACCCCATGACATGCGTCAATGCGCTGCCTCGAACTCCTGTGTTTGGGCAGCAAACGGGGTCGCGACTCGGTCACGCACCGATCGACCGACCTCGCAGTGCCGAGCGGATCAGGGCAAGGCAATTTCTTGCAGGCATCGACAGGCCAGTGAGGCCTTGGACTGCGCAGCAGCAACGACCTTCCGATTCCCGAGCAACTGTAACAAGTTTTCAAGAGAACAAGACGAGTGAGCCAGCCAGAGAAAAGCCCGATGAACCTTCGAGTTTACTCGTTGCAGGTCTTGCTATGTGACATTGACGACCTGGACCCTTTTCCGAGTGCTGCTTCGCACGGAAACTAGCCTGGACCCGCAATATTCGCCTGTTCACCTCTTGAGTAATACCTCAAGCTTGTCACTCATGGGATAGATCAGATCTTCACTCACATTCATGCAGACACTTCCTATCGACTTGCACTACTGCCATTCCGCCTGCTACATGGATCCTCGAATCGAGTCAAAGCTCCAGGGAACTGCGGAGAAGGAAACAGACGTTCCCTTGGTACTCGTATCAGTTGTAGCTCATGCAAAATTTCGTTAGGGCTGTGGAGTGCCAGGGTGCGCGCCTTGCTTGGGATTTCGCAGCTGACTTTGTCGTTGAACTGGACTGCTTTCGAGTTCAACTCGTTGTCCTCCTGCAATGGACAACGGGAAAGCTGGCAAAATGCAGTGAAGCTTGGGGCTCTCCTTGAAGAACGGTGTCGCCTGACGTTCCCGAACGGGCCGTCTCTCCCCCGAGAGATGTATGACCTAGCACAGGATCCGTGAAATGAGTAGATTTGTCCACACCTGTGCACTATTGCACACTGCTTGCAGACATCGATCATAATCTGGAACCAGTGACCAGTGCATTGCAGCGCTTTAGGCTGGCCTCCGTCTCTGCGGCCGGAAACACGCGAACGGTTTTCGAAAAGTTCGCAAACGTCTCCTCTCTACGAGTGTGCGTTGGGCAATCCCGGTACTGTACTGCGTTCCGCGAAGTTCCCGGCCGTCCTCAATCATGTTGGAGCTGACATGGGGTGTCGGCATCCTGGCACTTCGGAGTCGCCGGCCACTGAGCACTGAGCGAGGCCCTGAATGTTTTGGAGGGTTTTGCGCTGCCTGTCTCGGCTTGGTCGGAGCTTTTGGGAAGCTGGCTCAAATTCCTGCCACAGCAACGCGTAGGCAGTAGCATGCCGCGTGAGGACCTCCATGGAAGCTGACAGCACAGTCCTCGACGGCCGTGGGAGCTGGAGCAAGCTGCACTCGACGATCCTGTGCCCAAAGACTGGTCCCCTCGGGTGCAAAGCGTGCGACCTTTGCGAACCTGGAAAGAGCTGAAAGCCATCGAGGTGAAGGGTGTTGAAATGCGCTCACGTACTGGCCGCCTGCCGGCCTGGCAAGAAACATCACTCGCAACTCTCGCAACGGGGTTTTCCTGGGCACGGGCACAGTGCACAGTCTGAAAGGCCTGCGGCTCGAGCAAGACGGCCTGTAGAGGCCGAATACACAGCCGCAGAGCGGCGAAATATCTTTACATGTCTTTACACTAGCCTTTTATCCTGCTAAGTACGCAAGCAGGCGTTGGTTTCCATAAGCGGAGAACCGAAACGAAATTCGAAAAGTCGAAAGGTTTCCGACTTTTCGATGTTTCGGGCGTTCTTGCACTTTTCGGCAGTTTTGGGCTTCTCCGCTTTTAAACGTTTCCACTTTTCTGGCACTTTTCTGACCTTTTGGGCGTTTCTGCTGTTCGACTTTTCTTGCACTGTTCGGACTTGTTTTGCTTTTCGACTTTTCGGATTTTCTGGCGCTTTTCGGACTTCTTGGGCTTTTCGGGTTTCCTAGCACTTCTTCGGACTTGTTGGGCTTTTCTGCTTTTCGACTTTTCTGGTGTTCTTGCACTTTTTCGACTTGTTGGGCTGTTCGATGCTTCTGGCTTTCTTGTACGTTTCCGATGTTTTAGAGTTTTCGATTTTGCGGTGCTTCTTGCACGTTACAGACTTTTTATGTTGTTAGGCTTTTAGACTCTTGGACTTGTCTTGCATTTTTGTGATCTTACGTGGTGCTTTCGACTTTTAGGGTTGGGCTGTTCGTTTCGGGTGTTTCGCGTCTTTTGATTTTATGTTTATGTTCTTGCCTTTTCATCTTTTGCTTGTACAAGCTTTTGATCGGGGCTGACTCGATAGTCACACCATCATTCTTAGAGTCCGTCATAGTTTCAAGTGTCGTGGTCGTAGCTCGTTCGGGCCTTCCTGCTCTGGCCGACGGCGGGTTTGTCTGCTGTCCTAAGCCAGGCGCACCACTAAGCAAAACAGCCGATCCCTGCCGCTGGGGCATTGACTGTCAAAGGGCTCATGCTGAGTCAGGCCTGCTGTGTGGCAGTCACAGTGTCTTTGTACCGCTTAGACCAAGCATGCCCACACTTAGTCTTCACCGGTTTTATCGACCATCTACGAAGTCGTTGAGCCGGGCGCACCACTAAGCAAAATAGCCACTTCAGCGTCTGGCGATTTATAGGGCGTTATAGGCTTTGGCTAAATTTGTGAAGAGCTTGGGTTTGGACAAGAGCTTATGGGGTTTGCTCGTATCAGTGAGTTTTTGTTGCTCTTCAAAGGGCTTCAACGATGAGGACGGGACGCTTCCTGATGGGTGTTCCTCAAAGCTCCTCGCACGATCATGCCCCGAAGCATTCTTCACATCACTTAGGCCCCAAAACGAATGGATATTAGCACATTTAGTGGACTTGATTTTGCTGTTTGTTCTACTCGCGGTTTAACCCTGGTTGTCTTTGAAGTGCTTGTACATGTGGTTACAGGCATTGATATGTTTTCTCGGCTTGGAGTTTAGGGTTTAATGCTGGAGTGGGGTTTAGGGTTTACTGCTGGCAGCTGTCAAAGGCATGAATCATAGCAGAGCTCCTGCAGGGATGATTGCAGTATAAAGCATGCAGCATGCCCCATAACACCTAAACCCCAAATCCTCCAACCCTAAACCCTGAAACACCAAACCCTGAATATGCCCAACACCTTAAACTTGCAGGAATCTTGGAGGGTTTACGGTTTAAGGGTCTAAGGTTGAGGGTTTGAGGTTTAGGGTGGCATTTGCTGCGAGGGTGAAAACATTTAGTTAATTAGATGTTTCTGTCGGTTCTACTCGGGTTTAACACTGGTTGTCTTTGAAGTGATTATTAAGCTCGCGACAGACGCTGGTGTGCTATCTGGGCATGGAATTTAGGGTTTAACAGTGGTGTACATGTGTATCTACATATGTGTATATATACATACATACATACATATATACATGCCTATATGTATAGGTATATTTACACTTATTTTTCATTCAGATACATGTATATGCAAATGTTTGCGTATTTTTTGTATAATCTTCCTCATCAACTTCCCTGTGCGATGGACACCTCGCACACCTAGTGAAGAGGGACATCCTTTCCGGTGCTTTGATTTGACAAGGTTTCAATCTTAATAGGCCCTGAGGCCAGAACATTTTCCCCAGTACCCGAAATCCTTAGAGACTGGTACGCCGTGGCGGCGCATATTTTCGAGGAATTCCGTGTTTTTCCTCGAGTTTTTTACTATAGAAATGTCTTCATCATACTCCCCAGAATACACCAGCAAACATTTGCATGACGTCTTAACGCAGTATTATTCTCAACACCTGAACTGACGCCCGCACAAGCAGCACGCTGAGGATCCGACCTTGGCGGAGATAACTACTTAGTAACTACTTTAATCCTGTTATTCTCATAGCCCACCAAGGGCGCGGAGACAGCAATTCTCAGTTTGCACAGAGTTATCAGCTGCTTCGCTCACTCTTCTTCTTTGGTCACCCCTCGGACTTGTCGCAGCAAGAGACAGTCGACTAGAAGTCAAAATTTGTACACGTATGTCAGGCTTCTTTCTTCGATGAAGCAGACTGGCATGTTGTCGGATAGAGCTTCCTACTTCGAGGACGCTGGACGCTTCGCCATGCAGGCTGCTGGCCTCCGCAAGCAAACCTTTGCAGTTGGACGACGGAAAACTTTCGAGGCGAATGATTTGCTGCAACTGTACGGCTGAGAACGGCGGCGCTTACGGCCTGAACTGAATGGGCTGAGGTGACTCACACTGTTCTTGCGGATCAACTCGTTATGCTTCTGCACGTAGAAGAGAACATAGAAGAAATGCGTCTGCGGGGACATGGTATTGAATGTTCTGGCATAATTGCGAAACCAAGCGAAGGTTTGCTCAGCCACAGAGGTATTCACCTCTCTCAATCTCTTGTCCAACTTTTTGTGCACCAAGGGCGAGCACGGACAAGTTGTACCATGACCATGTGCGTGGAACTTATCGACGCAGAAATACTTAATGTCCCGGAGCATGTCCGACCTTCGCACTGCTTGCAAAGCGCAGCACATGCGGTCATAGATGATACAATCCAAGACAGGAAGAATTTCAGCCGCATCTTCAAGCATCCTAACTGCCAGGTCATTGTTCTCAGGGTGGATCATCTCCTGCACACCAACGATGAGGCCGGACTCTGGATGAATAGCCATAAACCACCCATTTGTGCGCTTTTTGACTGTGCCGTCCTTCCGTGGCCGTCCGCCATGGGCAGGAGTAATAGTAGAACACCTGGATGAAACCTTTTCATGGCCATCGATCACGAGCTCGTACATAGACTTACTCTCCTTAACAGTAATCTCATTGGATTGGAACCACTTGTGATATTCCTGCACGAAGTTGTCAGCAAGCGGCTTCTCCAAACAGATCGACAGGAGTTTCTTGTCGGTGTCCTGGTCCGACAAGTCGCACCACATGAGCTCGCCGACCTGTAGGACATTGAGATACAACTGTGCGGTAGAGTATTCTAGCCGCCATCGAGCATGCTCATTTTCGTCTTTCCACATGACTTCCTTTTGCGCAAAGTTGATAGCATGGACACTGATATGCCCACGAAACTGCAGCATGCCATGATAATCCAGGAAAGATCGAGTGAAGACCGTCTTGGGATTCACGAAAACAAATTCCAGATCACTTGCATGAGAGCTGTTGATCTTGTTGCCGTCCACCCAACGGTAGTTGTAGTGGTGCAATGTTGCACAATTGCGATTGGAGCATTTCTTTGTCAAATGTTCCACATGATGTACCCCGTCGAGTGCATATAAGCGCGCTTCGATCACACGCTCTTTCCGAATAGAGGCACCACACTCCAAGCACGTCTGCAGGGGTGAGGATAGCACCAGTCTATCTGGACAGTGTACATCCACTTTCATTGTGATTGAGGCTTGCGAGGCAGGTCGTTTGCAAGGTCCTGATCCACGAAGGTCATAGGCTGCGTGATGATCCAGAGCAACATCGTGGGTAAGCGTCTGAAGACGAAACCAAGACACATTCTCCATGGAGGACACAATCTGAGACAGGATCTGGAAGGTGGTGTGCAAATGACGCCCGCTAGACTCAGAATCCACGACACATACTGTCGAGTCGCCCAGGAATCGGATGCCACTCCAATGTCCACTACCTGGAGCTGCTTGATGGACAATGAGGTTACCGTTGAGGGTATTCACCTCGCTCAGATCCACTTCCTCCATGTAGATCATGCGGTATGCGTCTTGCGGAGCGCGCTGCGAACTGTACCTCATGTGCTCGTTGAATTCCCTAGCGGAGATATCACCTTCATCTTCCGTAACCTCCAAGAGGTCAGTGTCGCAGTCAGGCTGGAGCACAGCAATCACATAGTGCAAGCAAGACGAGGTTGGCCCTTGCAAGCTAGCCCGGCAGATACTCCAAAGTCCAAGATCCTTGCGAATCAACAGCCTTGCTATGCTTGACAGCTCCGTGCCGGAAGGCCACGACTTGATGGCCATGGGAATCACACTCTCTTCACATGCCCGACACGCTTCGACGACATCCAACTCTGCAGCAAGACTGTCGCATTCAACATAGCACCCATCGAAGAGCAGCATTTGCACAGAGTCTCCCATGTGCTCTGACATGATGTGCATGAGCTTCGCCTCCTCAAAAGACAGGAGAGCTGAGAGCCGACTGAACTCTGGATTAGGACGATCTTCCTAAAGATCAGCGAATACTCTGGCAGTCGGCATCTTCAGTAACAGCATAGCGGCACGCTGTACCTCGTCACAAAGCTTGAGCAAATATGGGATTTCAACGGAAGGCCGGCCACCGTAGAAAATGCGAATAAGCTCTACCTTCGCTTCCTCAACGGTACACTCCGAATACTGTGCCAGAGATTCTCTCCACTGTTTGTAGAACTGCACGACCTTGTTCAGCATGGGGAACTTGTCCTCATCCCAAAGTTCAGATTCGCGCAGCTTCGAAACTAATAGACGAGGATGGCACGAAGGAGCGTCGACTTCGGCGCAGTGAGAGCCGAAGGCAATGAACCTTGCTTCACGCGTGAGCTTTTGACCAGAAGGTCCTCGCGACAACAAGCGTCCATAATGAGGTCGTCTGTAGTAGGCGATGTCAATGCTGGAGAAGTCTCCATTAACCAATCCGTCTCGACGATGCCGAGCAATGTAAGCTTCCAGGAGATCTGGACGACGATCATTGCCAGCTTGCGCGTAGGCGATGAGCGCAGTCAAATTCACTTTCTCCTGCAAGCGGAGTTCACTATTACGCCCGAGCGCACTGAGATCTTCGACGATAGTTTTGTTTTGTCGGATAATTTGTGCGTCATGGTGGAAGGCTGCCCCTGTCCACTTCTCCTGCGTGTGCAGCAAGTCAAAGGGATCGCCCCATTCCGTCCAGGACCCGTACTTGTCGATGCCGCCGTGATTGTCCATGGCCAACTGTAGTTTTGTCCAATCCAGAAGGAGCTTGTGGAAACAACCATGATCCACTTGCTTCAAGAGGATCACGTCAGCGTTGTCCGCGGCCTCGATAAGATAAGAAAGTTTAGTCCGCTTTCCTTTCGACGAGTATATGGCTCCTGGCAAAGCCTCAATCTTGTGGATGAGGTACTCCTTCAACACTCTTTTCCAGGGCATCTGCGAATGAGCAGCAATGACTAGTCTATTGAACTCATTCACATCATCCGTCTCGTCTCCAGGAGGCGGAGCATTGCCGCCCGCAAGGCGTGAAGCTAGCCACTTGGTATCACGAACAAGATCGGCATGAACACCGGCGAGGTCGTTGATCATTCTCAAAGACTCTGCTAACGACGTTTCCTGGAAGAACGGAATGCAGTATTCCCGTAGGAACAGGGCGACCGTTATCTCATGTGATAGGAAAGCAGATAGTTCGTCCTGTGGAATCAACAGGAAGACGCCGTTGTCTGTGTCCACTTCATTGACATCACTGACGAGTTTCCCCTTCCCCATGCGAAGACACACGATACGTCTCTCCAGCTGCTGGCAGCATTTGTTGCGATCGCGAGCTTCCTCAATTGTGGGTATGTTGTCATAATTTAACTCCTGCACCTTCAAGCTCTCACCAAATTTGCGCTTAGTGGTGAAGCCGTAGTTGACCCGACAGTCGATGTCTTCGTCAACTACGAATCGCTTCCATAGGTCGGCATGGAAGGAAGACTTATGATCCATCTCTTGGATGCGAACATTGGCCATGTTCCATGCCAACTCCGCAGATTTGCGGAATTCCGACCGGTCCAAGAAGACCCCACAATCCAATGTGGAGGAAGCAAGGTCCCCGAACAAGGTGCGATCCAATATTGCCTCCATTCCTTTACCATCGCCACCTTTGCCGATCTGGAAGATCATTCTGGAAGTGCATACTCGCTTGAAGGCTGCGTGGAGGAAGCACAACTTGATTTGGAATCCATGTTCGTTCTTGTAATACAGAGACTCGAGGAAGAGACGAAGCCTGATACGGAAGTTGTTGACATCAATGTTGGGGTTCTGTGCGATCACATGTTCATACAGGTAGCGGTAGTTCAGTTTCAAGTAGCAATTCCGATCACGTGCTTTCGGAGCCACATCCCAATTCTCGTCGAGGTACACGTCCGTGAAACAGACGCCTGTCGATCTAGGCATAGGTGTATCCCACTCCAAGAGAAACAACTTTGTTAGAGGCTTTGAGGAGATTTCGCTTTCCCATGTCTTCCGATATTGAGCGAGCATATCGGCGACACGGCGAGACCATTTCGCATGCCACGCCTTGTTTCCTGTAGCTTTGCGAAGATGATCACTGTTAGCCTTGGCGACGCCACATAGCTCTTTAATCACATCCACGGACTGTTGAAGAAGATGTCGAATCACATTGAGCACTTCGGCGCCGGCGGCTTCCCAACTCCATTGGGACTCTCGCTCTGCCGCCGCCAAGTCCAGAGAGACTTGAACAAACAAGCCCTCCAAGGCCATCAGCAAATCCCATGCATCGATGGACAAGTTCTCACAGCGAACCCAAGCACCGTCCTCGTACCGAAAAGCTTGTCGACAATGAGCCCTCCAGTTATGGCCATCAATCAACATAGCCAACATAAGCTTCTGTTTGTTAGACATGCAATAGTTTGCGGCATCCATGTCACAGATGTAGTTGGCAATGTTGGCAATGGAGACGAGTTTGCAGGTCTCCGGAGCGAAGTCTGGAAAAGAGTTACGACCCCACTGCATGTAGTGCTCGTACATGGCTGGCATTGTGATCGCGTTCGGGTTGACGGGTGCCGGCGCCAAGATATGTGGGGCAGGAGGGTCGATCTCCAAATCAGAGAAGGCGCGAAACCTCATCAGGACACAAAGTAAGAAGTACACACATATATGCTCGGACCTGCATAACATTGCATGGGATATCTGCGTCTGAGACCCCAACAGATTTGCACCTCTGAGACGTTTCGCTGGACGAGGTGAAGGAGAAGACCCCGCCATGTGAGGATACTCCTCCTGCATGAGATGTTCCAACTGACTCTCCAAAGAATTGGACATGTCAGCACTGACGACAAGGGACGCGCGAATGAAGTTATAGCTTGAAAGCTCGAGAAATGCTGAGGCATTAACAGACAGCAAGGATGGAATGTCCATGCATAGGCTACGACACTACACGGACATGCCAGGTCGTTGGTATGCGACAAGAGACTGAACTGAGTCGAAGACAAATAGAAGGATGATCAGGAAGAAGATGGATGACCTTCCAGTAGCAAGAAAAGCATGATGCAGAAGGGCATCCTTTGTGAAGAATTACCTTCCTGCGAGAAAAAGCTCTGTCCCCCTTTGTCCCCTTTGTCCTCTTCTGTCCCCCGTCTGTCCCCCTTTGTCCCTCTCTGTCCCCTGTCCTTGGCTTCTGTCTCTCCTCGGCTTTGTAAACTAGAACATATAACAGTAATGTACACATCGTCATACGCCTAGATTGCCGTCACAGTGCATACTGACCGACAGATTTTTCTGCCTTTGCTCGCAAGCGTAACTAGTTGCAGCCATCATTATATGCACTCAACTCGGCCTCATCCCACATGAGACCAGGAGGCGGAAAAGTTGACTCGGGAAAGGCTACTGCGCTGCAGCGGCTGCGCTTCCAGTTTGGCTCTTCTCCTTTGGAGAACCAACTGTGCTGAGACCAAAAAGTATTCGACCAGGATTCGTTGCGTCCTTTAGACGACCAACGCCCCCCGCTCCAATACTTGGTCTTGGCGACACGCGCGGCGATTTCCTCTCTCTCGGCTTTACGTGCTCTCTTTCTTGTAGCTTTCTCACTCTCCAGCCGCAACCGTTCTACACGAGTGCGCTCCAACTCGAGCTCCGTAGCTGTGGAACTTTTCCGTGGAGTCGACGGTTTATTAGACTGACGGGATGCCTTTGATGAAGTAGGCCGCGTTCGGCTAGGGGAAGATGTCGGCTGCCTATGCGGTGACTGTGGCTTCGGAGACTCGCTGGACTTCGGCTTCGGCGGGCAGATGCAGCGATCCCGCCCCCACTTCTGACATCCGGAGCATTTCGTACGAACCATGGCGCGCGCGTGAGATAGGAACTCGATGGATAATAGGAAAAATCTGCGGCAAATATGTGTAAGCTTACGGTAAGTGCAGTACATATACGGATAAAAAAGCCAAGCACCGCCAACGCTGAAGTTGAGGTCGCGACCTGAAACGCTATTATTTAGGGTATATGTGAGGATACAACAGCTCGGATACAAGGATTTGCCGGGCATGACAGGGGTTTCTTGGGGGGGGGGGGGGGCGCAAAAAAATAAAAATAAAATAAGGATATGCTTATTATTATTTTTTTTTTTTTTTTTTGGCGCCCCCCCCCCCCCACCGGGGGCCCTTCTAGCTCGGCCTGAACAGCCGTACGTGGAGTATTATATTGTAACTTCGTACTGCAGCAAACACGTAGCTCACAAGATACAAACGCTCATACGAAAGACATACCTACAGGCATACAGTAGAGAATAACATTGCCAGCACAACGAAAGGCGTACCTAGAAGCATGTAATGGAGAAGAACAAAGTCAGCATCCTGAAAACGACTGAAACCTGCAACCTCGAAAACACACGCCGCCAGGGCGTACCATACTGAATCCTTACAGCTGTGCCAAGATGCTTCAGATGTGTGTCCAATTGTTGTTTTTTTCAGCTTCTGCTGTGGTGACTTTTCGACTTGACGTGTCGGTGGTTTAGATTATTCGCGCTTTGCTGTGCTTTTCGACTTTTCGCAGCTTTTCGTTCGTTGACTGTTCGACTTGTCGCGTTTTGCAGTACCTTTCGACTTTTTGCGGCTTTTCGACTTTTCTTTTTCGCCCAAAATCTTTATTGTTTACCACTTCTCGACTTTTCGCGTGCAGTTTGGCATTCTCCACTTATCCGCGCTCACAGCCGTTGGCAAACGCAGTTATTCTGTCAACTCGCAGTTCATACGGCATGTTCACGATTGTGCACCGTCATACTCCAACAGCAAGCCAATAAAAATGAGCATCGGAAACGACACCAGGACACTGCCAGAATTTGGGGAAAGTGACTCAGGTTTGCAGTGTTCGACTGAGCCGCGGACTGGCTACTTCTAAAGTTTGGGAAGGTATCATCTATCGCTCAAAACGGCACGCCTCTGTGCTGATCGATTCGTCAAAGTTTACGCTCCGCCCACCGTCAGGCACTTCGCATTCCTGGAGTAGACAGGCGATGCTGACGAACCCCAAATTCAGAAGCCCTGGATCTTGACTGCAGGTGGATATCCAAACGTGTAACTCAAGCAGGATGTCCACATGTCCTCCTCTTTGAAAAACGGCGTCGCTTGACGTTCTCGACTGGAGCGTCTCTGCCCAGAGGCCGCAATTGCCTCAAGATGTAACATGGCAACTCATTCAACGTCATCCGCTCTGGTTTTCCAAGTCCAGCTAAGGTCTGCTCCTGCATCTCTGCAACCGGAAAGATCCGAACGCTTTTACCAGAATTGTGGAAAGCCTCCTGCGATTCTGGCATTGCTGCAGACTTCATGCATGCATGTCGCACAATTCTGCGCTTTCAGCTCTGTGTCGTCAGTACGGCACCACAACAATCCTCTCCGAAAGCCTCAAACACCTTAGATGATGCTGCGGTCCTCCACCATTTCACTGCTTACGTGGGGGGTGGGGATCCTGCAAAGACATGCAGAGAGACCGGCAACGCTTCGATTTGTATTCAAACATCAAGCATCTCGCTCCATACATCGTGGTGATTGGGAATTGATTGGACTGGGTGGACTCGGACTGACAAACGAAGCGTCTGTCCTGTCTCGGCTTGAGCGCAGCTCAGCTTCGAGGCTTTCCACCTCGAACTCCTGCCGGCACTCTGCGGACTCTCGTCATGCAGTTGTCGGCTGTTACAAGTGCTGTTGAACTGACGGTGCTATGGGGCAATGCTTGGTGGACGCTGCATGAACATCTCCCATAGCACCGCACATTCCATCATTGCCATCGCATGCCCAGTAAGTGCTGATACAGCATGCATCAGCTGCACCGCCCGTCCTCGACTGAGGCATCCGATGGCACGACCACCCGGTGATCCTTTTACTCTGACCGACAGAAGCCCGTCATGCAACCCTTTTATGCCGGCGGCGCACGGCAACATCCCACCTCGGGATCAACGTTTCCGGCATAAGGAGTTGCAATGCGGTCATGCACCGACCGTCGTCCAGCCTTGAGTGTATAACAAGAAACGCCGGCAGGGTGGTGGCAAGCAGAAACGAGCCGGCACCACTTCGCAGCCCTCCGCTGCAGTCGCCTTCAAGACCGAAATGGATCTTCGACTTCACGTAAGTGGGCTGATGATCTCTTTCAGAGAGAGTCGGAGGTCTAAGACTTGAGACGGGAGAACGTGACCAGACTTGCACGACAATTTGCAAACGAAACCGGGATGGCTTCCACCCCTCGGGACAAAAAGTCGATTTGCTGAAGAATCTCAAGAGTTCAGAAGCCTGGGTGCTGATCACTTCGTTGAATTGCACGGTCCTCTCCGCCACCGACTCGTCCTCCTCTTCCAGACATGACTCAACGTGACCGCTGCGCCTCTAGGAGTCACCATTTCCCCTGCCTGCCGTAATCAAACAGAAGCACTGACCGTAGCTGCCGTACGAGGACTGTGTTCAGGCATGTTTAGGCTACATCACAGGACGTGCAGTGATGTGAATTCCCACCGTACGACAAAACGATATCCAATCAACAAGATATCCCTCACCTTGCGGATTTTAAGCCAGTGCCCGCGGTGTTAAGCGCATCGATGTGCGATCTATTCTTGGCCTAAGGCTTGAGCATGCCCACAAGTATGTAAACCCAACCCCAGCCGTTCATTCTGCAGCTTCTGGTTTTCCTTGCAACCCACGGCGAGGCTGCATTCAACATGCCAAGTCTGTGGCAGCTAGAGTCTTTAGCTTCGGCGGGGCAGTACCATGTTTGACCTGGTGGTGGTATGTGCTTTGCATAACTTCAGCGTCATTTTACCAAACAGTTGTCAAGCTTCTGCCAGTCGCGTCTAGCATGACATGCAGTTTAGGCTTTCATGCTATATTTAGCCACTGCATGACAACTTCGTCTTGTCTTTGTAGCAAAGATCTCCACATCTAGCAAAGAGAAAATCACATAACTTCGGGCGCGACGTAAAGATAAGATTGCTCAAACTTGGCATTCAACCTGGTTCATCAGAGTGTCCCCCCGAGTAGCATGAGCTGATGCTTCTTTGCAAGAGCGATGCGGTTTCAGCAATGACACAAACACAAAACACAAAAGGATGTGTTAGGTATGTTGTCTTGCAGATGCTGGGGTCCCGGAGAACAACCTACCTCTTTGTTGTCTCGGGCTGCATCGTCACACAGGATAACTCTCTGCGTTGCAACAGAGTTTCGGACGTGTGATAATTAGGGAAGTCCGAGAAGTCCTTGAAGAAAGGAGTTGCCTGGCGTTCTCGGCTGGATCGGCATTGGCCGGAAACGGGAATGGCCTGCAATAACGACACAATTCGTCAGCTCATCTTCTTCAATGTAGAAAATTTGCCAACCTGGCCTTCGCGTCGGCGAAAGGCAGTACTCGAACGGTCTTACCAGCATTGACGAACGCATCCTGCAGAACTGCCGAATTTTTGTGTTTAGGATGGAGCGCTGCTTTGGACGAGAGCACTCAAGCCTCTTCCACGAGCTGCGGACTCATGTACGGAGTGGGCATCCTCAGACTAAAGAGCAGATCCCAACAACCAGCACTGGCGGACTTGAGCACGGCAATGTCCTGTCTCGGCTGGGCCGGAAGTGTGTGACTGAGCCGTCTGTTTCGAACTCCTGCTGTGGCGAAGACACCACTCTCATGATGAGACTTCTTTTCGGGCCACCTGTCCTCCTGCTGCTGCTGCTGCTGCTGCTGCTGCCGCATGTTGAAATACTGCAACTGCTGCTGCTGCTACTACTACTACTACTGCTACTACTACTACTACTACTACTACTACTACTACTACTACTACTACTACTACTACTACTACTACTACTATTACTACTACTACTACGACAACGACGACGACGGCGGCCGGAGTTACAGCTACGGACGACAACGACTTACTCCCACTCCTACTCCTACTCCCTCTCCAACTGCCATTCCTGCCCCAACCTCTACCCCTACGCCCACTGCTGCTACTACAGCTACTGCTTCTGCTACTAGTTACTAGTGCTAGCACGACCACGACTGCCTCCACTTCTACCACCACGACTACTACTCTTACTGCTGCTGCTACTGCTGCTGCTACTACTGCTACTGCTACTTCTTCTACTACCACTACTCCTCCTGCTGCTGCCACCACCACGACCAGCAGTAGCACCACTACCAGCACCAACAGAACCACCACCACCACCACCACCACCACCACCACCACCACCACGACCACGACCACGACCACGACCACGACCACGACCACGACCACTACCACTACCACTACCACTACTACTACTACTACTACTACTTCTACTTCTACGGCTCTAGCTACTAGCAGCTGCGCGAGCAACAAGCTCAGCAAATTACATTCGAAATGTGAACAGCCCATACCAGCCCTGTCCTCAACCACGGACAAGACCGGTGCAAGCGCTACCCTGCGATCCTTATGCAGCATAAGGAACTCTTCGACAGAACGTGGCATAACACAGAGTCCACTGTTTTTCCCTGCCTGATGTGCATCCTCGTCTGCAGGTTGTCCAAACGGTGTCGCAACTCTGTCGCGAGTCGGCCTCACTTCATCCTGGCAAAGACGTCCAGTGCCTCTGAGTATCTTCGAGCACAAGACTGAATGGTTCTGGTGATCGGCCGATGGCCCCGGAACAAGCGTGCACGCGACGTGGTTCTGTCTATGTCAACAACAGGCTTGAGCTAGGCATGCAATGCCTCGAAGAGAAGGGCCAATGATCGTGCAAACTGCAAGCACGGATTTTCATGAAAGCGAAATCATGTACCAGTTTGAAACAGCGCCCCATCTGGGCTGAAACGAACGGGACTGCGACGGAGCGGGGCCCGTTCTGGTCAGGACATGCAATCGAAATTGTCGAAGTCTTTCAGTGCACGTCGCGAGAACTAATGTAGACCGCCTCTCTTCAAGGGCTCCTGGTGTTAAGTATCAGGATCACTAAATAATAAAATATCCTTAAACTGGGGAAGGGTTCAATAATTGCCGGTCTACATTACTACCATGGTGAGGGTGAAGATCGGTTGCACTGACTCTGCTCGAGTTTGTGAATGCAGCATCTGCAATTTTTGGTGCATGACAGCTCAAGGCGCTTGAGGAGTTGCAGCTACAGTTTGTGACTGCTCTACAAAGGCGAGGCTCCACATGAGCCGTTGCCCAGAGCACATAAGCAAGCCGGTACCACTTGTGACATGGGCTGCACCTGCAAGCAGGGACAAAGAAGTGCTAAGTGAGCATGCGTGCTACGTGCAGTAAAGGTGTGGTCGCTCATGCTTAAGTCATCTAAAGGATGGCCTCGGTACTGACCACGCTGTTGAATTGGACGGTGCGCATGTCGTCAGGTGCATCTTCCTCGCCGGTAAAGGGATATGTCGAGGATATTCAATTCAAAGTCGCAAAGACTTGAATACAGTGATGACCAGCTGGCTGGTAATCGCCCGTGATTATTCATGTGGCATGTCACGTGCCGGGCAACTCTATCCTGCTGACTCGATGCACAGAGGGTTACCCTTATGGCAAGGTCTCCGGGTTTCCTTGACGAAGGGTGTCGCCTGTCGATCTCGACTCGAGCGTCTCTGCCCTGAAGCAGGAATGGCCTGGATCTCGGCTAGCGGATCTCAGCTGTGTCTCTCTGCACCGGACACTCGCGCCCCAGCCTGGATCTCAGCTGCCCGAAGTATCCGAACAGTCTTGGCAGCCGCATCTGCAGGCGTGTCCTCAAAGCAGACCCATACAAACAAGCTCTCCTAGCCGGAATGCATGTCATGTGCAGTCCTCCTCCGTTTCCGTACTCACATAGGGAGTTGGCATCCTGTCGCAAGAAATTTGCAAAGATCGTGCTGCCGACTAGACTTGCAACTAGCTGGGAGCTGGTCTGAAACCCGCTGCTGTACACTGCACACATCAATTGCACTGTAGAGTCCTCGTTTTGAGATGTCATGCCAGGCAACGATGTAAAATTGGTGATGACACTCAGAGCTGTGTTTTCCTGTCCCTGTTTGTTCTTGCCATCCCCACAAGCGCATCCGAATTTTGGCCAAGGTCTTTCCAACGTTTGTCCGTAGCCGCGAAGTCTTGCAAACTCAGGAGATGTGACATCACTGAATTCGACACACTTGACTGCACTCCATGCTTCCACGCCCTGTCCTGTCTCTGCTGGATCGGAAAGTTATCCCGGAGCCTTGGACTTCGAACTCCTCGAGGCTGCGAGCGCTTGCAAGCCTTCGCATGCTCCAGTGCTTGCACTGGGCACTAGTCCTCGACCGTGGACACCGGAGCAAGCAACACTCGCCGATCCTGCGATGCGCTGAAAGGCTCCAAGGAAACAAGCAGAGTCACTGAGTCACTGCCTCAGACAAGGCAGCTGCAGGCGCATAGGGTGTGGTGATGTGGTCGCGCACCGACCGATTGCCAACCTCAACAGCAGTGGCTGCAGACAGCTTGCTTCAACCTAATCGCATCATCGCATCACTGTATTCGGTCACCTCCGGCACCGTCTCCGGCAGCTCCAGTGCTCCGCTGGCGATCGAAACCGTGTCGGAGAATTGAACCGAGGCCTGCAAAAGGAGTTTTAGGCTTTGCTTGCAATATGGAGGCTTCAGACGGGTCCATCTTTCTCTGAAATTGCCCGAAGGCTCCTAAAACAACAGAAGACGCCTCAGCCCGATTGAAATAAAGCTCCAAGAAGAACCGATGTTGAGAACACAAGATCCAGCGCATGTTCTGGTCGATTCAACGATTCGTATAAAATTGTTTTTCCGGCCCCCTGCATCCTTCGACTGACACTGCGTGAATGCCTCGGAAGTCACGGCGCCACTGAACTGCACGGTACGCACATTGTTCGGCACGTCCTCCTGCTTCCAACCGAGGTCGAAAGTCTGTCTCAAACACGAGGCATGCACGTTCACAGTTGGCGGCTGTCAGCTGGAAGCATGACCGGGTGGGTAGAGGCAGAAACATTGTAAGACAGTGGAAATCCTTGACGAAAGGAGTTGCTTGTCTTTCGCGGCTGGACCGTCTGCCACCAGAGCCCGGAATCGCCTGCAGGTCGCTGAGCATTGTGAACAAGATCTTGAACCATTCGTAGAAGGCCGGGCCAAGCTGGACATTCCGAATCGCCCGTGCCCCCTCTCAGAGAGCTCTTGGCCTCGGTGCTCACGGCAGCAGAGAACTGAACTGTCCGCGTGTCGTTGGGAGGCACGTCTTCCTCCTGCGCAGTCTCGCACCGACATGCTAAAAAGGCACCGGACCAGCACTTTCAAAAGGCAACATGGAACCAGCAAAGTGCAAGCCATGCCTCGGACCCACGAGAACAGAAATTCAGGACACAGACCAACCTTTCTATGGTCTATCGTGTTTCCTTGTAACCCACGAGCTCGATCGAAAAGACTGTGTTTCCACCACATTCTTAGTGTAAGGCAACAGCCGAGAACAAAACCCACCAGACTGATTCCAGCGCACCTTGACGAAAGGGGTGGCTTGTCTCTCCCGGCTAGGCCGTCTTCTGCCGGAGGCTGGAATGGCCTGCCACGATTGAGAAAGGATGTACATCAAAGAGGTAGATCGACATGCCAACCAGCGGAGAATCATCTGACTTGACAAAACATGGACATGAGCATCTTTCCATCATTGGTGACCCGAGCACGTGCCGTCCGCGGCTCTGCGGAAGCTGGCCAGGATTTCGTCTGAACTTCTGATAGCGCAACTGCTGCACGGCATGTAGAATCAGAGCCCCAAGCTCTGCAGGATATACATTGCACATGGAGTGTGCACAGAAGGCCTCGGTGCTCACCGCACCACTGAACTGGACGGTCCGTGTGTCGTTGGGAGGCATGTCTTCCTCCTGACGCCAGGTCACAGTGTCAAAAATATGTGTCAACCCTCACCGAGTGTTCATGACCATGTCATATGCATGGTAGCGCACAATGCCCTCCATGCGGGAACGAGACTGCGAGCTTGAAAGGTGATTTCCTGTACCGACTCTCAGCTACGCGACTGAAGCTACTGCGTCGTTGATGCTTCGCAAACACACGCGTAAGCTCGATTCAGCTGCTCGAGCGCTGTTCACGAGTGTGCTGGAGCCTACCCAATCCCACAGCGTGGCTAAGATGCCGGGGGAGCTTATGCTACCGATGAGCAGCAGTCCATGACTGCGTCACCAATCCTTGACGAAAGGGGTGGCTTGTCTCTCCCGGCTAGGCCGTCTTCTGCCGGAGGCTGGAATGGCCTGCCACGATTGAGAAAGGATGTACATCAAAGAGGTAGATCGACATGCCAACCAGCGGAGAATCATCTGACTTGACAAAACATGGACATGAGCATCTTTCCATCATTGGTGACCCGAGCACGTGCCGTCCGCGGCTCTGCGGAAGCTGGCCAGGATTTCGTCTGAACTTCTGATAGCGCAACTGCTGCACGGCATGTAGAATCAGAGCCCCAAGCTCTGCAGGATATACATTGCACATGGAGTGTGCACAGAAGGCCTCGGTGCTCACCGCACCACTGAACTGGACGGTCCGTGTGTCGTTGGGAGGCATGTCTTCCTCCTGACGCCAGGTCACAGTGTCAAAAATATGTGTCAACCCTCACCGAGTGTTCATGACCATGTCATATGCATGGTAGCGCACAATGCCCTCCATGCGGGAACGAGACTGCGAGCTTGAAAGGTGATTTCCTGTACCGACTCTCAGCTACGCGACTGAAGCTACTGTGTCCTTGATGCTTCGGAAACACACGCGAAATCTCGATTCAGCTGCTCGAGCGCTGTTCAAGAGTGTGCTGGAGCCTACTGTACCCAATCCCACAGCGTGGCTAAGATGCCGGGGAGCTTACGCTACCGATGAGCAGCAGGCCATGACTGCGTCACCAATCCTTGACGAAAGGGGTGGCTTGTCTCTCCCGGCTAGGCCGTCTTCTGCCGGAGGCTGGAATGGCCTGCCACGATTGAGAAAATCATCTGACGTGACAAAACATGGTCATGAGCATCTTTCCATCATTGGTGACCCGAGCACGTGCCGTCCGCGACTCTGCGGAAGCTGGCCAGGATTTCGTCTGACATTCTGATAGCGTAACTGCTGCACGGCATGTAGAATCAGAGCCCCAAGCTCTGCAGGATATACATTGCACATGGAGTGCACAGAAGGCCTCGGTGCTCACCGCACCACTGAACTGGACGGTCCGTGTGTCGTTGGGAGGCATGTCTTCCTCCTGACGCCAGGTCACAGTGTCAAAAATATGTGTCAACCCTCACCGAGTGTTCATGACCCTATCATGTGCATGGCAGCGCACAATGCCCTCCATGCGGGAACGAGACTGCGAGCTTGAAATGAAGCTACTGCGTCGTTGATGTTTCGGAAACACACGCGCAAGCTCGATTCAGCTGCTCGAGCGCTGTTCACGAGTGTGCTGGAGCCTACTGTACCCAATCCCACAGCGTGGCTAAGATGCCGGGGAGCTTACGCTACCGATGAGCAGCAGTCCATGACTGCGTCACCAATCCTTGACGAAAGGGGTGGCTTGTCTCTCCCGGCTAGGCCGTCTTCTGCCGGAGGCTGGAATGGCCTGACACAGCCAAACTGCAGCATACAGCAATTGGAATCCGTCCCGAAGATGAGTGATGCGCCTCCATGTCGGCTGCAGGGAAGATTCGAACTGTTTTTCCAGAAGATGCGTAGGTCTCAGTTTCCTCTCAGCAAGATCATCCGACATGACCGGCCCATGGGTATGTATTGCATTGCAATACGAAGCTAGATTCATGCGCCGAGTCCTCGATCATCTCTGAACTTACATGAGGTGTAGGCATCCTGCATATGGGCACGGCAGCATTGCGTGGAACCTCTGTGTTGCCAAACTTCAGTATTCTTCCATTGTTCCGTCCTGTCTCGGCTTGAGCGAAGCCTCTCCCGGGAGCTCTGCGCTTCAAACTCCTGGGAAGGCACATGACTGAAGGCAGCAGATGTCGCTCTGCTACTACACATCTGCAGTTCCTCGACTGTTGACAGGACCGGTGCCAGCAGTGCTCTGCGATCCTGCAAACTTGCAGTGTCCCGACAGCCCACTGCCACAACATCACAACAAAAGATTCTGCCTCGGAGGCTGTCACGTTGGCCGCCACGAATGGGGTTAGGATGCGGTCGCGCACGGACCTATTGCCAACCTGTCCATATTATTCTGGGCTGGTTCATAAACAATGTGTCAACATCGCAGCCTCCGGGACGTTCTCCGGGACTTCCAATGAGGTGACGGCCGAGACAGAATCCGAGAACTGCACAGATGCCTGTCAGAACCCTTTCGGTCTGCTCTCGCAGCTGCTGCAAGTGGATGGCCTCTGCCACCGTGGACGCCTGCACTTGCCGACACATGCGGATGATCCAAACTCAATGGCGAACGCCGTCGTGCATCCATTGCCTGCCTGAGCCCATGGGGTTGGCCTTAGGAACATCCGTTTGGCAAGAGGCTCTTATGGCTGCTGATGGCTGAGGCGTTGCGACGATACTGAAAAGTATAAACTCAGCCCAAGGACATTCGATCCCGAGAAGATCGAAGAGTGGAAGTCGGACCTGCTGAAAGCAATCAGGGTCGCAACACGTCGCAACGCTTTCATTTCAGCCAAGCGAGTGCCCGAAGGGATGCGGCTCAAAGTTGACTCTGTCACGCTGGGAGGTTCATGGGACAGTCTGGCAGAACGCCTGAGATCCAGTTCACAGCTCTGTTCCAGAGCATCCAGAGCATTCTTGCCCGACTTTGCCACAAACAAAGCGCTCAGCAACGGACCGGCTCTGGCTGGCCTTCACATGTTTACAGACCGACTTGACATCGACAGCGCCAGTTGCCAATTGCAGGTTCCTGGGCCCTGGGCTTGAGCGGGCTCAAAGGTCGCAGCACCTGGACCTTGTAACAGAAAGGCGCGGTCTGACACTTCGTCTTCGGGGAACTGCGCGATGCTGCGCCTCCCTGGCCAGTCAGCTCGCGAATCTCCTCCTCCATCTCTACCAAGCGCCTGAAGCGCAACCCCGCGACCCAAGGCGAGCACACACACACACACACACACACACTTGCTTGCTTGCTGACCAGTCATCCTTACTTAGGTGGATGCTGTTTGCTACGCTCTCTTTTGTGTCTTTTCTCTTCGCCATTGTCACTTCACATTGTTTTGGCCGACTATGAAACAACAGCGTATTGAGGGTAACTTCGGGCGGCCACTGCAGGTACGTGGAATCGGCGTCCCGATTCCATATCACCATGCTGAAGGAGCATCTTCGTTGAGTGGTGACTCCAACAGCATGCACCACTCCCCTGCTGACCAGCAACAGGCTTGTCCTAAATCCTTAAACACAGGAGCTCCACACACACACAACCGGCGGTACCGGTAGACTACTCATTCCGCTGGTTCTGGCCATGGCAGAGGACACAAAGCTGAGACAATGATACAAAGATGTTGATGATCAAATGATTGTGGGACTACTTCTGGGATCTTCCAACATTGGGGTCTTCCAAAACTTAGGCAAACCTGCTGTGCTTTCAAGCACTGCATTCACTTGATCCATAGGCAATCAAGATTTCAACGGCTGGAGCCTCAGTCTCGTGGGTCCTGTGGGTCTCAAGGCTCATACTTAATTTGGTAACAGGAACAGTCGGGGCCTGACCTTGCGGGGCTTGTGGGACTGGAGGCTCACGGTTCAAGGTAAAACTGGATGTTCCAAGGTTTACCCCCCCTGACCGGGACTCCGACAGCGCTTTGGTAAGTTGACAGAAAAGGACGTAGAATCTGCGAGATCTTGTGCGCTCACGTCGATGTTGGGCTCTTCGGGGCCTGTAGGTACTGCCAGATCTTGCGTGCTCTTCCCGGTAGACTCTTGTAGTTCTGACAATCAAACGTGGAGCTTGAGTGGGCCTGACTGCAAGCACTGGTGAAACTCGATATGGCGATTGCTCTGGCAAAGGTTCCGGCAATTGTGCAGGAATTGGAGCAGCTGATGTTGTCGACGGGACATCTTCCGGAAGTCGCTCTCGCTGAAAATGAATATGATAGTTTGCCATGGCAAAGGACACAAAGCAGAAATAATGATACAAGGATGTTAAATGATCGAATGGTTGTGTGACTACATCTGGGATCTTCCAACCTTGGGGTCTTCCAGAATCTGGGCAAACCTGTTGTGCTGTCTAGCACTGCATTCACTTGATCCATAGGCAATCAAGGTTTCACCAGCTGGAGCCTCAGTCTCGTGGGTCCTGTGGGTCTCAAGGCTCATGCTTAATTTGATCCATAGGCAATCGAAATCTCAATGGCTGGAGCCTCGGTCTCGTGGGCCCTGTGGGTCTCAAGGCTCATACTTGATTTGGTAACAGGAACGATTGGGGCCTGATCTTGTGGGACCTGTGGGACTGGAGGCTCACAGTTCAAGGTAAGACTGGGTGTTCAAGGTTTACCCTAGAGAAGGGCGTGGCCAGGCTAAGGCAGGATTCTGGGATTATTTATTTTCCAAAATATTTCCAGTTTTACATTCAACTTTATTTCCAGCCTTGTTTCAATTTTGGTTCCGATTTCTGCGGTTCGGGCACTGATTTGGTAGACAAGGCCAGGGGAAGAATGGGGCCGGGGTTGGAAAATTTGAAATTTGGAGAGGCCTCGAGAAATATTCAATACTTTTTCAATGCTGCTTTCAATTTTGTTTGCAATTTCTGCGATTCGGGCACTGAGTTGGTAGACAAGGCCAAGGGGAAGAATGGGGCCGGGGTTGGAACATCGGAATTTTGGAGAGGCCTCGAGAAATATTCAATATTTTTCCAATTTTGAATTCAATTTTGGTTCCGATTTCTGCGGTTCGGAAGAACGGGGCCGGGGTTTGAAAATCGAGAAATTAGGCAGGCCTCGAGAAATATTCAATACTTTTTCAATGCTGCTTTCAATTTTGTTTGCAATTTCTGCGATTCGGGCACTGAGTTGGTAGACAAGGCCAAGGGGAAGAATGGGGCCGGGTTGGAACATCTGAAAATTGGAGAAGCATCGAGAAATATTCAATATTTTCTTAATTTTGAATTCAATTTTGTTTCCGATTTCTGCGGTTCGGGCGGGGATGTGGAAGGAACCGCCAGGGTGACCCTGCAAGCCTATCCCGAACTCGTGTTGGAACTACCTTTTGGAAATATTTTGGAAACGGAATTGAATCCTGCATCCCAACTGAATGTTTTGCTGAAGTTCCAACTACAAAATAATTACGACCTACAAGCTGGCCCTTAGCCTGGGGCGCCCATCACTAGTTTACCCCCTGCTGACCGGGAGTCCGACAGCGTTTTGGCAGAATTACTGTCGGGAAGCACACTTGCTGACCAGTCATCCTTACTTAGGTGGATGATGTTTGCTACGCCCTCTTTTGTGTCTTTTCTCTTCGCCATTGTCACTTCACATTGTTTTGGCCGACTATGAAACAACAGCGTATTGCGGGTAACTTCGGGCGGCCACTGCAGGTACGTGGAATCGGCGTCCCGATTCCATATCACCATGCTGAAGGAGCGTCTTCGTTGAGTGGTGACTCCAACAGCATGCACCACTCCCCTGCTGACCAGCAACAGGCTTGTCCTAAATCCTTAGACACAGGAGCTCCACACACAAACACACACACACACATACACACACACACACACATCCATCCCTCCGCATGGTTTGCTGTCGTGTATTCTGTGGTGGAATAATGTTCCCACCACGATTTTAGACACATTTCAAGCTTATTTGGGGCTTAAGAAAGCGCTCCGTTGTTGTAATGTGGATAGACGTTTTCAGAAGAGCAGCAGGTTGCGGCAGCAGCAACATAATAGCAGTAGGTACTGTAGTTGTGCTACAGTAGTCTGTGATGAGAATGATGGTTACGATGATGACCGTCATGATGATAATGATGATGTTGACGGTGGCGGAGTGGGAAGTTGTGCTAGTCTGCGTTGTGTTGGGAATGCTGGTGAGGATGATGACGATGATGATGGCGATGATAATGATGATGTTGACGGCGGCCACGTGGACGTTATCAGCCGCCCGTCACCCGCACCCACCCTGAAACCCGACGGCCGGAAAACGCACGAGAGAAATCCATGCGCTAGCCCGCCCATGCACGCATGCACGCACTAGAAATGTTGCAAGGCCATATTCAACGGACCGCAACAGTCCATCATGCGGTGGCCACAGCCTCCGCATCATGACACACTCGTCATGTTTGTCGGAGTCCTGGCATGTTCTCAAAGCCCGATCTGGAGCACTTTTGCTCGCTTGTGCCGACAAAGCCGTCATTGCCTCGCCGGCGTCGGAGCCTTCAGCAGACTCGTCTTGGCGTTCATGCGCACGATTGCAGACCTGCCGATGACTCGTGAACTGCCGATGAAGAGCAAGGGACGATGAGTGTGCAGTTCTGAGATCAGCGCCCAGCATGCATATCGGTCTTTGGACTCAATCGACATCTTCAGTTGTCTGACCTGAGCAGAAGCATGCAAACCCCTGACCTGGCGTTCTGCTCTCCTCTGAGAGTTTAAATCTGTTTCGCAGATTTTAACAGCAGGAATGCCTTGTCTTGCCTTTGCTAGACTTGTTTAGTAAGCGACGCATGTTTGTAACAATGCGCTGCCTTACGAACTCGAGAGGCTCGGAGCTTGAAACCGAGACCATACGAAGCCTGCCAACTCTCACTGCTCTTACTCACAGTGTAGCTACTTGTGTGGCATGACGCGTGCGAAGAAACTGACTGTAGACCTCAGTACATTAACAAATCGAGAAAGTCAGAAGGTGTCAGCGCCCAGCAGAAGCTTTCAGCTTTTCCTTTTCGTGGTCAAAGGCTGGAGTAGCGGCTTGCCCCTCCTCCAGCTCCTGGTGACAAGGCAATCTAAACCTTCAGAGCGCAAAACGCAGACATCCGATGTCAAGGCAAAAGACGCGAAAACAGCAGAAGCTGACACCATGCTACCAGGGCCAAGGGAGTTCGGCGACAGTGCGATGCCACTGCATTAAGGAACCTCGACCAGCCGGTGAAGCGCGCCAAAAGAGAGTAAACGGCACATTTACACAATGTTGGGGAGGCTTCTGCAAGGCTTCTGAGGTGGAAAAGCGTTACAATTCTCTCGCTACAGACCACGCCAGCATGCACTTTCAATCCAGAATGGCTGGAGATCTCATGTCAAAGAGTTTGCCCGAACTGGCTGTCCAGACACTCGAGTGTTTTCTTCAAGAAGAAGTCTGGGCTCCCATCATCGATCATAAATCGCTTCTGAATCCAGGCAAGTTTGACCCTCGTCAATGCCTCGACCTCAGATTTCAACTTCTTGATCTGGTCCTGCGGGCAGCACACATCACGCTAAGAACTCTGCAAGTCTTCTTGCACCATCGAGCCTGTGATGAGATCCAACTATCACGCCGTGCATGCATGCCACCTGTCCTCCAGATAACGCTTTTCAGCGAGCCTGCGCTCACGCTCTGTCCGAACCTCCACGAGGGCGAACTATTGATGCAACGGTGCGGTGTTGTGCCGTGCAATCGCCTCGTCCAGAAGCTGCTGCGCAGCCAAGTGGCCCTCGAAACAGCTTTACAACAAACCCACCGTCCTGACTACAGCATTCTACAGCTAGGCTGATCCCAGACTCGAACGCACGCCTGTGCCGCAGCGGGAGTTTCTACGAAGAGGGCGTTTCGGACTTCTTTCATTGCCTACCAGAAACACGGCACAAGAGCGCTTCCTGAGCTCACGGTGACGCGCCTTTCGTAGCTTGCCGACTTCGAGGTTCCGCTGTCTCCGCTGTCGCTCCATGAGCTGCACCTGCAGAAAGGTGGCGGCCCTGCTGCGGCGGTGCGGCGCGGCTCTTTTGCGCGCATGCGGTGCGGCTGGCACCTGCTGCCTCAGGAGCTCCACGTCCTGACGCGCCCACCTCGAGGTGGAGCGGAGGCGGAGCGGACAGCAGACACTAGACGCACTGAGTCTCTGAGTCTCCCGGGCGAGCGTTCGTGTCCGTTCTCCGGGCGAAACTGTGACAAAGCCACCTTCCAAATCAGCACTCCATTCACAGAACTCGCGACGGAATGCAGGCTTCTGAACACGCTTTAGGGCCATCTTCAATACATTTTCTATGCTAACATCACTGTGAACGCAGCTTGTGAAATTTCAGAGCTCAACTTCAAGCTGTGCCGGACAACCCGCACCTCATATTCTCTCAAGTGCTGGCTGAAGGTGGTTTGCAGCTTTCTCACCTCTGTGTGGAGGACCTGCGCTTCGTCCGAACCGCAGAATGGAGCTCTGCGGTTGTAGGGGTTACTTGCTGCCTGCGCTACTGTACCTGTAAGCAGAAGTGATTCCGGTACGGTGAGAGCAAGACTGCAATAGGCTGTTCCGTCGTGAATTCTTCGAGCTTACAGCGTGCGTTCCAAGAAGGCTTTGTTACTTTCAGGGATCGCACATAAACAGGCACATCCGTGTGCCACAAGGCACGAGGCCAAGCACTTCTGCTTCTAAAGGAAATACAGCTTACAACCTGAAATACAAATAGACGTATTCGCACCTTCCTATGCGCAGATCAGCCTCGTTGATCATTTGGTCCAGGTAAGCTTCGACATGGTCCTGCAAAGACGGTGGCCCTTTGAGAAGCTCTTTCGGGGCTTGGGTGCAGACCTCGCCGACTTTGACATGCCTGCTGACATCGACCGACGGCTCCGAGGGCCTGTCTCACCAGGCACTGCTTACGGCAGTGCCTATGTCAGCAGTGCACCTGGAGAGCTTGCCGAAGCCCTGGAGGCAAGTCCATAATCTTTGAAAGGACCTCATATAGCTGCACTTGAAGTGTTGTATCCCAGAGCTGGCTCTTCACCGCACAAGGGTCGGCACATCACCGTCACGCAGAGCCTGCATTAGCCTTGGCTACTCGATAACATCCTTGATCATGCTGTTTCACCCCAGAGATCCCTAGAGCCTTGGCACAGGTGTACTTGTAAGTTTGCCAAGGCATGAACCAGGAGGACGCATAGCCGCAAGATTCGCAGGTATCGCTTCTCCATCCGAGTTCTCCGTAAGGTAATGCATGCTATGATGGCTCTGCAGCCTACGTCGTCGATCTGCCCTAGCTTGCCGGGGTCTCAGCTGTGATGCCACACTTGCCTTGCCCAAGGTTCGGCGATGCGCACAATGCAGCTACATGTCTGCAGTCTGTAGTGTCAAGGATGCGCACCCCCGCTTGTCTCCAAACCTCTCACACATGTCGCGGACATGTTTCAGGCTGGCGAGCAAGCGTTGCTGCACATAGAACCTGTCTACTGCCACGCTCCCGATGACGGGAGGACGATGAAAGGACGATTGCCTGATCATGCCTGATCTTTGCAGGCTGAACCTCTGAACCCTCATCTCGAGACTAAACATGCGCCAAGTCAGACATAATGCTTCGCGGATCAGAGCTCTCGCCGAATTCCTGGCCGTGGCGACCTCGTCAAGGAATCAGCACGCAATGCTTCCAGCCCACACTGTGTCTGTGTGTATGAGTTTGCTTTTGTGTCTGTGGGTGCATGAAGAGCAAGTTCGAGACAGAGAGGTCAAAACGCTGTTGGAGCTGAAGCTGTATTCAGGCTTCGGGCAGGCACTTTCTTGGTAGACGGCTGTCAATCTCGAACTCGCTTCCGCGGCAGCTGCAGACAGAGAGTTCAGCCAAGGTTTTGAGAAAATGGGGCCTCAGTTCACAACAACCGGAAATCGTCACCAGTAGCAGGAGGTGTCGCGAAGTTTGTCGCTGCAACACCCCCGTTTAGAGCCCAGGTTCGACGTTCGGCCACGGAAGCTTAAAAAGCAACCTGTTCAGAGGCAAACGCTCACTCTTTCTCGACACTGGACAAGAAGACAAAGAAGGATGTTAATTACCAAATCAATCGCCGGCTGATCCTATAATCCCAAAGTGCTGTCGTCATAAGCTGTTGCAAGTATGCATGGTGCGCACACGCATCCCGCACACTGAACACCAATGTCGCACCAAAAATCACTGAAGTCTCTAAGTGCCTTCCTCCCTGCGCACCTTCGGATTGGAGATGCGTCCGACTCACTTGAAATTGCACTGCCAGCGCCGGCAGCTGCCCGCGCCTGCCGCAGCGACGGTCCGATGGTCCGACCAGCGCCCCCCCGATTAGGATCCGCACAGCCCGAAGCTGTGCAAAGCGTGAAGCCATCTGGCGCCGGAGCTCCTGACGCTGCACTTTGCAGCTGATGGAAGCCTGGCTCTTGAGTCTGATCCGAACCGCGAACCGCTTGCTCTCAGCATCCTCCTTCTCGCCATCGGTCTCCTGCAGCGACGCCACGCGACGCCACGAGGCGGCAATGCCCCACTTTCCGAGAGGACGCAAAGGGATGTTGCGGGGCTTGGGCTTAGACCGGAAGCTTGCGCACGCGAATCCCGGCTTCTCACCGGCAAGGGCGGCAGTGGCCAGGCGGTCTGGGTGCCTCGGCATGCCTCCAAAAAATCCGCGAAATCGCGTGTTGCGCCCTGGTCGCGTAATCATTCCCCTTCAATAACTCCTCTCTCTGAATCAATTTCAAACCATGCATCTCTATATAGCTTAACCAGGTCATCCTTAAAGGAACATGCACGAAGGATAGCGTGAACTTCAACGGACGCTTTGTCAGCCACAGGACCGGAGCAGAAACCAAGTCCTCCTATGGTCATGACGCTGGCTCCATGGGGTCGCTTCGAATGAGGCTGGTGATGCTGCCTTTGGGGCGTGAATAATGATCCTCATGATGCCTTCGCAGTCGCAAGAGCACCCTCGGCCGCAGATCAGGAGTCGTATGCCGCACCTGCTTTGCTGGGCTCTGGGTGTCTCCAAATTTGGGAACGCATGCGTGCGGGTGCGGTGCGTCCTGTTCTACTTCTTCGGCGACGGATGCTGTGATGCCGCTCTTTTTCAATGTTTGTGCGGCGAGGTCGGGTTTCGAGGGCTGGTCGGCTAGTCCTGCCTCGCTGGTCCAGATGACCCGGTCGCTTCTGACTTGAACGATGGCTGCAAGCTACTGTACTGGGCGACTGCGGGGGCAGGCCTCGGTCCCTTCGGCGGTACCGTCCGGGGCTCTCAGAGACTCGCGCAGTTGGGTCAAAGTCAACATGATGCATTTAATGCATTTGGTGCCTTCTTGCTGTCGCTGGGCCTCCCTGGCAATCCCCGGCGATGATGCTGCTGATTCACTGCTGATGCTGCCCATGTGCAAGAATGCAAGAACCAGGTTCGGCCAAGCGATTGCGCGCCCAGCGCGCAAGCACGCTTGGCTTGAGTTTCAGAGAGCCATGCGCCTCCGATGCCTTGCCCTGCGGGCAGCCCCTGAATTTTGTTCATTCGCAATACCGTTTGCCGGATCGGCTAATCAGCCGCATTTTTCGAAGAGCTCCCTGGCACTTAGTGCGGCCAGAACTTACGAAGTAATTTTTCTTGTGTGAAACATTCCGTCCGCCCAGGGCGTCACCACAGAAAAGCATTGCTAGCTGCTCTGTGATAGACTGTGAGACTAAAGCAGTTTGGAGTCAGGGTCCCAGCTTCTCACACTCGCACGTCTATTTGGCAGAAGCAGCCGCTGAACAAACATCATTTCAGACTCTCGGATTTGTGGTTGAGGGAGAAAAGCTATCGGCATATCCTCGTCATCGCTCTCCGCCATGTGTTTCTCCTCAAAGCCAGTTGGACGTGCTTCCAGCAGTCCAACAGGAAACATGAAAAAGGCTGAGACCCGAGCGCAGACCCAAGCACCAAACCTGCTGCGAGCCTTGATGACCTGCGGGAATCATGCTAGCTGTACAAGCGTTTAGCTCCTGCATGCTCCTGTGCAACATCACAGTCCGATGCGGAGGCAAACCGAACCATCGTGGCCTTGCGCAACTCCTGCTGCTCAATTTTGAGGGCCTGACCGACATACAATGCAGCGCTTCCACAAAAACCAGGCAAGTAGAACGCTCTTACAAGTTTGGCCCGTCGGGTCGGGGGTTAGGGCTCCATGCAAAACATCTGTCACTCTCACCACATCTCACGACTCTCCAGGGTACGGGCCCTCTTCTCCGCATCCGGGCGGCTGTGCACGGCCTCGTCCCGAGCGCAGCCAACTGCTCCCATTTGCATTTATGCCGATTTATGCCCTCGCAAACATGAACTCGACTGTGGCCTGCATGGATCGCAGCTTCTCCTGGTGCAAGCGAGGGCCGCAGAGCCAGGGGCAAAGCTCAGCACGTGTCCCTATAGAATTTTCGGCCACTTGAACTTCCTCAAAGCTCTCCGACGAATTTCTGAGCTCCGTAACAAGTGCGCTACCATGAACCCGATGGTGTCACGACATACTGCTGCATCGCGCAGGATGCAAGGGTGAAAAAGTCAGAAACAATCAAGGTTCACGATGCATCCCGAGAGCCAGCCCTCTCAAGACCCACTGTTGAGAGTACGTGGCTCTGTGAGGCTGTGAGGACTCTTTGTTTTGACACCAAATCCAACATCACAAGCGTCACGCCCAACATACAGGCCTCCCGGTCAGAGCACGGCCCACCCCTGCCCCAAATACCCTTGTTGATGCAGCTATCTAACCCAGAATAAGGAACTCAGCTAGCTTATGCAGGCTGGCTTTCGTAACTAGTGACATGTTGTAGTCAATGGAGCAAGCCTTCGTGTTTTCCGGCAGACCCCGGGCCAAACAAGAAACTGAAACCAGCCAAGTATTTAGGCGTGAGTGTCATATGTCATAAAAAGTCTATTTCCAGCCTTCAGCTCTTCCACCCTGAGCTCGAGTGCCTCATAAGCGATGCGTGCATGAGCTTCTGACTTTGGATAGGCCAGGCAGACCTGTCTCTCTTCTTCCCATCGCTCCCGTTCCTCTTGTACCTCGCATGGGGGAAACTGCAACGCAGGTTCAGGATCGAGAACTCCGAACTTCCTGCCAAGCCACTAAAGCCACGATGGAATCGACAGACATGTGGCCCTGCACGGCACCCCACGCATGCGGACCATCTTCGGAGTTATAAGCTGAATTTGGCGGTTTAACAGACACCAACGTCAATTTGTGCCGATGCCCCCCTTCAAACATGTGAATGCTGCATTCCTTCGTTTCGATCCGCCCACGTCCTTCTTCGCAGCAGCTTCGGCAGCCAGATTTTCGCCAACGTCCAAAGCATCCGCACGCCTCGAAAGCATGTCCGAAGGACATGTTGGTCCGCGTTGGCGGCCACTTTCCACTGACAGCGTGTTTCTTCACGGCCCCGAGATTGCCGCCAAACCAAAACCCCACAAAACGAGGTGAAGCTCAAACCCAAATTCATAATCCAGTTAAGTATCCCCAACAGCGGAACGGCTGTCGCCGGGCTCACATTATAGTAGCAGGAAAGCCGACAGGCTGGGCATGGAACACAAGATTCTGATTCGAGCAGTTTATGGATGGCTGCGCTTTGGAGTACAGTGACAGCATTGAGCTTCAGATTTGTTGAAACCAGCAGGCCCGGAAAATGCATGTGGGGTTGGTCGGAGGCCTCGGGAGCTCGATTTCGATTCGGAAACCGGGGCCAGGAACAACAGCAAAGCTGAAATAGCTCGACATACATTTTGGATTCCCTAAACCAAACGGAAGCATTTGCAGTACGATTTTCGGGTTCGGGGACGGTGTTGAGCTCCAGATCTGTTGAAACGAAGGCCCAATGTGGTTTTTGGCCTTGGTCGGTGGCTGGGACATCAGCAAAGCTGAAACAGCTCTAAATGCGTGTTCCAAGCCATGAAAAATAAACTTTCATTGAAGCTCTGGAAAGCAAATTAAACAAAGCATGTGCAGTACGATTTTCGGGTGCAGGGACAGCACTGTGAGATTTGTTGAAACCAGGGCCAAAATGCATTTCGTAGGGTCAGCCCGGGAACCCGTGCCGGAACCTGCCCCGAACAACCCGCTCCGGAACCCGCGGCGAAACGCAAGACCTGGACAGGTTCCGGGCGTTCATGGAAGGTTCCGCGCAAGTTCCGGGTTCCGGACCGGGTTTTGGGCATGTTCGGGGGCGGCACCCGGAGCGGGTTGCGGGCAGGGAACAGGTTGCGGGGCACGTTCCGGAGCGGGTTCTGGGGCGGTTTCCGGAGGGGCCCAATCCGCCCCAAACCTTGTTTCGGCTGAAGACCCCAGAGTTCACACTGTTGGGGAAAAACAAACATACATACGGTGTGGCAGCTTCAATTGAGGGCTGCACCAGTTCATCGAAGACGCGTCACTTTTCTTGCCAATAGAGGATGTATCACTGCCTTGAGCAAAGGAGGTGTGACACCACCAACAGGATGTCGCATGACTTGGCTGGGCAGCAGACCAGCTCCCTTCTCAATGTCCTGCATGCCAGCAACCGGCTCTAAACAGCAAAATCGATCAAAAGATGTAGTCCTCGTCCTCCTCACCTGGCGTGTCCAATGCATGGAGCTGCCTCAAATCGATACTGGTGGCAACCGCGCGAGGCAGGCACCCGCTCGCTTTGCCGGCAAGGAGAGCTAGCCATAAGGTGCTATAGGTGCAAAGGTGCAGAACACCGTCAGTGACTCCCTCAATGACAATATCAGTTGCCACCACCGGACCGAACGGAACGAGCTGGTTCTGCTTCAGCGATCTCAGCGTTGTGCTTTTCGGTTTTCCACGTGACTTCTGATTGAGCTCCTCCTGTCGGTCAGTGTTTTCAGGAGACGCCTGCGGAACTCTGGATCGCAGGCAAAATTCACACATAAGCGTTTTCCTGACATTGCCCACGGCGTCTCGAGTGCAGTCGTTCTTTAAATGTGGCCTGACTTAGTCGTTCTGAAACAGATTGCATGTTGGGGGAGGGACCTCTCATTTGCCTCGCAAAGGTCAGGTTGTCCTACGCTTCGGCGACCGCGTGAACAAACTTTGGCCTGGCCGGGGGGAGAAGAGTGATTGCTGATCATTGAAGCGTTGTTTTGGCTAAGGGGGGAGTGCATCTTCGTGAACTGTTGCGGCCCACTGGAGGCTTGCGAGCTGCTGCAACAACCCCCAGGCACTCCATCGCTGGCATTGCAGAGCTCCGGCTGAACTCTTGCAGGTTTGCTTCCCTCTCTCCCTAAATTAGGCTTCACGGCCTGCCTTACGGACTATCTAACACCGCCTGGCAGAAATCTGTTCCCCTAAAGTCTTAAAGTTCACTCTCGGGGACTCACAGGCTGCGGATGGCTTTCAAAAGTCCATGTGGGCGAGGAGTGGCTCCGTCCGCCAATGATTTTGGAAGCATTTGGAAACTTATTGGCCATAACATTGGAATTCGAGTTGACGTGATTTTGTGCAGACTGAAAAAGACCTTTAGCTCTGCGACTAGAAGTGAAAGCATCAGAAGTGATTGTGGTTTTCACCAAAGTGACACCATACCTTTGTTTCACACAATGTCGGAAATACTGAGAGAGAGTGGAGGAGAACGCGCCTAAAGCACGTTACGAACGCCTGTTAAACGCTTAGAATCGTTCCAGCGGAAACTTTCTATGAGATATTGCATCCACTCGCCTGGATTGAAAAGTTTGGAGAAGTCGCGATAACAACTCTCATTTTGTTTCTTACCAGTCGTGCACATAGACAGGATAGAAGGTGCAACTCGAGTCGGACATGTGTATGACCTTCCCGACACAGATTATATGTTGCAGGAGCTGCTTCAAGCAACGCTCGGCAAACTGCATGAGGTGGTAGCACGGGCCGTTCCTTTCTCAGTTCAAACATTTCGAACGGAAGTTGAACCCAGAGTTCAAACGCCAGTGTTCGAACCCAGGGTTCAAACACCAGTGTTCGAACACAGGGTTCAAGCAAAGGTGTTCGAACCCTGCCAGAACTACTAATGCTATTACTGCTATTACTTATGACTATGCTACAAATACCTTCCCAATGTTACACTTACTACTACCCAACACGATTTATACGACTAATACTATTAATACTACAAATACTAATAATACTTCTGCTACTATGAATCCCAAGAAAATCAATACAAATAATACTACTGATAGTACTGAAAAAAGAAGGAGAAAGCCGCACGAAAACGTTTTTGGTGGGTTAACAGCGAATAAAAGAAAAGAAATCTCTCAAAAACATACCAAACCACGGTGTTTGCGACAAATGCCGGGGCTGACGCCCTTCGAAGGTGATACGGCTCGCTTTGCGAGGTTGTTTCATGTCCTTGCCATCCTGCACACACGGACACTGGAACCACACCGGCTACCCTCTGGTCATCTCTGGTCTGCTGTCCCTTAGGGATGGTCGGCGGGACATAGGCGGCGAGTCTGAGTTGTCGCTCGCGACTTCCTGACATGCTCGCGTTCCAGTGGCTGCGCTTGGCAGAGAATGAGACTGGCCGGCACGACACTCGCTGCTGCGCTGACTACAGTTGAAGTTGCTGGCGTGTCTGCATCCTGTTCACAGGTCATCACGGCGGAATGCCGCAAGTCATCATTCGAAGCTCAAACCTCCAGTGGTGTCACCAAGCATGCGGGCGTCAGTGCCCCACCGATGCCGCCCCTGCCAGCGTTCAAAATAAAAGCAACACGCCGGGGCCCGCTTCATAAGGATCGCACATGGAAGTTGTCCATCGCCTCCGGATACAAGATGCGGCAGGCAGCCACGGCAGCTGGATCTGAACGGATACGCGGGGCCTTTTATCGGGACGGCGTATGGGGCGAAGCTCCTGGTACAGACATGCTCTGCGCCGAATTTGGCCAGGAAGTCTGACTTGACTGTTTGTGAGAAGGGACCAAATCTCCTGCGAACCGGTGCCTAACCATTGTGCAGACCTGGGCAGGGAGTCAAAACCAGGATCCGTCTCGACACCGAGCGCCTCAGCACCGGGCTTTGCCGCCTTTTCCGAGTCTGGCTGAGCCTGCAAAGCCAAAGCCGCGCCACTGCCCACTGCCCACTGCCCACTCCCAACGGCCCGGACTGTCCGGACCCAAGGCCCGAGCAGAGACGGCGCGCTGGAAGTTGGTGAGGAGGTCCTCGGCATCCTCGCTCTTCTGCACCTTGCTCTAGGGTCTAAGGCGCTCGGCTTCTTAGAAGGGATCAGCTGCAAGCGCTGCACCTTCTTCAGCCTCTCCACCGCACCCTCCAGCTCGTGCAAGACTGCCTCCTTTACCGAGGACGAAACATGTCATCGAATGGCTTAGACCTAAGTTCGTTGTTGAGCACTGGCACTGCGTGATTATTGCGTGTGACACATGTATTCGCGACGAGTGCTCCGGCAAACTCCTGCAACATCGCGACTTGTGTCTTCATTGCCTCTCTGACCTTGCGCGAGCTCGGGGACGGTTGTGTTCTGCCCTTGTCGTCTCTGAGCCGGAGGCCATGCTCTCCAGTGGAAGGTCCGGCGGTGTCGCTGGATTCAATGCTCCTGACGCAGCAGCATTGGAGTTGAGAGGCTTGATGGATTGCGTATGTTCGGTTGTTCATGTTATTGCTATGGTGTTGCTGGCGTTTTTTGAGTTTAGATGGATTTCGGACCATCGCCTCTTGGTCGTGACTTTCGCTGCGTCTGCATGGGTTTCTCTGTTGTGGCATTCTTCTGCTTTGGTCTGTGAATTTTTCGGTTTCCACGCTTCCCACGGCCCTAGAAGCTTTACCTCGTCTCGAGAGCCCGGCCGACTGCAAAGACCTGCCAAGACGACACAACCTATCCGCCCCTTGACCCGCTTGCGCCGTGCGATTGGAGCGTCCATAAGGCATAGATCACTTCCCTCTGGCGGCTTCAGGATTCAAAGTCTGGGGTTGCGGTCACGAACAAACCTTAATAGTGTCCATTCTCAACTGCGTGCGATCACCAGAGCATCCACACCCGAACCCTAATCTGATAAAGCCCCTTCCTGATTGCGTGCGATCACCAAACAAAGCATCCATGCGTGAACCCTAAGAAGTCCATGCCTCATTCCCAGTGATCACCAGAGCATCCATGCCCCAAACCTAACAACGTCCATTCCTAATTGTGTGCGATCACCAAAGCATCCATGCCCAAACCTTAGCAACCTCCTTGCCTTGTTATGTACGATCACCAAGGCACCCATGCCCAAACCCTAATGATGTCAATTCCTCATTGTTGTATGATCACAACGTCCTTGCCTAATTGCGTGCGATCACCGAGGCATCCATGCCCAAACCGGCTACTGCAACGCTTATATCACGGATCGTGGAAGGATCCATATGGGTTCTGCTTCACAGCCCCCATTTGCAAACAGCATGCCTGTATGATGGATTTGTGAAGTGCGATGAAAGCTATATGTGCTGAAGCAATCAATCTGATGGCGCGATGTTCTGGAAAGCAGGCCGCGGGGCTTAAGAAGAAAGCAGAGGCGTTTGGGCGGGGCGCAGCCCTCTCCCGTTTAAAACATACTGTGTCACGGGTTCTTTCATGGGTTCATGGACGCCATTTGAAGCGAGCTCGCACGGCTGAAGCAAGCGGACGGGGGGTGGAGGGGTTGCAGATGGATAGACAAAGGTTCCAGAAGAGTTAGATGTGCTTGATAAGCAGTTTGATGGCGTTTGCAAACAGAATGCCTGCATGATGGGTTTTGCAGACTCCTGCAAGAGTTAGGTGCTAGACGCAATTCCTTTTTTGACGCTGCGACGTTCTTGATAGCAAGCAAGCTTGCAAGGCTTAAACACAAAGCATCACAAATCGATTGGGTTGCAGCCCCGCGTTTGCAAACACAAAGTGGATATCACGGGTTCTGAAAGGGTCCATATGGGTTCTTGTTTTCTTCTGGCAAGATGTTATCTGAAGCGAGCTTCTGCGGCTTATGATTGCGCGGGTGCGGGAGGGGTGAGTGGGGCGCGCCCCTGCAAGCATAATCGTTATCATAGTACAGGTAAGTTTAGGACATAATAGCAGTAACGAAATACGAATAACAATAGCAAGAATCGTCATGATCGTCAGACATGCTCATAACAGCGATGATACTATATTGGTTGTATTTTGGCTGTTTCTGGTCTATCGTGATGCATGTTCAAGCAGTTTCATGGGCTAGACTGGACTAGATCCTCTTTGCCTACAGACGTTAAGTGGATCTTGATAACTAGCATGCATTCTTCGGCTATCTCTTTCCTCATGTCTGCTTTTTTTTTCTGCGATCGTTCAGTCTTTCTTTCTGGTTTTGTTCTTATGTCGTTCTTTCTTTCGTTCTTTGCTTTGCTCGGGGTTTGAGCCCGCTATAGCCCGCTCCTAGGTCCTAGGAGCTACCCCACCCCTGGTTTTCAGAAGATGAGTTCGGCTGTATAGTAAAGCTGGTGGTCCTCTTTGGAAAGGTGGCCCAGCTGGTCCGCAACCAAGGGAAAACATGTTTCAATTTTCGGCCTCGCATGTCCTAGGCATGCTGCTGACACGCCGGCATTCCAGGGTTCACGGTTTGATTGAGTGCCCCTCGTCACAAATTGAAGGAAGGTACAAAGCATCTATAGAAGGATGCCTCTTCACCTTTTTTGTACATCGGCAGCAGGGTAGCTCACGGCTCCCGGGTCCGGGGCAGTTGCAAGAGGTGTACCGGCACAGGTCAAAACTTGTGGCCATATGTCACCTGCCAAGTGGTTGGTGCCCATCGTTTGTCTCGCCATCGCTTGGTCTGCCTTGATTAGTTGCTGTGCCAGTCCCGAGTTTGGGCTGGTGTATTGCCATTGCCTGTGTCTTCGCGGCGGTGAAGCTGGTTCCGCCGGCCTCGCGTGCCCCGGCACCCATCCAGGTAGCTGCGGCACCGTTGCACGTCTCCTGCACTCGCGAGTCTCAAGGCGTGCCCTCCTGCAGGGATTCTGGACCTTGGTTCCAAAGCTCTGCGCTGTGCCACGGCTTCCTCACGGATGGCCTGCTCTTGTGCCGGGACCCCCCCTCCCCTGGAAGACGAGCCCGCGGTCCGGCGTCATGTGTGCAGCCGGCACTGTTGGTGCAGCTCCCGCCGTGGCGGGTCCAGCCCTCGGAGGCGCAGTGCCGAGTTGGATCCCCATTGCATGCTTTCTTGTTCTCCTGCTTGGTGTCCTTGGCGTCCATCGGCTTTGGGTTCTCTCTGGTCGTTTGGCTTTCTCTGCCTTCTTGTCCTTCGTCTCATGATGTGAGAAAAGGCATCGTCGGACTCCTTGTCGCCCGTCGACCTAGCTTGTGAATGGGGTGCCTTGCTGGCCTTCCTTCTTCTTTGTCGTTTCATGTATCCAGCTCTTTCGTTCTTGCTTCTCCGTCTCTTGCTCTTGTTTTACGTCTTGCTTTCTTGCGCAACGGTTTAACTCGCTCTTTTTTCTACTTCTTTCTTTCGTCCTGCTTTGATTGTTGTATGTATTGATGTATTGCTCATGTCTGTCAGTTTTGTATTTGGCGTGTTCATTCTTTCCGTCCTTCTGTTTTGAGCTCCTTCTTTCTTTCTTCTTTCGTTAGTTCATTCTTTACCTCGTTAGATCCTGTTTTCTCTCGTTCTTTCGCTTTCTCTCTTTGTCGTTCTGTCGTTCTTTCTTTCGTTCCGTTCATTGTTTCGGTCTTTCTCTCCAAATCTCTGTCTGTCGTTCTTGCTGTCGTTCTTTCTTTCTCTCTGCGTCGTTCTTTCGTTGTGTCGCTCTTGAGTTATTTCGTTATTTCGTTCTTTCGTTAGTTCTTTCTTCGTTCCTTCTTTCTCTCGTTTGTCCGCTATCCCTTCTTCTTTCTTTCTGTCTTTCTGATTTCTTTCTCTCTGTCACATAACTTGAAATGCCCGGCAGGTTGTTTGTGTGTGTGTGTGTGAGCGCCAACAGGGGCTCCGGAACCATCATGCAAGTCTCAGGAACTGTTAGAACTTAGAACCCTGTTCAGAAACAGCCCCAAACTGTCCCGAAGCGTTGGAACGATAGTAAAGTGCCGATCTGGGCTTCAAAGTTCGAATGAATAGGTCTCGAGATAAATGTCACGATTCTTGAGGCCAGAAAACGCAAGGACAGACACCCTCTATTAAACACACCACCAGCGATTCCAACACATAACACAAAAACAAACCAAAACAATAAACATTGACAAAACAACAGAAAAGCCAGCACAACAAAAATGCGCTACCCCTTTGCTTTCGGTGCGCCTTCCCCGTCTTGCTGGCATGAGGCCTGAGTTTCGGAGTTTGATGCAAGGCAGCCAGAAATAGGAGTTCGCAGATCAAAAACTTGCATGCTCGACGAGCCTCCGGACGAGGCTCCCTGCACTCGGTTCGCCTTGACAGCTAAGATGTGGCAACAAGCTCCAAGGCAAGGCCGCGCCAGAGCTCAACACTTGCGCTTGCCTGGATCTGGGTCGCAGGAGCGCCCGAAGGCCCATAGCGCAGCCTCCGGCCAGATTCGCTCCAGCATTTTTCCACAAACAGCAGACGATGCCAGTGGCTCGCAGCAAACTCTGCATAGCTGTTAGGTCTGCTTTGCGAAAGATTTGCAGATCAGAACTTGTACTTGACATGAGGAGATATTGGTTGGGTGCCGTCGCCCCTGCATTCACCACAACAGCAGCAAGAACAGCAACAACAACAACAACAGCAGCAGCAGCAGCAGCAACAGCAACAGCAGCAACAACAACGGAAGCAACAACAACAGCAGCAACAGCAACAACAACGGCAACAACGGCAACAGCAAAGCCCCATCCACAGCGGCAGCGGCAGCGCCAGCAGCAACAGCAACAGCTACAGCTGCAGCAACGGCAGCTGCAGCAGCAGCAGCACCACGGACACCACCACCACCACCACCAACAACAACAACAACAACAACAACAACAAAACAAGCAGCAGCAGCAGCAGCAGCAGCAGCAGCGGCAGCGGCAGCGGCAGCGGCAGCGGCAGCGGCAGCGGCAGCGGCAGCGGCAGCGGCAGCGGCAGCGGCAGCGGCAGCAACAACAACAACAACAACAACAGCGGCTGCAGCAGCAACCACAGAAGCAACAGCAACCGTAAACCCCACAGATCATCAAACGATAACAACATCATACATCTCAGCTGCACGACAGTAGACCTGCCTTCGCTGCACAGCGGCATTCTGCAGACATTGCCCTTCTTACTTACTCCGTGATTTGTACACCTTGCATACTGCTCCCATGAATTCTAAATGGAGTGACATACTTGACTGACATGTTCTAAAGTCTCCGGGCATCGTGTTACATGTGTCCGCCTTGATACCTCGCACTCTGCATCTGTCTGTGCGGCGCCAGGCAAAGCGCATCATGCTGGGATGCAGGGACCATCCGACGTCACATGCTCGCGCCATTTTGCTTTCAAATGCCAGAGAGATGTCTGCTGGTCCTTTCACCTTCCGTTCGAACACACAGCAAAGCAACAGCATGCCTGCCAAATCCTGCCAATCTGCAGCAGTCAGCCCTCGGCTCCCGACATCGCACTGAAGCCAGGGTCACTGCCCTCGGCGAATCCTTGGACCGGGACACCTCGCCACAACCAGGCGGCAAGCTCCAGGTAGAAACATGTGCCCGACCCTGCGAGAGAAGCTATCTTTTTGAGTGCATGGGAATTCTACTGTCGATCCGGTTCTGCTAGGGTTCGAGTTGGGCTTCGGTGGTGACTGTTTTGCTGTCGTTTTCGGCCCACTAGCAACTACCACCCAACGCTGAGGGCCTTCTGGTGGGTGAAACATCAGACTCGCTGGAAGCCGCGCCCGCCGCCGCTCTCGCCTGCACACTCAACTCGCCACTGCGAGCAATCTCTGTAGCGCGCTCTCTGTGACCCACACCGCACGGAGTCTTACAAAGAGATCCGAGATCTTGCGTCGCAACGCCTGCCCACAGGCAAGACGAAGCACAAGTCTACTTCCTCGCAGAGCTTTCCGAACGAAACACTGGGGGTCCTCCTTTTCCGTATCCGTCTCCTGGCTGGCTGTGGGACGCACAGAGAAACCATCAATAATACTGGCACGGCTTACCTCATCTTCGCTTTCCTTCATGTGTCGTTCCTCAAGTGCTGTCATGCTTAACAGGACAAACTTTGCCACACCATACCAGCTGTGGTGTGCCTGCTTTCCAGGACACCCTAAGCCACAAGCACAAACCCAAGCACCAAATCGACTTCGCGCTTTGATTACCTGTGGCGCGTAACATGTGCTTCGCGATCTCGGAAATCGGTCACAGTCAGTCGGCCGTAACCTTGCGCAGCTCCTGGTGCTCGCGCTTCAGGGCCTGCATTTGCCGGAGTTGACGTCGGAAAGATGGCAAATCTTTCTCTGCAGAGCATGTCTCAGCCTGCTTTTCCGCATCGGGGCTTCGCGCCGCCTGCGCGGCAACAAGACAGCCAATCTATGCTATCGAGTGCAGCTACAGACGTCAGCGGTCCTGTGGGCTTGAGCCTTGAGTGAGGTGCTCTGCTAGAAGTTGTGTATAGCAGCTATGTCTCACAAACTGCTTTCGTCAAGATCAACTGGGATTGTCGGACCCAGGCATGCCACGCTTACAAAATTTGTCCAGAGCTACTCTCAGATCCGCTTGCGAGCCTGCATAGACCGCAGTTTCTCCTGTCACGGTCATTGCAACTGACCTCTTCACGGTTCCATGCACTACGAAGCTTGCGATCCTTGAGTTCCTCCATGTTGGCTTCCAAGGCCTTCTTCGGCACCAAGGACAACCCAAAACAGGTGCACCCCAAGGCTTTGCGAACCTCCTTCTCCTCGTCCCATCGTTCCCTCTCAGCTTGCACCTTCGCCATGCACTCGCGCAACGGCCGCGGACACTGGTCAAATATGACCAAACAAAACATTATGGCGCAGCCGGCAGGGTCAAGCAGGCAGAATGTGAAATCCGTTCAGCGCGAACCAAGTGACCAGAGCCACGATGGAGTCAATGGAGGTCTTCCCCTGCACCAAATTGATCATGGAGATAGGTCCCTTCCCACACTAGTCTAGCGGCCCAGCCTTCTTTGCGGCAGTTTCTGCTGCCCAGTACTCGCCAACGTCGAGGGCGTCTGCGCGCCTCTGGAAACGTTGAAGGACCAGGGCCGGGTCACCCCAGGTCACCAACTGAAACAGAAGCGACATGCGGCTGACTTTGCTGATTGCGAGTGTGAGCACAAGCTTCAAGCTCCGAATCGAGATGCGCATCAGTCGCCCGAGAACAACTGCTGCAGACAGGTGTCTGCTTCCCTCTGCCACAATAACAGTCAGTTGCAAGGCTGGGCGGCTAGCCAGTTCACGGAGGATGTGTCACTGCCTCGCGAAAACGTGAAATGCTCATGTTAAGCGTCTCGACACGGCATCCTCCAAGGCCAGGACCGGTTCTTTGCCGCGCCATAGGCATCTCCTGCAGCAAAGGCAGCTCAATCAGGGGAAGCACTGATGCACGGTGAACGATTGCCGCATCCTCGTCACTTGTGTCGGGCGCTGCTGGCTCGTCACAACCAGATTGCTGCCCTAACCTTAATTCCACCGTGTCGTTGCACCCGGAAGCATGCTCTACAGCACTGCAAACCAAGATCGAGGAATGTTGGGTCACGCTCCGGGGCAGCGGCCCTTCGAAGGTGATGCGGCTCGGTTTGCGATGGCCATCGGAGCCGTCTTTGACTGCCTCTAGACAACGCAACCAACAGAGACACTGTCTCGCGGCCTTGGGGGCAGGACGCCGACAAGGGGATCTGCCAAGTCTGCATCCTCCGCTGCGAAAGGCTTGGCTGAAGCCACAGCGAAAGCCGCAGCAAAAGCTGATGAAAGCGTTTGTTGAACTCCGCTTCGTGACGGCCGGATACGGCCGGCCTGCTCCTCGAGCACTTCGTCCTCGACCGACGTGTCCAAACAGGCCGTCGTCAAGGCGGCAAGACCCCTGGAATCACGAAGCTCCCCAACTCCCCGACCAGTGGCTACTGTCGAGCTATGTGCGACCGTTGGGGGTAATCGGCCGAAGTATCGGTAATCGGCCAGGCGCACACAAACTCTCCCTCTGACTCCGTTCAATGGGTTCTGACCGCGACTCACTTAATGCAAGCTTAGTCTGACAAGTTGTGATCTCCGACGGGCGACGAGCTCCATGTCCAACCTCCATCCGGCTAGCACGTGTGCTCGTCTGCCCCCACTTGTAGCCGATCTTTCGCTTGTCTCTTGACCCTTGCCCTTGCTTGAAGAACGTTTCAACATCGCAGCTGGAGAAAATCAGCTGATAGCTCCGTAAACTCATTTAGAGAGTCGATAGCGATGCGCAAGAAAACATGTGGCAACATGAAGCGAAGGCAGTTGCAACAGGCAAGGATCACAGTGATGTTGTCCACCGCCTTGCAACTGCGAATGTATGCAGGACGTCTCAAAAATGCTGAGCGAGCCTCTGAAAGCGAGTTGAGGGATGTGCCTGGCGGCTGTCGGACACTTCGTCTGCTTCAGTGCAAGCGCAACCACGTTGTATATTCATAACTACTGTTTAAGTACGCGTTTGCTTAGCTATTTTTACTGTACTTATTGGTCTTTCGCAAGGGCAGAGGAAGAGGGGATTCTCTGTCTCTCTTGCTTGCTTGCTTGCAGGGTGTGTGGGAAGCAGAGCGCGGAACCCTGCCCCCCTGCGCGCGAGCGCTACGCCTGTGTCTCTGTCTCTCTCTCTCTCTCTTTCTCTCTCTCTCTCTCTCTCTCTCTCTCTCTCTTGCTTGCACTCAGCCAAGGAGAGGTGCAACCCTCCCCCGCGCACGTGCGCGCACTGGTCTCAGTTCGTCGGGTGAGACCCCCCGTGGTGAAAGATGGCGCCGGCCAGATCCGTTATATCCCCCAACCCTGTACTTTAGGCTATTAACCCCCGGCCTCGCGCCTCTTCCCACCATCACCGGGTTTCTCTGAGCTACGCCCAAAAGCGCCGGTGTGCACTGTTTGCTCCGGTCGCGGGCTCGCTACAAAAACTGTGCCGCTCCCCCTACAACACTGTTTCGGCGAAGCACTGCACAACAAGTACGCACGACTACCGTACACAACTGGACTATGAGCTACAACGGGACCTCGAACTCGGGTTCCAAAGCACAACTGCAGTAAAGGGGCAGGTGGAGGCAAAAACATGCTGGCCCGAACACGGTTGGTTCGAGTGGGCTCTCTGACTTTAGTCACACACGGTCGTCCTTCAAATCGAATTGGGCCCCCCTGCCAAATTCTCAACTAGGTAGGCTTCGCCCCCCACCTCGCGGTAAGCTCTTCGCTAAGTAGCTCAAGTATTGGTGCCACATTTGTGGTGTTTGTAACGGATGCCTAACTTCACGAGCCTATGGCCCAATGTACAACAAATACATGCGGTAAGATTGCAGCTCACAGTCAATGTCTGGTTTCCGACACAACACTACTAAGCAGCAACGCCCCCCAAACACTCCAAACAACCATCATAGGCACGACATGACTGTCAGCGAGCTGTTGGTAAAGCACATGCACAATGATTCGCCCCCCCTCAGCTCCAGCGCTCTCAAGCCTCTGTGCTCAGTTGCATCTACGGGATCGTCTTGTGACCAACGGCTCCCTCGTCCTTGCTGCGTTGTTTTGGCTGCCCTTGTCGCGCTTGTCCGGGACCAAAGCCTTCCACCACTGTCTGCGCGGCACGTCTTGCCAACAAGCCGGGGCTGTCTTCACGGTCGAAGTCTGTTGGACCAACCCGTTGTGTAGTCGTTGTCTGGAGTTTGTGTACTTCCCGAAAGCCTCCGCTGGTCATGGCCGCAAGCCTGTCCATGACTTGCCAGAAGGACTTTGAGTGATTTGTTAAAGCGCCCCCACCATCGACTTCAGGAGTTTGTGCCAGTGCCCCGTTAGCAACAGCCGTCACCACTGCGACTGGTCTCATTAGGCCATGGCTGCAACGGGCTACAAGCCCCCTCGTTTACGTTTGAGCTGAACGCCCGCGGACGGAGGGCTCAAGCACCCGCTGGGAAGAACCCCCCAGCTCCCCTCCAACAGACTGAAGGTTAACTGGGAAGGCTCCCCCCCCTTTGCCCGGCGAGGGGGAACAGCCCCCACTCTCTCTCTCTCTCTCTCTCTCTCTCTCTCTCTCTCTCTCTCTCTCTCTCTCTCTCTCTCTCTCTCTCTCTCTCTCTCTATACTTGTATATGTACACCGATGTATGTTGGTTATGGTACTGTACATACATAGTACACCGAGCATACAACACGTCCTGCCTTGCCACAGGGCTGCGATTCTGGCCTTGACACTTCCAAACAGAGAGCAGTTCAGCGGCATGCTCCTCTATGGGCCCAGACTCTGTCACGTCAATGCTCACTGTTGCCTCAGCTGAACGTCCAGTGTCCCCAGACGTGTCACACAGCAAGGAGAGTTTGAGCCGGGGCTTGTCTGTTGGAACACTGGCTATGCTGGAGGCTGGAGGAGTGCACCACAGGCAAGCTCTACACTTCCGCTGGGCCCTGCCACAGTCTGGGAGCGGGCGAACTTCGAGACGGGAGACTTCGGCACCTGCCGTGCTACTCGCAGCTCGAAGTAAAGCTCTCGCCGACAGGCTCCGAAAATAGCCGAAAAGCTTCCGCTTGTATGGAGCAGAATAGAGATAAAACATCGCAATGGCGATGTGCTTCTGGCTGCTGTCTTCGCTCTTCACATATGTTCATGCATTCATGCAGTGCAGGCACACAACAAGCTGTGGTAGACTGTAACTCGGTACTGGAGCTCTATGACAGTGCTATTGCACAAGCTACGGGCCGAACTCAGCTTGGTGGGGAAGTGGCATCAAGCGCCTGCAGTCTTTCTTGGGCACCTTCGAGCTCATGCAGGATCGCCTCCTGTCCCGGACAACTGGGAATCGGAAATACTGGTAATCGGATCATGCCGGACATGGAAGAGGCTCGCACACCGTTCATAACACTCCACAATTTCATCCGACCCCATTCCGGAAGTTCATCGCGGTGTACCGCATGCCACGTGTCGTGCTTCCTCACACAATGCACACTATGTTGGTGAGGTTGGCTTCGTTCCAGTCGACGTGGGCACATTTGCCGATGTCCATGTCGGGTGAACTCTCAGAACCCTCCGGTTCTACAATGGCTTGCCGCTAGACAGTGCGATGTTCTCCTTGTTGAGTATGAAGAAGCTGACCCATGACTGCAACAGTAGCATTACCCTGGGTGCCCCTACAGTACAGAACTGAGAGTAATACACCGCCTTTGACAGAACATCCACACGTCTGTCGGTCCGGAGGACTTCAAACATGACCTGTGATGATCTGATGCCCTGCGCCCAAATGAGAGCCCCGGCATGACGCCACCATGCGAACGCAGTCCTCGGACTCCAGCCGATCTCCCACACGACCCCCCCGTTGCACCAGTGATCCGACCAGATCTGACGCATCATCCAAGACGACTTCGATGGTCCCAAGTTCATACGAAAACGCGGGTCCGGTTGGTCGGGGTGCAACTGCCACGGCGTCGTGCCCAACAGGAAATTGGAACGAGCTGGGATAACATGCACATGTATACACACGTCAGGTGTGAGCCCCTCCTGCAACGCTGCCAGATGTGGCTTCATCGCCTCTCTGACCTGGCAGCACAGTCAAGGCAACATTGCTACTACCGGTATCGTGCTGGCCGTTTCAGTACTCGAAGACCTTCCAGATAGTCAATCTGCGCATTGTTTGAAAAATGGAAGCTGGGCGGCCAAGTCAAGTCGCTGAGCCGGGGGCCATGCTTTCCAGCGGCACGTCCGGCTGTGTCGGGGAATTCAACGTTTCTGCACAGCCGCATTGGGGTTGAGAAGCTTGACGGATTGCTTGGCTTTCGGTGCACCTGCCGCGTCTTGCTGGCGTGCGGCCTTGAATTTCGGAGTCTGATGCAAGACAACCAGAAAAGGGAGTTCGCAGACCAAAAACTTGCATGCTCGACGAGCCTCTGCACGAGGCTCCCTGCATTCGGTTCGCCTTGACAGGTAAGATCTGGCGAAAAGTTCCACGGCTGGCAAGGCGTTACGAGCTCAACACTTGCGCAAGACGTTGCCTGGATCTGGGTCGCAGGAACGCCCGGAGGCCCATGGCGCAGCCTCCGGGCAAATACTCTAAGTAGAGAGGTGAACGGGGGAAGGGGATGGAGGAAACGGTTGACTCCGCCTATGAACCCCTCCACTTTCCAAAGCTGCGAAACCGGTGCTTTGCTGCGGCTTCTGCCAGTGCAGCAAGCCAGTCGCTTCAGGTGGACCTGCCTTCTCCACAAGGCGGCATGCTGCACACATTGCCCTTTCCTTGTGCTGTGTCTGGGGCCGGTTATAGACTGGAGCTGGCATGGCTGTGCAATCAGGCTATGTCAGGCTATGTGTTCACTCTGACACTGTACCTCATGCCCTGTGAGCTCACCTGTCCGGCAATGCTGCTACACTAAGAGCCGTTGGAGACAAAACGACAACTAGCACACGGTTGTTTACCCTGCAAGCCCCACCAAGCTCCAGGCTCCGCAAAAATTCCTACACAGCCCTCCTTTTCGCTGAGTTGGGTTCGCACCTGAGAGGCATGCGTTACAGAGAGCTTCAACGTCCGGCACCTGCAAACAGGTACTGGAGTCCGGCACTGGAACCCAGATCTGCTCTGCCGTGACCACTCCACTACAGCGCGAACATTCTGTAATTCTCCAGGGTGGAACATGGTTCACTCAACAGTGGTCCGTCCAGAGCCTCAAACTTCTTGATGCACATGTTTGCATACACGCGACCGTGACTGTGTTCAATGCTTTTGACTGATTCCGCAACTACCTGTGTCAAGCGCACCTATACAAGTGCAGGAATCGGTCCTGTACAACTGAACGCAATTCTTCCATGCACGACGGGCCGGGCACTGACCTAGGCAGCTGTGGCTGTTACCTGGTACATGCGTTGTATCACGGACCGCCAAGGTCTGCTGTCAAGGCCAGCCGAAAAGCGGCTTGCTTGCTGCAACTTCCTGGTCGCTGGTAGACGCAGTGCACTGCACTGAAAACTTTTCCAGGAGAGGTTGCAACTGCAACACAAGGCAGAACAAAATGCAGATGCACACAACGAATTTCATGCACGTACCCCGGCGTCCCTCAGCAGAACCTTGTCTTCTGCCGATCAACAAGCTCTTCGATATCCTAGCCGGTACGATACCCTTGCAGCATGTCTCACACAGCGATGCACGTTGCAGGAATCTCCTTCCACTTCTCTCCAAAGCAGCACAGCTTGGGAAGTTGCTTTGCACTTCCTTCTGCCCATCGTCCTGCTCTAGATGCGCTGGCCCACAAGAAACAGTTTGCGCGACGATTCACACTACACCGCAAGTTTGCAACAAGCAAAGAGGCCCCGCGCCGTTTGTTCCGACGATGTGATGAGCACGGTTTTGGGGCATGATGCCTGTGGCGCGCATTTTCTTGCCCATGGTGTTGCGGAAGGTGGAGCGCTATACGATAAAGTCCGATACAGCTCAGTGGACGGGCGCAAGTTGCGCATGACGGTATGATCGATGGCTAAGTGCCGGTAAAGGGGTTGCGATGCCAAGTTCGTCACATCGGCAACCCTTTTGAACGGTGAGAAATAAGCCGGTGAAAAGAAGCTTCGCTCCAGGCCCGCTGTAACTGACCAAGTGTCAACTTGAAGCGGCCGGGGCGGGGCCTCGCCAGGCCTGACTTCGCGTCGAATTAGTTGCTCCCACACCGTCGCGTTCGACTTGCACAGCGTCACCTCAAATCAAATGCTTCGGGTCCGAAGCATTCGCGCTGTGTCACGGCACAACAGAGCAAATCTTGACGACGGTGCCTGCAAGGCATATCGATCGCGGTCAAACGTCCAGCAGCAGCCTTGGGGATCAACCTTGTCTCTCAATTTCTTCGGCACGACTCCGTTTAAAGTAACCCTGTGAAACATGTGATCATGCCTCACCAGCCAGCTCTGCATTGCACAGGACTCGACCTCGTAATCGCACGAACAGGGTCCTCCAAGGATGACAACACGCTGCAAGCTCGCAAGATACTCCGAAAGTGGCACACCATGCCACTGCCACCGTCCCAATACGACGGAACTCCTCCTTGTGTACTGCACATTGATGTCTCGTCTCGTCGCACGGATTCCTGCGAAAGGTCCTCGAATGGCTTTTGTCTAGCAGAGTCCGGCACAGAACCCACCGTGCAAGTTAGCAATATGTTGCCAATCGAAAATGCGAAGTAATGAGCGGTTCCTTCACTGAAACTCCAACAAGGCCGGACGACGTCTGCCCCGGCCGGAAGTCTCATCCCCGTAAGACTGCATGTCTCGCAAGAAAGTGGAATCCGAGACCTGCATCGAAGGAAATGTCGATCTCGTCGTCGCTTTGTTTCCAAACCTTCCCAAGTCTGATCAGCAGTGGCAAACCTTGAACTCTTGGGAGTCTGAGCACGATGCTGCTCCGTCGATCGCTCCGCCCGGCATTGGTGCTTCACAATCGGCTAAGTTGGCGAACCTTCGCCGAGACACCGGATATTTTCCCGTGTCGTTGAAATCAAGAGCTGCCAGAAGCTGCACGATCCGGCCATCTCGAATCATCCTCTCGCTTCTGGCCCGACCTGGCAGCATCGATCAGAGGGCAAGCTCTGCCGGATGCGCTTGCCAAGCCCTCCGCTCAACTCGACGTTGACGAGCTTCCTGCACGAGGCAGAGAAGCAACAACGACAAACTAGTGCATCTCGCACAACCACTTTCACCAAGAATTCATCATAGATCTGCAAGCATGAAATTGCTGGACTCCTGGAGCCACGCAGCATGAGAGGCGCAATCATCTAGGGTGAAATCACAGCCTCAAGAAAGCTTAGAGTAGCTAGATTGGCACAAGAAATGACAGTCCGCTCAGCCGCTCGTGTTGGTCTGAGATTCCGGCGGCGCCAGGTCGGATCGCGGCAAAACTCCTCAACAACTTCCTTGTCAGCTCAGCCCGACTCGCATGCACGCGCAACCCCACATCGCACTTCACTTTGGTTCCTCAGTGCGCGAGAGAACGCAGGTGCCCCGCACCTCCTGATCAAGGGACAGGAAGACAAGGCTTAATCGACTCCAGGATCACACTTTCCTCCGGCGGAAGCCCGGCCGTCCAACATAGGTCGATGGCCTCGGTCGCATCTCGTTTGATTCCTGGTGTCTTTGCCACTGCATGCAGCCTTTGCAGGACAACAGTGTCTGAGTCCACGGCACGTGAGTTAACCTTGCTGCGAACACGCACCTAGTTCTATACCGGTGGTCACGAAGCGATGCCCTAGGTGCTCCGCGGGATTGTCAGGGTCGCTCGCGTAAAACATGAAGACTCCCTTTGGTCACGGTACACAATCTCACCACGAATGTCAAAGGAGCGTGACCCAAAAGCCTTGTTGTCAGGAGTTTTGGATGGATCCACCAAAGTGACACCCTGACAAAAGCTCGGCCGTCTACAGCATACAGCATCGTGACTGCCTTGTGTCATGCCTTGAGGGAGGTCATGGACTGCAAGAGCTCCAGCTGGTCGTCCCCAATCTTTTGCAAGGCATCTTCTACTCTGTCCTGTCGACAGCGGGAGAGCCAACCAGGGAGCCGGGAACCATCCGGCTATTCATTCTTCCTTCTCCTCCTTGACACCGCGCCTCACCTCGTTAGACTTAAGCATACTGTCACAGCACATGTCAGCACAGTTTGGCACCACTTACTAGGTGAGCAGCTCGGTCATTGTCCTGTGGCTCGCCTCGGAATCCCCATAAATCTTCGGGTGCGGGGCAATCGTCGAAGCATGTCTCTGGGATGGAAGCTGGAGAAGTCGAACAAATCCTGACAACCCCAGCGGCTCCCAACTTCTTTCACACGACGGCTGCCTTTGTGACACGTTGAAACTAGACTTGTCGTTCATGATTTTTGCTTCTGTCGCACAAGCATATCAGATATGTGAAACGGTCTATAACTTCTCGCCCATGTCCTTGAGCAGATTTTCCCGATACTCGTCCAGGCAAGGAGCCTGAGCCTGGCACATGAGCCATTCAGGTCATGAATCTTTCGACAACCCATCCCGAGATCCTCTTCGAAGCCTAAAATCCCAAATGTACGTGGTCAGCCCTTCCTCTCCCCTCGGCTTCTGCGATCGTCTCAGTCTCAGCAGTCACAGGAACCGGTTCCCTCCGACGTTGACTCGTTCTCGTCTTTTCTCCCGCTGTTTGCATCTTGTTTCTGCTGTTCTCCAAGAACTGGCGCAACCACGAACGCGCGAGCACACACACGCCGCTCGCCATAACAGAACTGCGCCGCAACTGCACAAAAGGCAAGCTTGACTGGAGTTCTGAGCTTCGGTTTTGAGGGAAACACACCAGCAAAACAGAAGGTGTTGTCAAAAATGGGGTAAAAGGCTTGAAGCGCAGAGCGCTTGCGCAATGCTCGGACAAGTCTCACAAGCTATGCCCATGATGTGGCATTGCCATCCTTGGAGAAGAGGAAACAAGCTGTGAAGCATGAACATGTGACTATTCCTCTGCCAATGTTGAACATCAACAGCAGGCAGCCCATGTCATGTTTACTCGGACGGCGATTGCAGCTCGCAAGTACAGACGGCCGTGGCCCCGAAGCACGTCCGGCCATAATTATCAGCTACTACCGCCAAGCATGCTCCGTTCGCAGGTTGGGCAAGGCAGCCACAGCGCCGCAGCGATTCCGGCAACTCCAACACTCGTATCGAATTGGGCGTGAGGAACGGTTCTATCAATCTGTGAGTTCCATTTCTCATCCAAGCCAAACAGACCGCAAAAAGGACCACAGCACTTACACCTTTGAGCCCGACTGATATTACGCCTGATCTGAAAACACGGAATGCTTGTGCTTACCTAGCTGAATCTGGCAACTTGGGCTCCTACATTGACAGAGCAAGCCAAGATCAGGTTCACAAAATTGAGGGCCGGTCAGGGTCCAACAACACACAGCCGATCAGGGCCAAAGTCACACATGTTGGTTGGGCCTGAGGTGGAGGCCCAACCCTCACTTGTGACCCAAAAGAATCCCTCATCTGTGGCCCAAAAACCCCTCGCCAGTGACCCAAAAGCTTGCGTTTAGGGGGAAGGGTTCAGGGATTGAGCTTTAGGGTTTCAGTCCGGGGTTGAGGGTTTAGGCTTCGGGTTTCGGGTGCTTAGGCTTTAAGGCTTAGCCTTTAGGGGGCTTCGGCTCAGGGTTTAGGGTTTTATAGGCTTTAGGTGTTAGGGTTTATTTGGGTTCAGGGTTTATGCTTTTTTCGGTTTAGGGCTTAGGGTTTCGCGGTTAGGCTCTAGGGTTTAGGGTTTTGGGGGGATTCGGGGTTAGGGTTTAGAGCTTAAGGGTTCTGGGCCTTGTTTCAGGGTTTAGGGGGCTTCGGCTTAAGGTTTAAGGGTTGTAGGGCTTAGGGTTTACGGGTTAGGGTTTAGGGTTTGCTCAGGGCTTCGGGTTTCAAGGTTTAGGCCTTAGGGCTTTTTGGGGTCTAGGTTCAGAGCTCAGGGCTTTCAGGGTTTAGGGTTTAGTTTCGCAGGTTTTCGGGTTTAGGGTTTAGGGTTGCGGTTTGGGGTTTCGGCTTAGGGTTTAGGGTTTTTCCTCAGGGCTCGGGGTTTAGGGCTGAAGGTTTTTTTGGGTTTAGGGGTTTTCAGGTTTAGGGTTGCGGGGGCTTCGGCTTAGGGCTTAGGGGGGGGGGGATAGGGTTTGCTTAGGGTTTAGGGTTTAAGGTTTGCTCGGCTTTCGAGCTTAAGGTTTAAGATTTATGGTAGGGTTTGCTCAAGGCTTACGGTTTTACGGTTTGGGTTTTTTTAGGGTTTAGGGGGTTCTAGCTTAGGGTTTATGGTTTTCGGTCTTAGGGTTTAGGGCTTAAAGTTATTTTGGGTTTACGGTTCAAGTGGCTTCGGTTTTGGGTTTAGGGTTTCAGGGTTTTGAAGTTTAGGGTTCAGGGGGCTTCGGCTTAGGGTTTAGGGTTTTTTAGGGTTTAGCGTTTAGGGGGTAGGGTTCAGGGTTTGGGGTTTAGGGGTTAGGGTTTAGGGTGGTGGTAGTAGTAGTAGTAGTAGCAGCCGATGAAGCCAGCCATGGCACCAGCCGCTTACATGCATCTGGGGTGATCTGGATTCTGTGCCCCTTGTACTAAAAACGAAGACCTTGGGTCACAGATGAGAAGGTTTTAGGGTCACAGATGAGGAAAAATCTTGGGTCCCATATGAAGGCTGAAACTGAGGTGGACATGCTCGACCGAAGTTGAGAAACTCGAGAAAAATTGCGAAGCTACGAAAAGTAGCGAAGTCGCCCATGCCAGGCCCCGACACAAGCGTTGCGAGTGGTGCGGCTCAGGTCCCCGGAAGCCCCCAACCTTAAACCCTAATCCCGAAACACCCGAAACCCGAATCCTTTAGCCTGAACCCCTAAACCCTTTGATTACGCCCCCATTTCCCCCCGCGCTGCCGCCACCCCCTGCTGCGATTGCGGTTGGGTTGTGGTTGGCTGCGTGGCGCACCCCTCCACGGCTCATGAACATACAGGTTTGGCGTCGAGATGTGGGTTTCATGGTTTGCTGACTAGTTTTTGTCGCATGGTTTTGTGCTTCGGGGTTGCGTCGGGCTTGGCCCCTTTAGCATATGATACAATTCTGAGTTTCGTCCTGCCCTCAACTCCAATGCCGATGATGGTGATGATGATGGTGATGGCGCAAAAGATGATGATGCTGACAGTGATAATGATGATGATGATGGTGATGATGATGATGATGATGATGACGGTGACAGTGGCGATGGCTAGTGGCAGTGGCAGTGGCGGTTGCGGCGGTGGTGAGGGTGATTGTACTGGTGATGGTGGTGATAATGGCCCTGGCGTGGATGCTGATGCTGATGGTGGTGGTGATGGTAATGGTGATGGTGGTGCTAGTGGCGATTGTGGTGATGATGGCGAAGATGATGATGATGAGGATGGTGATGACTTTTTGATGACGATGATGATGATGACTTTTATCCGACCCCTGCTGTGGTCAACCAGTGGGCTGTACCCTGAAGCCTCTGGTCATGCATCTGTCCCTCTGATGTTTGCCTGCCATTGCAAAGACTCCAGTTGCTTCGCCAGTCTGTCTAAGTAGCTGAGTACCTGCACCTGTTTCATGCTCACTGCTCACATCTGCAATGAAACTCAACTGAGAGTCCACCAGCCCCGCCAAATACCTGACCCAAAGCACGGATTTACTATGACCTTCAACTCTGACTTCCACTCTGTCGCTTCTTTTGATTCTTGATCATTCACAACATCGTTCTACAAATTGCTCCATGCTGTGATCTCGCAGCGCAATCCACGCATGGACATCTTCTGCCAACTCATTCGTGTTTTGCTCTTTAAGCGAATGCACCCGAAGTGGATAAACCACAATCCTGGCGACTTTGCATGACTTGCAAAGGGTCTCTGGCAGACGCTGGTCCAACTTTATGGATCCCACCTCACCTTCACCACAGACGTGCCAAACACATCGTTGAACCCATCCAACGCCCTCGTGCAGAAAAAACAACTGTTCTTTGCAGGCACGTCACAGCCCACGTCCAAAATGCCAGGAGGGAAGATGTCATCTTCTCCACCATGGTCCAGCTTCGGATGTAAAATTCCAAGTTCCAAAAGTGGTTTCCAGGCATGCTGAAAGTGGCCCTCGACCGATTTTGATCCCCACAAACCCCACCATGACTTCTGAGCTTCCTCAAGGCCTCCACCCGACCGAGCGCCACAACGGTGAGGGTAAAGCCTCCCGGTAGACGACGATTGTAGTCATGCCACCCCGCTACCCCAAGCCCCCTCACCGTGAAGTTACTAGTTGTCGACCGTGTTCTGGGCCTCAGGCTGGCAGATTCTGGGGACCCGCACCGCCCCGGGCCAGTCCTAACCTCACAGACAGCCTCCCAGGCCTTCTTCGGGCCTCTCCTGATTTCTCCTTTGCAATGACTTCCTTGACACGAAGGATACTAAATCGTTGCTTTTGTCCAATGAAATTTTCCGCAAATTTCAGGAATCCTGAAAAAAACGAAGCTTTACAAAAGGTGGAACTTTTTTCTCACAAACCTCTTAGGGGTAGATGTTTAACCTCGAGCGATCGGGGGAACGCATTGCTTCTTTTCGATCGGCCGGCACAGGCTGCGATGACCCACGACCCGACACCAATCCATCTCAGCTTTGGCTTGTTGTGAAGTGTGGTCCTTGTATTTTGAACGTCGAAGGGAAGCACTGAGCAAGAAAGCCCCTTGAGGGCAAGTTGGGTGTGAACACATGCTGACGCAAGCACGCGATATGTGGCTGCACTCCATGCCTAAATGAGCAAACACTGTATACAAAAACTAAAAACACCCCAGGCCCTAAACCTTACAATAAAGTTAACAACAGCTTTAAAATCTCAAACCCTTGACCATACACTAAACCACAAAGCTTAAACCCTAAACCCCCTAAATCGCGAGTCCTTGCAATGAAGTAAGCAAACACATTTGCCTTAATCCCTAAACTATAAACCTTGAAGCCGAAATTACTAAACCCTGAACCTCAAATCCTGAGTCATAAACCTTGAACGCCTCAAGTTAAGCTAACAAAGCTCCTGAAACCTAAACCCTAATCTCGAAAGCCTAGGCCCCAAAACCTAGAGTCCTAAACGCTAAACCAACAACCTTACACCGTAAGCCATAAGCCCTATTCGCAAAACCCCAAACCTTAAACCCTGAACCATGCATCCTAAGCCCTTACACTTGAGTTCACAAAGCCCCTAACCCTAAACCCTGAACCCTTACGGTGAAGTTAACCAGGACATATAAGCCGCCTTAATCTCTAAACAATAAACCTGAATGCTAAAAGTCTGCCTTGGGGTTTGAAGCTATGATTGGGTTGAGCCGAAACCCTTGCACAGGTAAAGCCCGTATAACACCCTATGAACACCTTATGTACTCTTACTGGAACCTCACACAAAGTCTCCATAGTTTACACTTCCAGTGAAGTTCAGAACTGAAGGACCTGAGAAAACTGCTCCATTAAAAGCTTGCCAATGATTGTCTGGAAATTCCTTCTTGCGTCCCAGACCCTCTTCTTGCATGTTGCAAGACTAACTGTAGATTCCGGATACTTGCTTACGTACGGCCCTCAGAAATTTCCCTGTGCTGTCGTTGTCGCAACTGATTTTGCGCAGTGCGTGCGCTGAACCCACCGCCAAAGCACCCGAACATCATCCTCATCATCATCACCATCACGTCATCACCATCAGCACGATCACCAATATCACCACCCTCAGCAGTGAATCAGCAGCGTCAGCAACATCTCACCACCACCATCATCGTCAATACCACCGATATCACCACCATCATCAGCATCAGAAACATCATCACCCGTCGTCATCACCGTCCTCATCACCATTATCATCACCGTCATCATCATCATCATCATCATCATCATCTCCATCGCCATCAGTGGCACCATCATCATCACCGTCATCATCATCAACATCATCATCAGCTTCGTGGTCATCAACACCATCGCCATCATATTCATCTGCGCACGGGCGATGCGGAGATAGTGCGAAAAAGGCCAGAGTGTTGCGAAGATGGCCGAAACAGTCGACTGTTTTGAGGATCGCGATGTGGAGGCCTGGCCTAACCCTGCGGCTGGTGAGGGTGCATACCGGGGGGGAGGCTGGGACACTGGCGTGGCGACGCGGGAACACGTCGGGCGTGTTCTGGATGCGTGTTTGGAGTGCCCCAAATCGCTGGCAGAATTGCAGGGTCAAGAGTCATAGGGCCGTGATGCGTGTTGCATGTTTCACAGTGATGTTACTGACAAGAAGGCCAAACAAGCAAAAGGTGAAAGGAGCCAGAGTTTCAAAAATCAAAAGGCATCATGCTCGGATGCGGTATGTCGCAGGCTACACCAGCGAGCCTTACGACAAGCCAACTCTGGCGGCAATGTAGCAGAGGACCTTTGGGGATATCACTTGGAAAGGCTTTGACTGATGCCGGAAGTGCACTCGTTGATATTCCTGTGGCGCATGTGCCACTGCCAACCGCAGATTTCTTATGCATTCGCCGTTTGCAACTTTGTTCTGGAGCTTCATGGTGCAAAACAAGTGTTTCCCTGACTGCCATGGTCTGTTCATGAGTTGTATGTCCTGTTAACCGGACAAACAGGCTGGACGGCTCCAATCAACAATATCGAAACACAACAGACAAGTGAAGCTGCGATCCCGAACTGCACATGAACCTGCTTGGCTGGACTTATGCTCGAGTAGGCAACAGCCAAGTTAACAGACTCCGCTGCTTGCAAACTGGCTGCCCTGTGTAATCACTTTGTATGAGGCCTTTGGCCTCCTGTGATGGTGTTTCAACCCGGGTTTTGTGGTCCTTTCAGGGTGGGCACCAGGCATGCACAATCCCTTAATCGAAATTCACATCTTGTTGCTATATGCTTTTACCAACCCAATTCCTTGCAGTGAAAAAAACAGAAATCGATCAACGCCTTTATCTGGGAGGCGTACACTGAGGGTGTTCACAGGCCCGCGCACACACTCTGTCTGTCGTGTCTTTCCTACGACCCGGACCAGGAAACTGATCCAAGATAACCAACCTATTGGCGATTTTGCCCTATAATCGTTCCCAGTTCGCTTTTGTGGTTCCAAGAGGAATGTAAGCAACAATGATGCGAAACTTTGCATCACCTGCATAAGGGCGTCCTTGGAGTTTTCTGCCAAACGGCCCGATGAATTCAACCGTGAGTCTAAGAACTTCTTTGCTGAAAGAACAACAGTCCAGTTGAACCGCATGAAACACGGTAACCAGCAGTCATGTCAAACGAAGAACTGCTTTGCTCCTGCGTTGCAGGTGCCCTGCCACTGCACGTCATGCACGACCGTCTGAAAGCGGCAGCGGCGGCAGCAGCAACTATAGCAACGGAAACAGCAACGGCAACAGCATCCGCAACAGCAACGACAACAACGACAACGCCAATGCGGTACCTGCTGGGCAAGGAACACTTGTACTTGTAGCGGCCGGGATCCTCTGAACCCAAGACTCAGCACGCGAGCAAAACGACATCGTCGCTGCCCAAACGAGTGCAGCTCAGAACTGAAAGGATGAGTGCCATAGCACCTGCAGTTCCACACAAGCTTCCCGACCCTGAGAGACACAGACATCGAACACTCACACCAAGGCCCAAGCGACTGCAGTGCAGAGTAGTTCCCCCCAGCTGCTCAGTCACAAGCGTCACTCATGGCAGCTGCGATTCGCGCCGCATGCGAGGATCGTGCGCCCAGACGAACTGTTGTTGCGGTTGCTCCCGCGACAGAGCGGGCAGTGTTTCGACGATCGGGCACCGTGGCCAAACAGCGAGAACGGATGAAAACAGTTTATGACAGTTTCGGGTGCCTGAGCACCGCGGCTGCATCTCTCATGGACCACATGGACATGCCGGAGTTGACGAACACTACTACCCAGGCTGGGGTGACAGCGTGCGACAATTGCTGGTGAGGTCTTCGCAGGTACGAGTACCCACATTTTCGGGGTTCTAGTTTCGCATTGGCTGCTGGGAGTTTCGGATCAGGAAGCAGCAGTTTCGGGGCTCAGTTTCTGCACAGTGCGGGTCAGCCTCAGGGCGTTGGTTAGTTTCGGGAGGCGGGGTGGGCCCTGATCCAAAACTACCCTGGCCATTGCCCTGAAACACACCTTCCGGTCATGACCCCTCGCAGGTCTTTCAAGAAGGGCCGCACAGGACTTACCGGCACTGCCAGGATAGACGCGATTGTGGGCGTGACAGTGAGGATAGCGTCTGCTCAAGCATCACCATCTGCACTGACTCGGAGGGAGGGGCGAGCAACCCGTTGCGGTCGCTGGGTGCCTCTAAGCTTCGAGACGGCAAAAGTTGAAGAAGCCGGGGCAAGGTTCCCAAGCTGCCCACTGGAGCTCGAAGGAGGAGCACGAGAACCCGTTTGGTAAGCCCGGATTGTTTGTGCTCGGCCTATCTTGGGCGTGCGGGCTCCGCGAGGCCGAGATGCTCCATGGCCTTTTTCGAGCTTGAAACTGCAACTTAAAGTATGCACAGAAGGGAGCCTTTCAATATCGAAATCGCAACATGTACACATTCTTGGCAGCAGTGCTTACCAGAAAGCTTATCGACGCGGCAACATCGCAAACATCCTCCGATGGTTGTCTGGAGCAGGCTGGTTCCAGATGTAAACGTAGGGCTCCCAAATTTTCAGAGAAAATACTGGTTCAACGCTTGTCTGCAGGATTTTGACACTTTACGACGAGCAGAGGCCACACTCCCAGCCTCGGGCAATAGAATCTCTCTCACCTTTCTGATGAAGCTCAGGTCGTCGTACCGCACCGATCTTTCGGGGTGGTAGACCTGTTGTGCTGACGCAATGCAAATGCTCCGAGCAAGGACTGTGCACCTGGTGCATCTTGTCCTCTGGCTTTGCAGGAATGACCACCTCGCCACAGCAGGCCCATTCCGGCAAATCTGCTGGGTCCACCCCCTTATAACTCGGCAAGTCGAGTATAAAAGGAACTTCTGAGAGTCTGGCATAGTAGAATCCAGGGCCAGCGCGGCCCGGAGCCCGTGCCATCCCCTACAAATGTGTTGATTATCTCTAAATCGTCATGACATGTTACGAGCATCTGCAATCTCGCTGGTCTTTGGCTTGCTCGGGCCAACTGCGAAGTGCACACATGAGAAGTGTAGCGAACACAAACACCCACGCTCGCATCACGAATGCACAGCATTGCCCCACCTGACACAGCGCAAAAACGACGTGACATTATGATGCTCCGGCAGCGACTTTATTTCCGTTTGAAGATCATGAAACGAGTCCATCCATCTATACAGCAGGTCGGTACTACCCACAGAGAAACTTGAATCTGTACAGTTGAATCAACTCTTGAAGGCATGCGGTGTCGTCTGTGCACATACAGCACACTTTGCTTCAGGAGACTTTGACATGTCACACCCAAAGCAACACTGGCGCCTGGACTGGAGGCAAGAAGGAATCGGTTAGCCACTTTTGCAAACCGCTGGAAAGCCAATCTTGCACTCTGCTGGCATTGAGACTTGCAACACCCTGGAGACGCTGTACTGAGTCATACCGCAGCAGTGGTCAATACATTGAACGAACACGGTTCTGCCGTCAAGGCCAGCCAAAAAAATCATTGCTGCAACTCCTCGGTTGCTCTTATATGCAGCGCGGTACACTGAAAGCTTTACAATATTACAGAGGAAGGCTGCCAACGCAGCACCATGCAAAATGAAGCAGAAAAGACTAATTCGGCGCACGTCTTGCGCCGTTGCCGGCCATCGGCAGTAACTTGGCTACTGCCCTTCAACATGCTCTTCCAGGTCCTGGCCATCAGAGGTGGCTCTCGAGAAATCGCACACTGCAACACACATGCTCCCAACATACACTTCGAAAGCAAAGCAGGAAGGTGCTTCGGAGTGCTTCCTGCTTTGCTCCGCCTCTACCATGGCAGGCAGAGCAACTGATGCCCTGAAAAACAGCTGGCCCTGATGAAAGACCACTGCGACAGTCCACGCCATCGAAAATTCCCAATAAACACTGCCCGGGCCAACCCAACCTGCTCACCTGCCGTTGCTTAGAGTCGAGCTCTAGAACCTTGCGAAAGCAATGGAAAGGTGCTCAAGTTGTTGTCCTCAGTTGTTTTGTGTTTTGTTCTGTGTGTTTTCTTAAATTTCGGCTCGAACCATATACAAAACTTGCAAGAGTCTCAGGCATGGCGAGAACTGAGGCTGTATGTGAGGTCTGTTTAGTATTTTTTGCGCTTTTTGCTTCATGGTTTTCGGCCTACAGGTCGGTCCGACCTTGCCAGTCTACCCGGTTGCATTCCGTGCCAGTTCAGGCTCTGGGCATCTCGGATTTATGGCTTTACGTTCTTGATGGCACAATGCTCTCCAAAAGCAAGTTTGCGCGGACCAAAAATGAGGCGAGGGTAATTATCTCATGAGAGTTGTGTGTGTGTGTGTGATTTGTTACGAACCATCGCAAAAGGCCGATTAGTGTTCTTGACGGTGCGACGCTCGCTAAAGCACGCTCACATGGCTGTAGAAAGCGCGGGCAGCCCCGCCCCCCATTTGCAAACACAATGCCGAAAGCACTGGCTTTCCTAGGCACCCCCAATTGCAAGCACAATGCCAATGGGACTGGCTGTGAAAGATATCATAAGACTTATGTGCTTGGCACGTGCTACGAGCAAACGCCCACATGACATTGCGATCTTTATGGTACGATCGATGTTGGCTAAAGCAAGCTTGTGTGCGGTCAACAAACCGGGGGGTTGGGGGTGTGCACAGCAGCAAACGCTTGGCCTCATGCATAACAAGATACATGATTCAGCATGGAAAATGTCTTCGCCGAAATCAATTAATTAGGTGTGTTTATGTCTAGGAAAATGTAGGTTCTTGTCAATAGTCTGCAGCATGCAGAAGGGCTGCGACCGTTGCAAGCGTTCGTCTCGTTGCTACGATTGTCCTTGTTTCCCGCCTGTTTCTGTCCACGAGAGAGTTCCAATTGAATGTTCCGGAGCTTTTTCGAAGTTCTAATGTTTCCATGGATTTTCTTTCAGGACAAGACTAGTCACGGTCGAAAATGTATTGAATTGCAATGTACTTGTATTTTCCATACAGTCCTTGACATGTTTGTCCTAAACTCCTGAAGCAATAGCGAAGTGTGCTTCAGCAGCATACTTCACTTAGAGTTCCGTTAGCACTGTGCGACTTGTTCTTGCTTTGCTTGTCTTTTCCAGTAGCCAGTTATATGGCAACGGTGCAGGATTCAGTTGTTCGTGGAGTTGTCTCGATCCCTGGGTTGTTTTAACCAGCCTAAAACAGCAGACGCCTCTCCGTTCGCAAGCACATTGCCAGTGTGATAAGCTCACACCAGCTGCAGCGAAGCTATGCGCAATTTCTGAATGGCAGGATGTTGGTGAAAGTAAGCTTGCACGGCTTAAGAAACATCTTGAACACGCCCCCTCATTTAGCGAATCCGGTTCATCATATATCTTAAACACCCCCCATCATGTGACGATTCCGGTTCATCATAGATCTTTAACACGCCCGGCACGCCCCTCATGTGGCGAATCCGGTTCATCATACATCTCTAATACGCCCCCGCATTTGGCGATTCCGGTTCTCATCGTATATCATAAACACACCGCCTCATTTGGCATCATACATCTTTAACAAACCCCCGCATTTGGCGATCCCGGTGCTCATCATATACCGTAATCACACAGCCTCATTTGACAATTCCTTTTAATCATATGTTTGAAGCTGGCCCCCTTATTTGGCGATTCCGGCTCATCTCTTATCTGAAACACACCCCCTTATTCGGTGATTCCGGTTATCACATCCTAAGCACGCCCCCTCACTTGGCGATGCCTGTTCATCATATACATCTTAAGCATGCCCGCTCAATTTGCGATTCCGCTTCATAATATTAATCTTGAACACGTCCCCTCCTTCCTCTCCTCCCTTTCTTTCTCTAATGAGAGAAAGACCAGTTCTCGAGTGTTTGCGGGCTGCAGGACAAAACGCCACATGTCCTGGAAAGCATGGTGTAGGCTACCAAGTGCTCCAAGAAAATCGGAGTGCCTGCAAAGCAGATAAGCTCAGATGATGTGCCGCTGCACCCTCCATCTCTCCGCTAGATGCACTGGCCTTAAGAAGTAAGCACACCCACCCAGAGATCGGAAATTCTGCTCGATGGCAGCTCGTGCAAGCCGATTCCTGTAAGCCATGCACCCAAGGGAACCAAGGCTGCTTCGTCACTCATGCATGCAAGATGCGGCTCGTCGATGAATCCACCAACGAAGAAGACTCTGTCGAGGCCTTGGCCGCTTGCCCGATCGGGGTTGCTGTGGACTCGGCTAAACGAAAACTGCGACATGCAGAGGATTTCGACCAAGGGGTGAACAATCTGCGTGTTTAGCAAATGCTGCTGCCAGCAACACCTCACGCAGGTTCGCCAAATCGCAGCAATGTGTCTTGGCATGACCCGCATGATGAACCCATAGTGAATCCGCTCTTGCTTTCAATGCATGAACCGTCTCAGGGTCCCTCTCACAAAGATGCAATGCTGCATTCCCAAGACAGAAAGGGTTTTCGGGCACGGGGCGTATCTTGACCTCCTGACGCCGGACACGGTCTTGTCAGTACTCGAGCAGCTGAGCAAGGGTCAGTGTTCTTGCTCTTCAAGCAGGTGAAAACGAAATGAGACGAGACAAGTCGCTGCATGAAGCTTACGAGGCTTTGTGGGTAGCTTTGATTTTGCAGCATGTAGAACAATCCCAAAACTGTGACTGAAATCTGCTGGTAAGAACCAGGACAAGCTTGGGGCACGACCGACTGCTGTGTCACCTGCAGTCATTGTGGGCAGCACTTGCAACAGTGTATCAGCATATCACTCTTGATTCAAGGCCCCTTGCCATCTGCAGCAGTGACCGTGCCAAGTCGTACTCTGAGCACCTCTGCCCAGCATGATCCAGTCATTCAATTCAGAATTCATGGTTCCTGCCATGCGGTCCCGCCTTGCACCAGCGAGGCTCAAGTCACTCAGCCTGACATAAGAGGGCTCTGAGAACTGCGACCGGTCCGGATCGTGTCTGCGTGTCCAGAGGCTCCCGCTTGCCAAAGTTTGACGCTGTCAACCCGCCGGCCTTCAGGATTCTATGAAGGGGCAAGAAAACATCTCTTTCCCTTGCGCAGATCTCCTCAGCCCCGGTCTAATCCCAGTGAGGCCGAGCCATCCTCACCGTAGATGTCTCGCACCTGGCATCACCACTCTTGAGCTCCAGCGAGCAATGCAGGCCGCCCTGCAAAAGTCAACAAGATCCGGGGGCGAGTTTGTCGGCTTTCGATGCATCGCCACGCTCAGCAAGCATCAGCGCCTGCTGCTGCACTTCTAGTTATTGCCAGCGGCAACGGGCCCGGAAGCGCAGCCTCCTCAAAGGTCCTTGCAGATGTTAAGGTTCTTGCTAAACCTTATCTCCACTCAGCCGGGAAGGTCAACTCAAGAACTTTGAGCAGTAGCTCGGGATCCTGCCGAGGAATGTTGCTCCGCCACATGCGGTTCCACCAACTCGGGTGTAGTCCTCGCTTCTTCAACTGATGCAGGAGGCTGAGTTGATGGCCGCTGCAGTTCTTTGGATCATGATGCCATCCCAATGCACGAACTGAGCGGTGACCACAGCGACATGCTCAGGCATCGGCATTACTCTTGGCGGAGTCCACTTTCAGGATCGACACTCCTCACCATGCCAAGGGATGCATGAAGCTGAGAACAGATCCCTAGTCGGTGGAGTCCTGAGCCCATGTTCACCAGAATCAGCGGAAAGAGTTGAGCCGGCCACGGCAGTGGAGATGGCCTCTCAGGCCGACAAAACGAGAATGCAGTCCTGTTCGATTCGCGCCTACTACTAGTCCAATGCCTGCCAACTTCGTCCGTCGTAAAGAGGTCAGTGAGACAAGTCCTCGGCCCCGCTTCTTCAACTTCACGGTGCGGAGTCACAGAGCACCGGGAGTCTGGATACAAGACCCGTGCCCTTGCTCTGTTGTGCC